TTCACGCGTTGTAGGCAGAATCCCCCCCACGCTACTTTTGAAAAAAGTTTCATGGCGTCACAAAAAACATGGAAGAGACGGACATTTTGTAAACGTTGATGAAAATGATATTTTGACTTTACTAGACAACAAATATAGCAAAAATACAAATAGAAACGTAAAATTAACATTAATTTACTAATGAGTACGCCGTGATGTGCCGAATACAGAGAGTTTAGCTACTTGCACTGTCTTCAGATTTTCCCCAAAAAATATTGCTAACGTGGTTCGGAGAAAAGGTTGTGAAATGAAGCCATGCCGATTGATGATTGTCGTCTCTATGTGTATTATTAGTTTCTTCGGACAAACAACCTTCGGTCTCTGTCAACAGTAGTTTCTCGGTTTACAGTCTCGGTATACAATGTTGCCGGTTGACCTCTGGAGAGGTCAACAATTTTATAATGTGTACCTATAGATAGTTCTCAAAGTAAATGAGCAAAAGCGTAACATTTGTATGTAGCATGCTTCATAAAACACTAAACTGAGCCCAAAAAGTTAGCGTGCATTTTGTTCCTGGCTCTGATTGGTTAATAAGTGAATACAATTCGTTGAATGCACGATGCACTCAAAAGATTAGCAGCTGGGAAAGGCTATTCAACAAAAAGTACGCTTTCGTACTCAAAAAAGGATTACCCTTTTACAACTTTGACAACTTTGAAGCATGAACTTCGGAAGATCTCACGAAATATACTTTCTGTTACCCTGTGGATCCCAGGGTTTTGATATATTCTACAAAGTCATGCAAAGACAGACCACTAAAAGTATATACCTGCTAGTTATATCTGTGACATTTGTATGATATGTATTCCACTTTGAACCACCATCTATTTCAATATTGTGAAAATATATATTCCCAAAATTATGAAATAAATGAGCTTGTATTCGCGAATGCCACTAACGGCTGTCGGCTACCGGATAAACCTACTATACTATTTTATGGGCAATTCATTAAAATATGAATGGAATATTGTCAGGTTCTTTTCATATTTAAATGAGTCGCCCATAGAATGGTAGGTTAATCCGGTAGCTGAAATCTTCCATTCCCAAAGCATAGTCTTAGCTTGTATTCGCAAATGCAACTAACGCCTGTCGGCTACCGGATTAAAGCTACGTTCACACCAACGGCGAATGCCACGCTTTAAATCGGCAAGATTTCTTGCACTTTCCCGGTAGGCATTCATGATTCCTCGTAACGGTTTTATTGAAATTTATGCTGTATGTATTTGTATGCCCGTGGTGCTAGTGAATTGGGTAATACTTTAACGAGGTTTCTCTCCAGGTATCACTAAAAGAACAATGGAGAGGTTAAGCTTTGCATATAGAATCGAAACTGAACCTGTACGTATCACTCGACCATATACAAATTCATGTAGCCTTCTCATATAAATAGCCGTTCAAATCCAGTGTTTGTTTAGACTACACCATAGCGTGTGCTGGTTTTCTAATACATATTTTAAACGAGCTCGTTTCGTAAGATTTTTGGCGCTAAATCATGCATGACATACATCATCGTGTTCAGCAAGAATTCAACTGTGCATCAAAATCAAAATTGACAGCGTAGTGTTCAATAGACACGAGTAAAATGGTTCCCGTTGACCCAACGTCAAATTTCAAATCTCCCGTTCTAAACCCGAAACTCTGAAGCTGAAAGAGTATCTGAAGTAGACTAAGCGCGCATAAAACTATGAGCGCACGATACATTCCTTTGTTAATTTTTGTACTTTGCGTTCACGGTTACGTTGTGAAAAACATCGTTAGCTTAACCTCTCCACTATCCATGCAGTGCAACTTGTTTTTTCAACAAAACCAGCTCATCATCCAAGCGCACTTACACTCACATAATTCTTTTGTGAGCTACCACACGGTTTAAGATTCTATTGCAACCAAATGGGCGTTCAGTAGCGCACAATAGACATTTGCGTAAAACCATGATAAGGTGTAGATGTACATAAAATAATAGCAGGAATTGAGAGACGGGTTGAAAACGAATCCATTTGGACATGAACTTGGTTTAGTGCACTGTGGTCCAGGATCACCCTTTTGTCCTTGAGGTCCCCTTTCTCCAGGGGCACCATCCTTACAAATCTTTCCCCTCACACCTCTAAAACCCCGTGGACCCCTAGGACAACCGCATTTTTCACCGAGTGCCACGAGGCACAATGCCAACAGTAATACTATTGTTCATTTTGTTGTGTAACATGGTCATCAACTATAACATTTGAGACAAAGTTCATTGACATGATTTACCCCATGTTCACATTGACGTGTCGCAAAAAGGTGGCCCATTTGTTTTTAAGGGTATCGCGTGAATGTAACTTTGATTCCCCGGATTATAAGATAATATTCTAATTAAAGTTATATATCATTTTAAAGCTGTTACGATGAAGTTTTTAGATCAACTACACTCCGTTCACGATTCTTGCGCGAACATCTGGCAAATATCCCCTGTTGACACGTTACATTTTGAATTATTTTTCGTCTTTAAAAGCTCATAACTCAAACAATATATGTGTTATACTTATTTTTCGTCTTGATAAAGGTCGATGGAAGTTTTATTTCAAAGGATGAATTTTAGTAAGCGTCCCATATTGTGACGTCATAGAGTTTGAAAAATAGAATCTATTGACAGCGACCTTTTTTGCTCATTTTTTGTTACCTTCAACTTTTCAGGTGAACATTAAACAAAAAATACGAGATCAATTTTTAATAAATCATACATGATTATTTTGCTCTTAAACTCTAGTTTATTAATAAATAGTTGATTTTGTTCGCAAAAGTATGTGTTTTCTGTTGTATGTGGAAAAGTGGAGGACGAAAGGTTTTCAAAATTCATTAAAATTTACGCCATTCGCCTACTTTCAAGCACAGCAACACGTATATTTATTTCACCTAAAATATCAATTGATTCGTGTTTTATGATGCTCCTATCCCATTGTTAATACATATACGATATCGGAGTTATTCGCCTTAAATATCTTGAGATATAGAGGCAAATGTGGAGGACGAAAGGATTTCCATATGTGTACATTTTTCTCTAAAAACGTCACATTCTGTGGTGTTAAAAAGCGAAAATGTGTAACAATGCGTGCGCGACCTTTTGTGACACGTCATTCATATTCACTATTCTCTCAAAAATGCAGCACTCTTTCACAGTGTCTTTATTCACCAGGAGGGATTTGATATGGGAAATATCACAAGGATGATATCAATATTTCTTGAGGAAACGCAGTATCGATATCATCCGAGGGATATTACCCATATCATCCCGACAGGTGAATAACAACCTTATACAATGATCAAGAGCAATGCCTACCCCAAATCTTCTGTTGAATTCAAGAGAAAAGGATTGAATCTTAGAAATATTTGCGTTACATATTATCCTACTCCAAAGAACATAGCGAATTTAAGGGTAAGAAAACATAATACTTAAAAAAATAAAAAATAAAATTATTTGAAAAATTCAATTAAAATAAAATCTTTGAAAAATGTTGGAAAAATGTAAAATTTTGAAAAAAATAATCTTTTTTAATTTACCCGGGATGATATCTGTTTGACTGCTACTAGTGTCCCGGGTAGGATTATAATATTTTTCCAAGATAGTTTTTTCACCAAATCGATTTTTGAGTGAATACGATCCAAATACGATTTTCCCTGGGACAATACGATTTTTCGAGTATATACGATTTTCAGAGGGACAATACGATTTTAGTTGGATTGGATCAAGTGGATTAGATTCATGTAAAAGGTGGCTTGGAACGGGAATCTTCAAAATATGGATTTTTTTTCGATGGCCCTTGACGCAAAATCATTTCCACTCTACAAAGTATTTTGTGATCACTTCGGCCCATTTGAGGAATCAGAACAAAGCAACAACAAATACATCTTAGTAACATACGAGGGGTGATCAGGAATTTCTGGACCGTTGGCTCTATTTTTGCTATTTTTTATCCTTTCTTACTGATTTTTTCACATAATATAACCCAAATATAAAGGATCATACCCTGAATATTTCATTGTTCTATGACATCATTATTCTATTATTTTTGTTACCATGGTAACTCGTGATGCGACAAGGTGGAGCTCAGAAAAAATACCAAAATTGAAAAACAACAGTAATAGTGAAGCGATTTTGTTCATATTTGATATGTGAATACTCATGAGCCTTGCACACTGTCTCATGACACTTCAGATAGTAGGCGGCCATTTTAAAAAATGGCTGTCATTTTTACATTTTTTACTATAACTCGAAAAGTAGTGGAGCGATTTTGTTCATATTTGATATGTGAATACTTTAAGCATGGCACATTGTTTCATAAAACTTTGGGGAGTAGTTGGCCATTTTGAAAAATGGCCACCATTTTTATGTGTGTTATTTTACAAGTACATGTGTGTGATTTTTCCAAAATTTTATAGGTGGCTACTTAAAAGCATATTATTTCTTCTGATGACAACTTGGCTATAGTGAGCAACCATTTTGAAAATAGTGGCCTTTCTGGTGTGTAGTTTTATGATATTTGCTATATACGAATTTGTCGTATTTCGTATTGTCGTATTTCGTTTGTAAAAATGCCAGCCATTTCTGTTCGATGGGATTCGCTACGCTTTGGCGTTGCCGTTGTTCTGGTTATTGAGGTATAAGCTAACCTTACTAATATATAAATCAGTTTAAATATAGATTCGGATAAACAAAAAAAAACATAATTATTTTATCATGATTCGAGTAAATATGTTAAGAAAATAGTCGTATCAAGAGACGTACGTAAGTATAGATCAGGTAAGTTTTTATAATTTCCAGACATTTTACCGACGGAAATATTTTAAGAAATATTGTATGACCAAGATTTCTGCAACAACATAAAAAAGCTCTTTGATAATAATTGTACCTGTAAATATGAACTGGTACATTGGGTAAATTATGCTTTTTATCTGAAATGTTGTAGTTGATGACCATTTTACACAACAAAATGGACAATATTGTTAAAGTGTTCCTCTGCTTGGGATTGTGCTTTGTGGCACTCGGGGAAAAATGCGATTGTCCTAGGGGTCCACGAGGTTTTAGAGGTGTGAGGGGAAAGCCTGGTAAGGATGATGCCCCTGGAGAAAGGGTGACCCTGGAACACAGTGCACTAAACCAAGTTCATGTCCAAGTGGATTCGTTTTCAACCCGTCTCTCAATTCCTGCTATTATTTTATGTACATCTATACCTTGTCATGGTTTGACGCAAATGTCTATTGTGCGCTACAGAACGCCCATTTGGTCGCAATAGAATCTGAAACTGAGCAAAAGTATATTTGGGACAAAATATCTTGGGATCAAAATCAAGGAAAAAGGTGTTGGACAGGAGGCAATAAACTTCATGGTCAGTGGAGATGGAGCCCTGGTTCTTGCTCTCATAGCAATAACACGTTCACTTACACCAACTGGTTCTCTGGCCAACCAAGTAATAGTGGAGGCATTGAATACTGTGTGGAATTGCTTGCACGGCATGGGGGGTGGAATGATTTGAACTGCCAATCTACCAATTACTTTATCTGTGAAATAAACATGTAAAACAATAAAGTTCTTTCAAAATGACCTTTCAATCTATCATGATATTATATTATTTGTATTACCCAATGTCTCTTAATTATTGTGCCAATATATTGGTAAAACAGATAACTCCCATTGGAGTCAATAGATTGATACACTAAACAACACATAAGGTGGAAAACTTAATCAAAATATATTTAAACGGTTCTAAAAATGAAGCGAACCAGAATGTACATTGAGAGGTTCATTGAAAATGACAATGTAGACAAGACCAGTTATATACAAGATTGACCAAGTTCTAAACATAGTTTCACTTAGTTTACAATAAGAAACTTTACCAAATCATTCTGGTAGATTCGTACGCTATATACAAATACATTGCCATATCAAACGTGAATATTTCATAAGAATGAAACAAAAAATCTGCGATGTATCCGGGTTCGAACGCAGCGCTAGCACCAATAATTTCTGGTAAAACAGTAGAACCACAGACATCACTACGCTACATAACAAGTCAAAATTTGTTACTCCATGGTCATCAGTCATTAAAATATTGGAAATGACAATATGCTACCACCTCTTGGAAGTGACACGTCACTAAGTCTGTTAATAAGATCATCAGTTAGACTGCTTAGCAAATATTTCAAGCTTGTATGGTGAACGAAATATAGTAGTAATAAAAGATACCAACTGATGTCGACATCGCATTTTCACTCAAAATAAACATATAAATGACCTTTATTTAACCAAACAAAATAGCACCCCTTTTAAAATGTATCTGTATGTCTTAAGTAACTTTGCTCAACGTTGCTATTTTTCAATGAACATTTGAAGATTCATTCGCATATTATTTTACGCTGTGTGGTCATTGTTGGTTTCACAGTTTCTACCATCCTTTGGAATAGATGAACAGAGAGACGTGTAAGATGGCCCTGGAAAAGGGTGTCAGTATCAAAGATAATCAGAATCTCTTTCTACCAATTCTTTTTAAATTAGGCCAAGTTACTAAATGATCTTCGAGATGTATTATTTTAATCAATTTATCTATTTTAAATTTCAATATGTTTTACTAAACTTACAAGACACAAATCGGGGTCCGCGCATTATACCGAAACCCATTATACCGACGCCTATTGTACCGACGCGCATACCGAAAGGCGTTATACCGAATGCCATAATCACTGTTCCACAACTAGTTACTTTGACGATACGTCAATGTAACAAAATGGATGAACTTCCTGGTTACAATTTTTTTGCTTTCTCGATTTAAACCTACTAATAAGTCAAGTTACAGATTATAATTTGGCCCAAAACTAGAAAATATAGCCTAGTTTTAATAAGTTTCTTCGATTTGGAATTTGTTTTGTAAATGAAGATGTAATTCATATACTAAGCCCCTCGCTTTTGTTACATTGACGACAAGCCTGTTATATTACCAATGTATGTTACTTTGTCAATGGGGATTTAGCCCGGTTATTTTTAGAAAACTTGAAAATCTCTAGAATTTGAATAAAGGTAAATAACAGTGCAAAAACTAAGTTGTTTTGATAGAAAATTACACACAGAATTCAAAAAGAAGAAAATGTTAGTCTTTAGTGGTTAAAAATGCAGATCTCCTAAAATCTCATTAAAACGAGACCTTAACGAGATTTCAAAGCTATATGGAAAAGCCACTATTAGATATATACCTTCACTAGGCTATTCTCTGTACTTGTATCCGTGCCTCATTTTGAGTAGCGAGTGTAAATTCTTTTTTGGAAACATGATTATGTTTTCCCTGTAATATGAATTGGAGATATCTGACAAAATATGGATAGCCTAAAATATAAATTTTGTGTTTTTGAACATGCGGAAATATCTTGAACACTTTGAAACTGAAGTACAGTTCCTTAATAGGTCGTTCAGTTTTCTTGCTTTTATTCTAAACAACACTTGTGTTTAATAGCCACGCGTAATTATTAATAAGCGTAATCAGATTATTTCAAGCGTCGAAATAGCTTATTTTCCTCGACATATCTACACAAACCTATTCACTTACCGTTATAGTGAGCGATCTAGATGCGTCAATTATAATTGTTTTCACTCATCAGCTTTAGTGGCCCGCGATACCTTTTATTTCATTCATTTGAGACGCAATTGGTATTTTGGCAACAAATCAAATGTTCTAAATGATTCTTCTTCATTTTGGAATGTTTCTCCAACCCGATATTCAAAGATGTGTCTTAAATATTACATTGATCACGATTCTTGTACTTTCTGTCTTTACGACTCCCGTTCACATTTGCAAGAGTTGTTGATTGCATTACCTTGATCGTTGGTCGAACTTCGATTCCAACTAAATCAGATTAATCAATTAAGAAATGTAATATCATGTTTATCCAAGCAAATAATTGTATCAACTACATTATTTTTTAGCAGTTTTGACACCTAAGCAGGGTAGCCTAGTGGTGTAGACTGAGGCTACTTTGCGGTTGAACGTCGTGGGATACAGAGGTCCCGCGTTCGAGCCCCAGGTACGGAGTTGTTGATCATTGTCACTACGGACACCCGGTCCGAAGGTCCAACCGTTTACCGGCCCTTGGCATGGGTTGGTTCTCTGGCCGCTCTTGCCGGAGACAGATTGTGAGACTGTGGTTGGTTCCTCCACTAACGTGCTTTAGTAAACTCCGGGAGTCATATAGTATGGTAGCGGGCCCCCACCAAGGGCAGTAGTGGAACGACGCGAATCGGTCCCAGTATGGTTGCCTTGCAACTGAAGAGACTCGAGGAAATCATGCCATTCGCAGTGACCCAGAAAAGACTTTTGCTTCTTAATTTGACGTTTTAATTCATTTATTTACATACTTTATTCATGTTACTTTCCAGGCAGTTATGATTTTTATTGGTCAAATGACTAAACGAGACATACTATTAAATACATCTAGATAGTATCAAAACCATAATTCGATTTGTCGGACATATATAAAATAACACCTATAGCTGCAATATCCAAGGGAAAGATCAATACCCGGTGATTTCAGCGGGAAGTGGCGTTTCGTTCAGTGGATGAGCTGCGCGCGCACGCATAAATGTGATTATCCAATATAATTAGGGGAGGGCTATTTGAAATAGTTTTTGGTCTCAGGCGCGACCCAGGGCTGTTGTCTTAAGGACATTTCGTTGAAAATGAGCCATTCGGCTGATAATTGGTAAGAGTTTGCGATCTTATAATGTATAACTGTAACTCAGACAAATATTTTGACACGATTCTGTTGGAAATAAGCTTTGAACCGAGAGATATTCACGATTGATATGCACATTTTTGATTGTGCCATTGCTTTTCCATTGCACAATCCATGTATTGATAGAAGAAACATTAATAATGCAGATTGGTTTACCTTCAATACATGGCAGACACTACATATCGGTCTATTAATACCAGTTTGTGCCTTAAATAATTTTATATTTCCATCCACGGCCTGGAGCCTGGGTGTGTTTGTCTCTTATGTGTATGCTTGTGCATGGACTTCTAATCACTAGCAGAATTTAACATGATGCAAACTCGACATTATAACTCATGCTGTAACATTTTGACTTCGCTGGAAAACAATAGGAATTATTTTTCTTGCCAATCAATCATGAATCACAATCAAAATTTCAGAATGATCAATCAGGCAATGGTCCAAATCAAGTTATAACATTATATGATATTCAGCAAGAAGTCCGGTAGAAATACAGAATATTTAAACATCAAAGCTGAAAGTTAAAAGCTAATCTGTCAATTTTCTGTCTGCAAAAGAGGGTTCACATTTGACACAATAACAGACTGAGGCTTTGAAATCTAGGATTCCCCAGGGAAATATGACGTCATACTAATTAGCATAAGGATTTCCCTATTGGTATGGGTCGAGCCTTGTTCGAAAACACAATCCATAAATACATGCTAATTTCTAAGGAGATAGGAAGTGTATAACGTGTTTATCGATTTTGTTTAAAGATTTAATCAATTATCAAATTGTTTAAGTGGATAAAGTGGTCAAACTTGCTTCAATTCATAGCGAAATCGACGGATAGAAACTGACCGAATTCCCGATATCCTACCCCGTATTACTGTAGGCTATAAGCACAGTGACCTACAGAGGGCGCTATCACAAACAAGTACTGCACGAACCGATAAATTCCCGGGTATTGTAACGCCCTTGCAATATCCGTAGCATTTGGCACAGTCGGTTCCCACGCTCTTACACGTCGCACGAAACTGGGGACAATTAGAGTAACATTATGGCGTCAAAATACCAAAACAATACAATGGGCAGTATAGGGCGCAATCAGCATTATAACGTCAAAAAGGACAAGCGTTACATTTTGTCAAGTTTAGTCAACCTAAAAATAAGATGCTTTATTCTTATTCAATCCTGGTAAAATTCACAGAGCAACAAGATCTCGAGGACAATATTTCTAAAATGTTTTTGATTTTTGAAAAACGGTCAGGAAATCCACTCGGGGCGTTAGTAAAAATTGATGTGTATTGGATTTGTGGTAAAAAATCGATGCGTTACATTTTTTCAAGTCTCTAAAAGCAACTCTTATTCTCTTATTATTTGAAAAATAAAGAAACCGGTTATTGTTTTGTAAATTTCGCCATGACAATATTGTGCAGTTAAATTTTTTTTGAAATCAGACCTAAATTAGAAGGTTAAATAAAGGTAAACCTTCGCCTTCAAAACCTTACACAATTTTGAAAATCTTAAGACGATTTGAACTGTAGCCGCTAGGCAATTGTGACGTCATAAAAGCACATGTTTAAATGAATAAAATGTGAAATTTTAGTAAAATCCTGATCAGTATTTCAAAAGTTATCCCGATTTCAACGAACCATGTAAGCGTGAAATGTTACGCCTTACAGCGTATTTGACGATGTCGGAGTACATTTAACTTCAAAAATATGGTAGATCCCATCACACTTTTCGAGGAAAAATAATTTCAGTGAAATGCGAATAAAAAATACTTCAAAATGATATATAATGCACATAGTTAGCTTTTTAAATAAGCCAGATATTAACGCTTAAAGCTGAGATTAGCCCGTATTTCCCGAATTGTCCCCAGGTCCGTGCACGTCATATCTATCATTTTGTGTGGTCATCATAAGATAAAGAGGTACGGTTGATTGGATCTCATTGAAAGCGCTTGATTGGACCATGGGCTTTCAACAGAGTCAAGAAATTGGCATGGATACTTTGAGAAATGGGGTAGCAACAAAAGGAAACACCGGAAATAATCCAGAAATGTCCACACCATTGTTTTCGTTAGTTATGGCAAGGCCCCGGAGGAAAAACAGCATTCATGGGTTTTAATTTTTGTACCAATTAGAGCCATGACTTAAACTCAACCAAGAACGGTGGAGCAAAGTCACTATGGGTCCCAATTGAGAATCAATTCAAATCAAAATCAAATTGAGAATCAGATGACCTGCTAAGTCTAGTATTGATTTGCCCCTAAATAGATATTAAAGGGGCGCTGAATATTGGACTTAGTTAATAAGCACCATTTTAAACTGCGAATTAAAACATGTATTCAATGTTTCAAAATAATGAAACTGAAATATTGGGCAAAATTATTGATATTTCGTTTGTGGAATGAAAACTGATGATAGAGATAATATCAGTAGCCAAAAACTATATTGCAATTTAAACATGGAAATGATGGAAATGATGCCAATTTAGAAGTATTATATGAAAAGAAATGTTTGTGAAATGGTTAAATGAAATAACTTCAGAATTAATGGGATCATTGAGGCACACATCGATAAAAATCACACTTGGATTTGGAAAGATTTAAAGTAAAACAAATGAATGCGTTTCTTACTATCTCCATGACAACATATCTTGCTCTCTCTCCATGACAACAATTTTTGGCCCCATCAGCACAAGATCGGAAATACAGTACTTATCAAGTTCAATAAGAAATGTAAAACTTTATATTTAATAGCACAATTATTTATTTCTACCAATGAAACAGAATTTACCACGGTTAAATTTATTTTATGAAGTACAGGGTTTACCATAATCAAACATAAATAACAGAATTATGACATTATCCTCTATAAAATACAGAAGTTGATGGTTAACTGGAATTACGTTTGTTGAGTCGACCCCTCAATCCGAAACGCCTAGCAAATTTCTGGCCTCAACTGAGATGTAAAGATGTTCAAAGATTTTAAATTAAGCTTTATCTGAAAATATGTTTTTGCGCGATAAACTTTTAATTGAATATGAATATATAAACAACAGATTGCATCCAGTCTCATATTAAAAAGTTTAAAGTCAAAATATTGTGGAAGTAAATAAAAATGAATTTTTAATTTTCAAGACTTGTCTGTTCAATGAAAAAATCATGTATAATTTGAACCAAGGTGTATGATAAAGTAATATATAAACTATCTATTTTATATGATGGTACAGTAGAATTTCTCTTGGCTTTTCAACATAGCACCATATTTGACTTTTCAGGCTCCACTTTTATTATTCTATGCCTATATAATGTTACTGTGCACTGTCATACATGTACATAATCTTGTGTCTACATGACGTTTTGAAAGAGTATAGAGCTAGATTCAAAGCACCGTTCTTGCGAGTTTCAAATGAAAATATTGAAAATGCATGTATTGAGGACTGAGACTTTTTATGTCTACACTGACAAAAACTTGAAATTTCCGCTGTAAAGAATCTTTACTATATCTTTACTAAAGATATAGTCCCACACGGAAGTGCACGTCATAAAACTGATGGGTTAAGGCAATGTGCCGTCCCACTGGGACGGATTTCGGTACAACGCGCATCGGTAGGCCTTTTCGGCACAATGCGCGTCGGTATAATGGGTTTCGGTATAATGCGCGTCGGTATAATGGGCTTCGGTACCCTGCGTGCAGAGTCTAGTTAAACTACATGAAAGACGAAGACGAAGCTCTCTTTTAAGAAGTGAAGTCAAACGAATGCAAAGGGTAGGGTTTCGGTATAATACGCGTCGGTATAATGAGGTGATCCCCACAAATCAAATTCATTTCAGAGTTTATTCAAATTGGAATTTCTTATTTTCTAGAATTACAGTATTCGTATGTAAAGTGTGTGTATTTTTGTGCAGATAGAGATAAATCCTCTACCCATTGCATAAAACACTGTGACCTTGAGAAATTGTATTAAAACATACAACAGCAAAGTTAATGTTGCATCAACTCTCATAAAATTGAAGTACGTTATAAACAAATCAGATGTTGAATTGAGAAACTACCAAGGACATTTATTTAGGTAAGCTTTTTTCTATATTTATCTAATATTTCCAATCCTACAAATATTGTGAAATATAATACAAACATACAGTAACGAACCATTTCGAAACTGAATAACCTTTTTCCATATGATTCGAGTTTTACTAAAATAGGACTCATTACGTTATGTATTTTCATGTTCGAATGATAAAAATATTGAGTTGAAATTGTTTTTAGTTTTTCATGATATTCAACTTGTCTAATGAAACATCATCTTACGTGATCGGATTTAGACGATTGGTCTGAAGACTACTTTGATTTAGGCTTTGATTAGGCTTTTCCTTAAAATTCGAAACACATTCTTATGCTGTTATGTAGTTCTGTCAACAAGACGCTGGAGAGTGGAGAGGAATTGTAAAAGGGAAAATTATGTTGTTGTTTTTTATTACAGGTCAAGGTCAAGTAATACTTCAGAATGAAGTGTGCATTTATAGTATTACTTTGCATAGTATTTGGTACTGCCATGGCTGTTGATGACAAGTGTGATTGCCAAAGAGGGAAAAGGGGAAAACCTGGTAGGAATGGACAAGATGGTACCCCAGGTCAAAATGGTGCTCCTGGACAAAAGGGTGAACCAGGACAAAAAGGTGACCCGGGTCGAAATGGTGCTCCTGGACAAAGTGGTCCCCAGGGACAAGAGGGTGAGCCTGGACCACATTGCGTTAAACCAAGTTCATGTCCAATTGGATTTGTTTTCAACTCAACGCTCAAATCCTGCTATTACTTTATGTACAATGCCGATGGCTCATGGTTTGAAGGGGATTGGTTTTGTGCACGACAGAACTCGCATCTTGTTTCCATAGAATCTGAAGAAGAGCAGCTGTATCTGTATATGAGACTAACACTAGATAGCCAACAGAGAAAGAGGTTTTGGACAAGTGGCAATAAATTCAATGGACAGTGGAGATGGGATTCTGGTTCTTGTTCTCAAAGCAATCTATTCAGTTATACCAACTGGTATCCAGGTGATCCAGGAGAACCTGTAAGAAAAAGCGGGCCTGAAGAAATCTGTATGGCAGTCGCATTATATAAAGGATTGACTTGGCATCGTGTTCCCTGCCATGAAAGAAGAAACTTTATCTGTGAATTAAACTTGCAAGCCTTATAAAAATTTCATTCAATGGATTTGATTTAACTTGTTACATTAGGTCATCGTAAAATTAGTAATTATGACCTATGAAATATATAAAATATTCAAGTCATCATTTATATAAATTAGCTACAGTATAAGAGCATGTAACATTGTAACACTCATTTTAGTCTGTCAGAATGTTAAGAGCTCTTGAAGTATACCTTTTTGAAATTGTATATAAATCAACTACATTAATATATTGTAAATTATTGATATACCATGGACGTCTACAAGAGGTCCACGATGGATATGCCGAACACCTTACCCCATGTGTCCCTCTGACAAGCTGAGCTGAATAATATGTCAATTTGGTTATTATTTGAGGCATTATTTACAGATGAATATCAGGTTAAAAATGTTGCTTCGATAAAGTTTAATTTGGCTTTTCAGTGCCATTCCAGCTTGCACATCTGGCAAGACTACTGCTAGGCTACTACGCAGCACAAGCTCTAAAATGAGAACAGCATAAATTAAACAGTTTTCACGTTGCAAATGCTATATATGCTCATTTATTGTGAAATATGTAAATTTTAGTGTTTGTGGAAAAGCGTTTATTTTGTCTAAAATGATTTTTAATAACTACCAAATGAGGTTATGTTTATGTTTATCTATTATTCTAAAGATTTGATATGTTTTACTAAATATCAAAACACAAATTCGTACATGTACTATTCATTTTCCAGAGTCATGAAAATTGGACTTTCTCATTTTTAGAATTATAGTATGTGTATGGCTATATGAGAAATTGCATTATCTAAATAAATGAGTTTAGCAGATATTAATAAAAATAATTACCATTGATTAAAACAATATTAACTTGAAATATAGTTAAGGCATACAACAGCAAACAAAACTATTGTAATCAATTCTCAAACAATTCAAATACGTATTAAAGCAAATTAGAGAGTGACTTGAAGAAACTATAAAGAAAATTTAATTAGGTAAACTTATTTTCTATATCTATATTTTATTTTATTTTCAATCATGCAGATATCTCTAGATAATACAGATTTGAACCATTTTGAAACTGGGTAACTTTTTATCTGTGTTGTTCGAGTTTTACTATACTAAAATAGGACTCATTGTGTTATGTATTTTCATGTGTCAGAATATTGAGCTGAAAATTCTGAGTACGATCAATATTGTTACGAAAACGATGTTTTTTTTCATGTAGTCAGCTTGCAGGCTTGAAACGTCATTTTAGGGGACGGATTTGGTTGCTTAAAATTCATATTTAAATACATTCTTCTACTACAGTACTAGTATGGTGTTGTTCTGTCAAGAAAACTCTGGAGTGGAATTGTAAAAATAATTCGTGTAGAAGGGAGAACTTTAAAAAATATCTATTATAGGTGATGGTCATGTCATACGCCAGAATGAACTGGGCTTTCATGCTATTACTCTGCATAGTATTTGGTGTTAACGTGGCGGTTAAAGACAAGTGTGATTGCCAAAGAGGGAAAAGGGGGAAGCCTGGTACGAATGGACAAGATGGTGCTCCAGGTCAAAATGGTTTACCAGGACAAAAAGGTGACCCGGGACCAATCGGTGTACCTGGTAGAGATGGTGCCCCTGGTCAAAAAGGTATCCCGGGACAAAATGGTAGTCCGGGGCGAAATGGTTCACCAGGGCAAAAGGGTGAACCGGGCCAGAATGGTATTCCGGGACGAAACGGTGCCCCTGGACAAAGGGGCTACCAGGGACAAAAGGGTGAGCCTGGTCCGCATTGCGTCAGACCAAGATCATGTCCACATGGATTTTTTTTCAACCCCTCACTCAATTCGTGTTACTTCATTGTCCGCGATCATGCTTCATGGTTTGAAGCTGACGCCTATTGTGCTCGACAGAACTCTCATCTTATCGCAGTAGAATCTCAAACGGAGCACTGCAGTGGCGTAGCCAGCAAATGGTGACCAGGGGTTCGATTTTCTATGTATCCACAAATCTTCCCCTTCATCGGTGTACCTCACAAAAAAGCATTTTTTGTATTTGTCATACATACAATGTACACCCCTCCAAAAGTTTGGCAACAATTTGATTTTCTATGTTGAAATAGTTTTTGGTGAATCTTTTACTGAAAAGATATTGAAATCTGGTAGCAAAATCATACATTTAAATTTTACTGCACTTGTTTAATTGTTCAATGGAATCCAAATCAAGGGTTAGCATACATTGAGCCAACTTTTGTTAAGGGAAAATTATAACATATCTCTAAGGAACATGTTTTTGACGAGCTTCCATTGATAAATCGTCATTCCCAATTCATGCTTTAGAGTTCATTCAAAGATATTCAGACACATGCTATTTTCCCACACTTTTAGATGATTTTTGAAAAGAATCCAAATCAAAAGAATTTTATTTATATTTCATTTTGTAAGACCTCATGAACTTACAGTTATTTACTGAAAACTAGTATATTCATAGCAAATATTTTTGAAGAATGTAATACTTATTTAATCATGGCGCACAATAAAAGTCGTAATGGCTGTACGAATACTCTCAATTGGTACTGACGATAAAAGTGACAGATGACAAATATTATTGTATTACATATGAAACGAAACATTCTATCACCGTTCCGCTGTTTTTATCATTAATGACGAGAATCATGAATGTTTTGAGAAATGAAAACATTTTAGATGAACTTGTGAATCATTATAGACTTTGATTTGTTTTTGAGAAATTAACGTTTTATTATTTTATTCAAGAATGCGGCCAAATCTTTTTAAACACACGATTTGAAACTTGTGGTAGGCCAATCCTCTGTCTTTCTGGCAAGTACACTCCCCTCCAAAAGTTTGGCAACCTAACCTCCCTGCCTCCTCTTTATATTTGAATTTTTATTTACATAACCTGCGGGGAAAATACTTATAATATTGATTAAAATGTAATTTGATTTCACTTCCAATGCCTCCAAATTTTCCCATTTTTTACCTCTTTTGTTGAATTTTGTTTATCCGCTGGTGATTATCAGTGGATCAGTTTTTTAGAAAATAAAAAGTGATTATCAGGAAGCAATGCATATTGGTACACCATGTGATTTTTTAATATTTTTTATTATGAACTTTTTCCCTTAACTGTATGGCATTATTTTTGCTTCTTTATTCATTAAATTCAAATATATTCGATATATGAAATATTAATATTCGCTAAATCATTTTCCATTCGGTAAAAACGTTTATATGTTTGTTACAGCAAATTAAGTTTTCAAAATAGCCAATAACTTAATACCATGTGCATTAAATTACATATTTCATTCGCTAAATGATATGTTTTTTGCGTAAATTGTTAAGGTATTTCTTAAGAGTAACACATTATATGCACACTATTGAATTTCTATTTGAACCCTACCAAAATAAGTTTGTCTATATTTACCGAATGGATTATTTTTCTATGACATAGTTAATGCATTTTACCGAAAGCTAATTTCCTATTTACCGAATGCAATAAAGTAATATTCGATAACTGTCGTTGTTGTTCGATATTTTGTCACGTGACCTCGAGATTTGCAAAATGGCCGCGCAGCTATTCTACATCGTTCAAATATATCACGTGACTGAAAGTCTCGTAAAGTATCGAAAAATAATGAAATTTATCGAATGTGGCATTCGGTATTTACCGAATATAAATAATTTAAATACCGAATGTACAAATAATTAATTGAATTATACGTGCGTTAAGGAAAACAAACAGATTCGCTGCATCACACAAATACATGTACACTGTGTATAAATATCAAATGTGAATGCCAACACAAAGAACAAGTGAAACTATTTAGCGAATATAAATTGTATAGATTATTACATTCGATAAAATAAAAAACATTCGATAGATTTGGTAAAGGTTTGGTAAATTGTTTGTTTTATTTGGTATTCATGGAATATTTAATGTACCGAATAAAGAAGCAGTTTAAACACCATATAACTGTGAGAATGTAATACTCATTTGAAATAATAAATCTAGACTTATTTGATATAATCCTCCTTACGCCTTTGCTTTCCTCAGCAAAAGATGACTGCATCTGACCTTTTTATTGGACAGAACTTTCCACTGCACGTAATGTGTGTACCTTTTACACTTGTATCTAGTAACACAGACATACTCACCTAATTGCCTCCCTTAATCCATTTATTTGCTAAACATATTATAATTAATGTCATAAACGCGATCCACTAAAGTTTGATATTCTTGAAAATAGAGTAAATACTTAATACACTGAAACAGCAACATTTTAATCTTAAAATGATCTCCGAGATGAAAGTGCATCTGAAAAAGCAAAACTGATTTTTTTCGCAATCGATTTATTTTTCCTTAAAAAGTGATGGATAATAAATACCCATTCGATCAAATACTTGTGTTTATAAATGATACATATGCTTTTAATAATAACTCATTTCAAAATGTTTCTATTATTTAATATTTGCTTTTGAGGACTTGTCAGACCCGGGGACTTAGCAAGATTTTTTTTGTTTGAAATAAAACAAAACGGAGGGGCACAGATTTGAAAGAAAATGTGTTTTCATCAGAATTAAGACAATTTGTTTATTTCACTGTAGATGGAGCAGCTTTTCATTGATATTTTTTCTTTGCATAATGTCATAATGCTCCGGGGTCTTCCCAAAATTAAACAATCCCACCCCGTGCCTGAGGTTGCCAATCTTTTGGAGAGAAGTGTAAATTTACTATTTTTATCTACTAGTCATATAAATTGAATATATGTTATTGGTTATTGCAATGAATTTTCCACAAATATTTTTGGGGGGGAATCCCGACCGGGGGTTCGTCCGAACCCATCGAACCCCCGGTCCCTACGGCTATGAGCAGGTATACCTGTTGGGAAAACTATCACTGATGGGATTACAAAATCAACGTATTTGGACAGGCGGCAACAAATTTACTGGCCAATGGAGATGGAGTTCCGGCCCTTGCTATCATAGCAGGCTAATGACTTACTCCAACTGGTCGCCAGGTGAACCAAGCAATAGCCCCGAAAACTGTGTGGAACTTTGGAAAGGAGTGAAATGGAATAATAATGCGTGCCATGTAGTGTTGTACTTTATCTGTGAAGTAAACCTATAGTCATGAGTTCGATTATTAAATTGTTATGAAATAAACGATAAGACACTAAGTTAAGAAATAGATAGATAATGGAGTAATATGTGAAACAGTATAGTATAAAATCAGTCTTGTACGGTACGTTCTTTTATTATAACAGTTAACCCCCACCCCCCGAGAATTCATAATGGTCTTGGACCATCGGGAAAATTTGCGTTTGTGAATAATCCAACCAATTGAGATCAACAGTCATTTTCCGTCCATCTGTCCAAAATAACCACAGTTAATTTTAGTTTTATTCCATAGCAAAAAAATCTAGGAAGTAACCTTGATAAAAAATTGTTTTAGTCTTAGAGAATGTCAGTTGGGGCTCGTATCATTCCTTTGTCATGTCAAGTTTTGAAAAATACTCAAAGTACATACTTTATTTGATAATTGTTACAATAATGCCATTTTTCTATAAATCTGTCTCCCCATTTGCCATTTTGGCAGAATTTAACATTTTCCATTGCAATTTTGTCCCCAATGGATCTGATTTTTCCTTTAACGTTAAAGGTGCTCAATGTAACTGTACTGTTGAACGGTAAAATATTTTTATTACAAAATAATGGAATTAAATTTTGAATGGCATACACTCAAATAATCTTTCCATGGTACATTCATTTTTATGTCACCATCAAAAAGTGGTGACTAATTGTGGTGGTCTCCGTTTTATTTTTGACGGCGGTCGGCGGATGGCGGTTGGTGGTTGGCGATCGGCGTCTGTAACAAATTCTTACAACTTCCAATAACTTAACATATACTGTTCAGACTGACTTCAAAATCAAAAATTTCAAAATCATCAGATACTAGTTATCAGAAGTTCAAAGCTGACTTTAGATTTGAGATTTGACCTTCAATGACTTTCTCAAGGTCAAAAAAGGTCAAAAGGATATTTTTCAACTTGCTTCAAATTAACTACTTTTTTCAAAATCATCTGCAAGTTCTCAACAGTTCAAATCTGACTATAGATTTGACCTTCAATGAGATTCTCAAGGTCAAAAAAGATTTGACCTTCAATGACATTCTCAGAGTCAAAAAGGTCTTTTTTCAACTTGCTTCAAATTGACCAATTCATTTTTTCAAAATCATCTACAAGTTCTCAGAAATTCAAATCTGACTTAAGATTGAACTCATGATATTGTGAGCAAGGTGGTGACATTTTGTCATGTTAATGCCTTGTATTTGATCTGTTGTTCACATCTTATGGAAGATTGGACTCATAATATTGTGAGTAACTTGATGGTGACATTTTGTCATGTTAATGCCTTGATTAGAACTAGTACCATCGTGAAATATCAATTACATTATAGCATACAAGTTGATGTACAGGGTCTCAAAAAACAGGACCGTAAGAAAGTTGAATAACTCGGTCAATTTTGCCTTTAAAGGAGTGGTATCGATATGGTGAACTCTTTGAACACGCGTTTCTCTTAAACCAGTCATCAAAATATTCTGAAAATTTTACACATCGTCAATTTAATGGCCATCTTTTGGATGGTAACATTATAATTTGATATATATACAGGGTGGGCCAAAAAACGCCACTTTTTTTCAAAATGCTATAACTTTTTTAATTTTTGATACAAAATCATAATTTGCATACCAAATGAAAATTTAGGTTGTCATCTAGCCATTGATTGAATTATACACTTTTACTTGAATAAAATATGTCACCAGCGTCTCACTTAAACATGTGGGGTGTGCCATGAGAAATAAGCATAATTTGCAAAATGTTCCTGAACTGATACGGCCTGATGATCGCCAAGCTAATAGCCCTGATGCAAACCCCAGTAAGTGTAGGGTATGGGAAGGTCTCCAGGAGATTTATGAAGGCACCCAATCTAGAAAATTTCTCAACTAAAGCTGGCATTTAAGACAGGTTGAAAAAACTTAGCTAACATTTCATTGATACTGCTATATCAGCAAGGCGACTAAAACTAAAATATATCATCAATTAGGGTGGCGGACCAATTGAACTCCCCTTTTATATCAAATATAATCCAAGTTGAAGGACTTGTTACATTATAGTATTACTAAGAAGCCCTGGCACTATATAACTGCAAAATTTGGGGTGTGTAGGTTGGAAAATAAAAAAGTTGTAGTGTCTTGAAAAAAAAGCGGCGTTTTTTGGCCCACCCTGTATATATACTTTTCCCTATATTGTTTTAGAAAACACATCAGACACTTTTTTGTTCTTGGTATCACATGTTCGGAATGAAATGAAACATCTATCCGAACCTGAATAGAACAAAACGACATAAACACAACGTGTTTAGGTCTCTCAATATTGTAATTGTACAAAGGAAAGTTTGGTTTATTTTTAAAAAAAGTATCTTGTTAATGAAATAAAAGGTTTATCTTAATTTGTATCTATTTTGGGGAATTCTGTTTTAAGTTTTTGCATATTTTCTGTTAAATCAACCAAAATTTCGTTTGTATAACTATAATATTGAGAGGTGTAAGAAAATGTTGTATATGCTAATTTGTTCCAACAAGGTTCGGAAAGACGTTTCATTTCATTCTCAAGAATTGGTAGACAGGAACAAAAAACAATTCCACTAAAAAACAAAAAATGTTAACAAAAACAGTTATAAAAAATAGATATAAATAATTTTTGCATTAAATTGTTGCCGTGTTTTTTTACAAAATGTTTTCAATAATTGGCTTAAGAGAAAAACATTGTTGAATTCAGTTCACCATATCGATACCTATCCTTTCATGCCCCAAATGCGCACCTCTCCTCCCTATGCACAATGTAATCCGGCGAACAAAGTTGTTGATGATCCTCCTACACACATTTCTTTCAGAATGGACAAGTTTATTCCAAGAACAATTGCTACTGGGGCTTACATCCTCCTAATGAAGTGTAACAGCATCCATTGCATTCTGAACAACGCACTGCCTGGGTGGCAATGAGCAAACATGGAATCATCAGTCTTTTTTGGGTCGAAGAATTGGGTAAATTGTCAAATCTATAGCGATTGGGAACGTAAACATGCGAATCGAAGTCCAACCTTGCGCATTCTTCTGAAGCAGTCCTAAGCTTTCCGAAGAAAATTTGAAAACAGAAAATTTGAAAACATTCAACCGTTTAAAGCACATTTTACATCATCAGCAAACATCGAGTAATATGTCACTTTTTATTATTAAATAGTCGCTTAAAATGGAATCTTGCGGTTATAAATTAAAAATGAAACGATTTATAAAATTATTATTGACAACTGTGTCACTGTGAAGTGAAGATAGGCATTCTGATACTCATAGTATCTCTCTCTGTTGCATCCAGAAGGATAGAGATGGAGAGGGCGTGGCTTATTATTTGCGATTTGCAACAAGGTTGTAAGATCTATTCCATGATTTTCAATTTGCGTCACTGGACACGATGCGCCAGATTATTAGCCTAACATGATACTTATGCCTTGGTCACATTTGCTCCGATCCATCGGCCGGCGCCCGCCCGATTGAGTGTTTTGTTCAATATTGTATTCAATTTAGAACAAAATACTCAATCGACCGGGCGCCGTAGAGAAAATCGGAGCAAATGTGACCAGGGCATTATTATCGTGCAGCTAAAATTTGCGCTGCGTCGTGGTGCGCTTGTGAAATTGCTATTGCGTTGATCGTTGTTGGAGCCTGAGGCCTAATTCATGAAAGCTCCGCAAGCTTGCGTGTCCGCAATGTATTTGCGGACCTATTGCGTGTCCGCAATTTATTGCGTTACGTCGTATTCACAAAGCTATCCGCAAATCCAGGGCGTGTCCGCATGTTATCTCCGTGTCCGCAAGCCATGTCAGTTTGACCCCTTATAGCGACCCTTGTTAATTTTGACCTCGGGTTGACATTCTGCTTCAAAAAATGGCTGACGAGGTCGGAAAACAACGCTCGGAGGCTTTCTCCAGTATTCAATTAGAAGTTATGATGGACATCATAGAAAAAAGTATGATGTGTTGACGCATTCTCTAAGTGATCTGCTCACGCTTAAAAAAGAATGAGGCATGGGATTGCATTGTGAGGGAGCTAAGCTTAGATCACCAGTATCGGCGTCTTGAACCCATAATTTTACGTCCCGTTAGATAATATATGGTCGATATCAAGCGAAGGTAACTGCCGTCACTTTCGCATTCAAGATGGTAAGAGATAAACCCACAACCATAACAACGGAGCCAGTATATACAAAGGCGATCCCAAATGACTTCAATTGTTTCTACACAGTTCTTCATAAAAACATTGGAAACAAAAAAATCTGTAAACATTCGAGCGACGCTTGCTTCATGTCTGGCTGTTCTTCATCCTAGGATGAAAGAACAAAAAAGAGACGCATTTTGTAATTCCCTGCATCCCCAAATAAATATCTATCATTCGATGCTTTCCACACCATACTACTAATATAATATCATTTCAAAACAGTTAATAATGATTGAAGGAAATATTCAAGAAAAATCTTCTGGTTTTCTTCGCACGTAAATCTCTGTTTCTTTTTAACATTTCTCTTTAATCCGATCTATCCTTAAAGGAATATACTTTGTTTAGATCGATAACTAACAATTTCTAATTAAAATATTCGGGGAAAACGAGTCCTTCAATCGGGGGATCCTCTGGGATTTTACAGTGTTGTTTATATATTGGTTAATTTTAGCGATCTTTTAATACCGTTAACTCACCGTTTACTTCTGAAATGGCTCTCAGGGAAATTTTCGGAAAGTTAGACCGGGGAACCCTCGAACCCCCGGTGGCTACAGAGTTGTATACCATCTAGACAGGTGAATAATGATAAAAGTTATAACATAATCGAGAGCGAAATCTACTTCAAAATATATCCTCGGGGTGATATTGAAATTAGCAGGATGATATGGATATAAGATATGATACACTCCCCTCAATAAGTTTGGCAACCGTTCTTGTGTTCATGGATTGACGATGACAAATAGCTACCAGAGGGTACTTTTTATTCATATTCAAAATGTACATAATTGAAGTTGCGGTGTTCCGCAACATTGAAAACTTTAAAAACTACTCATAACACATTGCTTTTACATCCATATTTGAACGTCTATATCACATTCTAATTTTTATTTTATTTATTTAGAAAATTGTCCTGATGAAAGGACGATATATGAAATACACATGTACGTATTTCCATCACTTAAAGCTAATGTTAAATGTGTTCTCAAGGGGATTGATTACACTGAATTTTCAGAGAGTGACTTGCGGATCTCTACAGCCACGTTTACGTCTCACGGTTTTCTCGTTTTTATGCTTTTTACGAAGCAAGTGTTCTCACCAGTTTTTTTCTAGGTGCATTGGTGCACTTTTTGTTCAAAACTGAAAATACAGACAATGAATGTGATGAAGGAGTGATTCCTAATTGAAAAATAACATGTGTCTTTATTGAGGATTGCAGCAAAATTCCGAACATACAAACTAACCTCAAGGTTGCGGTGTTCCGCAACCTTAAAAATCTCAAAAACATACTCTGACCAGGTTGCTTTTACATCCATATTTGAACGTCTATATCACATTCAATTTTTGATGTTTTTATTGGGAAACTTAACCTGATAAAGGACAATACCAGGTTTACACATGTACGTATTGCCATCACTGAAAGGTAATGTTAAGTGTTTTTTCAAGAGGATTCATTACACTGAATTTTCAGAGAGTGACTTGCGGTAAGTACAGAGGTACCGCACGATAATGACGCAATTCTCGCGGTACCGCAAGATATCTGCGGTGATGCTGACTTTGCGGTCCCTTTGTGAATTGGAAATAGCGGTACCGCAGTGAGTTGCGGAATTGCGCAGGCTTGCGGAGCTTTCATGAATTAGGCCTCTGTGCCAGATTTGTAAAGCAATTTTCCGCATTATGAATCTCAGTGTACAAATAGCTAAGCGGATTGGCGAGGTAAGGGCGCAATTCTTTTGGCAAGAGTAAATACGTTTCAGTCAAGGCCCAGCAAACATATAATTACTACATAGGGCGCTTTTACATATCGGGTATAAAAGTTGTGTTTTTTGAAACGCTCGTATTCGTTACTGAACATCACTGCTTCAAGATGCAAAAAGTTTTTTTAGTACTCGTCCTTCTTGCCGTGGGGGCCACTGTTAAAGGTATGTATTTTCATCTATAGTGTCTTCATCTGTGAATGTATTTTTCCATTTATACAGAATGTATAGAAATTAGAAAATTTAGTGACCTACTTATTTTGTACATTTAAAAAGTAGGTCACTGAATTTTCTCATTTCTGAAACATTTTATAAAAACAATATTCTCTTTATTCTTGTCTAGGTAGATTAGTGCACTCTTTTTGTAAAACTGAAAGATGTAGAGCATATATGGAATGATTTATATGGTTATCATCTTTCAGTTTTGATCAACAGATCAAAGAGTGCATGAATATATATACCGTTGTTTTTATATTATGAAACCCATTTTATTACAAATTGGTTCATGAAATTCGAAAGTTTCATGAAAATACTCATCATGCGGATCTCCCTTGGAAAATATTCCAGATATATGAAAAATTCAATGTCCTACATTTCTTGTGCTTTTTATAAGTGGGTCACCATTTTTTTTTCATTTTCAACTATGAAGATAGTAATCCTCAACTAATAAGCTAGGTGTGATTTAAGTCATTTGATTGCTTATTTTATTGGTTTAATTAAATCAAAAGAAGGAATTGTAAGCTGATTTTTTTGTATTCAGGTGAAGGACTACTTAAGCGTCTCGTCGACCAGCTAACACTCGAACTGGAAGAAAGAAATGAACTTGGTTAGTATAATAGGTCGCTCTGCAATAGCAGGCCCAGGAATATATTTGAGAACTGGGAAAGGAAAACCAAGATGTGCACAGGTGATCCATTCGATTACGCTGGTTACCGAAACGGTTCGTTTCGGTAACAAAATGTCGGAACGTTTTAGAAAATGTATATTTTTGCGAAAAAATATCTCAGTAGACACCAGAATCCTGGATTTAATTCCTCACTTAAGTTACAGAAACGGTTTGGTTTAAAAGTGCAGATCTTAACAACTATTTTTCGAAATACCATTTCTGAACTTAAGTGAGGAATTAAATCGACGATTCTGTTGTCTTCTGAACTATTTGTTCGCAAATGTGTACATTTTCTTAAAAATATGTTACTGATACTGATACACGTTTGTGTTAAAATGCCGTGAGAATTCTGCCTACAAGGTGTGAAATAAGGAAAAAAGAAAAATCGTAGCTTCGATGTTCCGACATTTTGTTACCGAAACGAACCGTTTCGGTAACCAGCGTTTACAATCGAGTGGATCACCAGTGATATGAAGACAGAAGAAGGGATATATTTTTAAGGTACATGTCCCGGGTACATGTGTAGTTGTTCACTGGTAATAAGTGGCTCCATGTTAAAAATAGGAGCATTGATTGGGCGAATGTTAAGCATTAAGACCATGACAATTCAAGCAAGCTCGGGCTATATTGACGTCAGACCTCAGGCATATATTCAATGATAGGGACATAATTGCTAAATATCTTTATGTATTCATCTTTTCTTATCCATATTAGATATTAAAAACATTTCAAGGAATATATGTTCATCGCTACCAAAAAGCTCAACAGTCAGCGACACTAAATGTGTTGACAAGGCCATCGTACAAATTATTTAGTCATTGTATTGCCTCAAATACATGCCAACAGAACACAGTTGAAACTGCGTTTTACTTTTTGCGTAATCAGAACTCACGTGTATAATATTACCAACATGAATCAGCCGCGATCTCTCGGGCAAAGAGTCTTCAAGAATGACTCGACTGAGAATTGTTGAAATTGAGTTTCAATATTTTTGGGCGTTATTAAAATATGCGGGGTGGCTCAAAATGATCGGCCAAGGCATTCCGTTCAGGTAAGGATCTCTGAACAATTTTATCATGAACAGGTAGATGGGAGTTTTCGGGATCATCTCACTGCAAGGATGGGACAATGATCACCTCGTTCACAATCAACGAAAGCTCTTGAATTAAACAATGGTTATATATGGTTCCCGGGCCTCCAGAGAATTGAATACGTCTTAAGAAGGTTTTAAACAACATGTTTCCATAATGGATTCAAGAAATATTTAAACTCACATATAGGAATGACAATGTCGGTGGTCACATTTAAGCATTTAAGAATATCATCTGTCAACATTTCTTAGGATGGCAACTTACGTTCATAATGTTTCATTTTTTAAGCTTACACTTAATACTATAGTATAGTCGTAACCAGGGGGGGGGCGATAGGTGCGATCAGTGATCACCCCCCCCCCCCCAACCAATAAAAATAAACCCATGGGAAAGAAGAAGAAAAGAGCTTTAAAATGCTTTTTAGCTCAATTTTGAAGGAAGTTCCATCAATTTTTGTAAAATTCAAAATAAATCCTATTTTTTGGCTTGTTTATGCCACAATTACACCCCCCTGGCTACGCCTACGCCCTCTGACTGAAAGCTGGCTACGCCCCTGATAGTATACTCGTAGTCCTACACTTGATAAACTAAAATACAGAGAAAAGCTTTAGACGTGGGTCTCAAAATGATTCATATTTTCTCAAACCACAATTACCATTGTATTTAGTATACTAGTTTACATATTGAAACATTCACTTTCAGCTGCCCTCGAACGGGAACTAGGCCTCGGGGTGCTGGTTCAGACTGATGACAACAACCAAAAAGAAGAAGAAGGTAGTCAATTTTAGATACAATAGTTCTGTAATGACCAGATGATTCTCATGAGCTTTACAGGGTGTCAAATAAGTCGCGTCCCCCCTGCAATAGCTAAAACCTTAATAGATGGTGCCTAGTGTGATATACCATTGGAAAGATCATACAAAGTTATGTTAACTCACCAACTCTCAAGTATTTTGGATGAACTTCACCTATATTTTCACGATGTCTTTTATAGTTAGCATACCCTCCTTTAAAGGGTGACGCATATCGTTTAGCAAATCGAACGCTCGTTTCTGGTGTTGCTCACCGTTTAGTATAAAAGGCCCGATCCCGGAATAATACTCAAGGGTTCACAGGTTTGAGGTCGTTGTGTCAACACCTCTAACTGTTATATAGCATAAGTATATTATAGATCGTCACACATTTATAAAAGGGTGATTTTTATTTTGACAAATCAATTCCACATTTATGGGCGAAGTTTCAGGATCATCTATTTGTGTATAATAAGGAAAAATTGGCATCTAAATTTTCCCATAACGTAATAGCACACAGCTTGGCATATGAAATATCCTACAAATGAAACAAAGCAAGACAAACCGGTTTCTAATGCAAGGATTTATATTGGCTGTTGTACATGTATTCTTTGAACGCAATCACTCTTTGGATAACGTTTTCAAAATCATTATAAACGGATTACTTTATCTCAAAGACAATTTCAATAAACTGGATTTTACAGAACTCCCCTTATTTCTTAAAAATGGACTGATCCAGTTGATTCGCCTAGAGCCGCCATATTGTTTTTATACGGGATGCTAATCGGAACCCTTTAAGTAGCTTTTTTGCTTCAAAATGAGAAGGATTTGACCTCAGAAGTACGTCAAAAAGTTAATCTTTTTCGCATTCCACTTGTTAAAATAATGTTTTCACCACTTACCTTGCTCCTCTATTTTCTACACATCTTCCCCTATCCAGAAATTGGTTAAATTCATTGCCAAATACATATGTAGTCATCTTTAGATCCTTTGACATTTCTTATACCCGTTTCTGAAAATCCTGCCAAATACGCCAAATTGCCATGTTTCTAGGCCTATGGTCACCTCAATTGATACACTGTAAAACTTTGTGAGATTGATTGACATGTGTCAGATATATGCTAATCAACGTAACTTTGGAAGACCTTTCCAATGATATATCACACTTGGTACCATATATCTTGGTTTTGGCTGTAGAGGGGGGACGGGACTTATTTGACACCCTGTATAATAAGGAAGCTGTGATTATTTTAATATGAGACATTACACTATCTTTTGGATAAAATTCTAAAACTTCATTTTATTTGAGAATAAACCAATGCGCATGAAATTAGATTTCACATCTTCATTTTGTATCGGAAGATAATTAGATTTTTATGGACTAAATAAGTCAATTTTGAATCTCTGAATCCCAAAGTCGAAGTCAAATAATTATGATAAGAACATTATGTTAATTATGTTATTCAGCGAATTTGAACCTTGGATGTTTTGTTAGAGCGACTAGAGCTATAGCTATATGTTTTTAAAGGGGCAACAAGGACCGTAGAGAGGAAATTCAATTTTTTTTATTTTTTCTGAGCTAGCAGGTCAATATTTGGCTTAAAGGGTGACGCATATCGTTTAGCAAATCGAACGCTCGTTTCTGGTGTTGCTCACCGTTTAGTATAAAAGGCCCGATCCCGGAATAATACTCAAGGGTTCACAGGTTCGAGGTCGTTGTGTCAACACCTCTAACTGTTATATAGCATAAGTATATTATAGATCGTCACACATTTATAAAAGGGTGATTTTTATTTTGACAAATCAATTCCACATTTATGGGTGAAGTTTCAGGATCTTCTATTTGTGTATAATAAGGAAAAATTGGCATCTAAATTTCTCCATAACGTAATAGCACACAGCTTGGCATATGAAATATCCTACAAATGAAACAAAGCAAGACAAACCGGTTTCTAATACAAGAATTTATATTGGCTGTTGTACATGTATTCTTTGAACGCAATCACTCTTTGGATAACGTTTTCAAAATCATTATAAACGGATTACTTTATCTCGAAGACAATTTCAATAAACTGGATTTTACAGAACTCCCCTTATTTCTTAAAAATGGACTGATCCAGTTGATTCGCCTGGAGCCGCCATATTGTTTTTATACGGGATGCTAATCGGAACCCTTTAAAACCTTCTTTGACATACCTATTTTCTTAAAATGTATGCATAAACTATCAATTTCAGCGTAAAGAAGTGTAAATTCAGTTCAAAGCTTCTATAAAGGGAGTCTCACTTATAGATTTTTAAGATCCACCACGTTTCAAGAGGAATATCAGCTGAAATAATGTTCATCCAGGGGGTTTCTTTGGAGATAATGAAAATATATGTTAGTCTTGATGAAATATCCAAACTTAAATATATTTTGACACTGGTTGATGACCCCCCTGCACTAATTGTTGCACCTTTAATATCAATATGAAATGCAGAAAATAAGTGTATTTTGTTTTGTAACAATTAATATCTCGTATGCTGTTTTAAAGGTGTTATTTCTTCTTTCGACAGACATCCGAACTACTGGATGACATGTTTACCTTAAACAAAAATAATTTTGCAGTTTCAGTTGGTGGATGTAAGGATGAAGGAAAATGGAGTTCTAAATGTCAATATTGGCTGAGTCAATGTGAAACAAGCTCAAGGGTGCAGAGAATCTGCAAGAAATCGTGTGGACTGTGTAAATAAAACCCAATCGGAACATTTGACATCATGGAAAACGGCCAAGTCAGCTTCATTATTCAACTCCCTTTGAATTTTGTAAAACTCATGCACACGTATATTGTATCATTATAATAGATGAAAATGTCATAATAAAAATGTGCTTAACTTTCAAACCATTTAGACAATATTGTTTTATGTTCATATAGTTCATCTATGTAGTGGTTACACTTGTATCTGCTACGTGAAGCAGTTGGCTTACAAGTGTGACGGTTAACTAAAAGGGGAAACCTTAATGTCTGTATGATATACCAGCTAATCTTTATGTCTGTGTGAGTAGGCCTGTGTACCTCTGGTCAGTATCAATTGAAGGTTACGCATTCAAGATGGAGGATGGAAAGTGTCGATTTCGATATTTTTAGTTCTCATCGTATTAAACTATTTTATAGTTGACATAATGCTTTGATATTTGAACTAAACCAGGCTTATAATTTAATTTTTCACCCTACTTTTACCAAATTTACATGAAACCTAAAAATTAATGAGGGATGTCTTGATACTGATCAAAACATTTTTCATCTCAGTTATGCAACTCGATTTTGTTTTATTCCTAAAAAATATTCAAGTGTTTCTTGGGAAGGAACCGGAGCTGACGAGGACCCGGAGCAGATCGCATTATTCCAGGCATTATGGTACAATATTAATATCCCACATGTGGCATATCCGTTTTGATTCGAATAGAATTACCATTCTCACAAACACATTAAGAATAAATAATATTAAATTCAAAAAGCATGGAACCATGTCTCAATTCTAAAATGGATCGAAATCATTAACACAGGAATTTGGGATTTCCGGAAAACTGATACTTGGAAACCTCATTTTAGTACTGGTCGGAAAACTTGGATGTAAAAAAGATACACCAGACTTTGACGTCTATGATGATTCGGCAAATATAAGCCTGTTACGAGGAAACCAAACCCGTCTGACCCAGTTATCTAATATCTACGCCTGACGTGTAGATCTGGCCAGTATCTACTAGACATTTTAGAATCAGGGAGTAGATAACTGGGCTAACCAAACCCGTCTGGCCCAGTTATCTACTCCCGATGTCGTAGATCTACGACGTTAGGAGTAGATAACTGGGCCAGACGAGTTTGGTTAATAACTGGGCCAGACGAGTTTGGTTGGTTAAAAGGGTGACCGAAAAAATACTCATGAAATATAATAACTAGTTTATCAAACTGTACAAAAGTTGATTTTTAACTCCCAATGAAACATATGAATGATCTCGATTCAATCAAACAACAAAACAGAGTCTAGTGATGTGAATAATTTTATTCACCAACAACCATGATTTAATTGTTTCACCTATAATTTGTGATAAGGAACATAATCAGATAGAGACATTTTGGTGGGAGGTGTAAGCATTGATAAACTCTGAGCACCCTTTGTGTATTCAACTACCGAAAATGGACCAGGCAGATGGGATAACGTGACGTAGAGACTTGGGCGGTACCAACATTTATCTGTGAAATTAATTATGTATTTGTTAATATAACTTTTCTTAGATGAAGTTTTTTCAGTTAAAATATGCATACTGCAAGTCTTTCTTGAAGAAGCCTCGGTGTGTATTTAAATTTTCACTTCAACTAAAAATCTATGAAAAATAGATTTCAAATTTGACAACTTTTTCAAAGCAAGATATGGGTAATTTAAATTCGTTAATAACTGTTGGCCCCAAAAAAAACCAAAAAACTGTTGGCACCACCCCGTCGATTTTCCCACCTCCCCAGTCCATTATTGGATACTGTGTATACCAATGGTGTCTAGTGTAGTATACCAATAGTGTCTAGTGTAGTATACCAATGGTGTCTAGTGTAGTATACCAATAGTGTCTAGTGTAGTATACCAGTGGTGTCTAGTGTAGTATACCAATGGTGTCTAGTGTAGTATACCAGTGGTATCTAGTGTAGTATACCAATGGTGTCTTGTGTAGTATACCATTCAGTGTGGGCTGTAGTTGTCACCAACTTAAGAATTGGAAAGTTACCATCACGACTAAGGTGGAAAACATGATCGCCCAATTTAACATATTGGCATTCAGTTCATTGCCCAATAGGCAATCAGTCAGTCCATTGCCAAGAGTGAAAAATGGTTGCCATTGGCAGTCAGTCAGGCAGCTAAGTTTTGAAGCCTGTTTACAATGTACCCAGCTGACTAGGTACACTAAGCCCTCCATGTTGAACCCCCTTGTAGTTTTATCATCAACAATTTCATGAAGTCCAGAAAATATCTATTTAATGGTAATGTCTAATGAATATCTATTATATTTCATGGTAGTGTTTTTAATATTGTATGTCAACTGAGATCTGACTCCTTGATTAAACTATCCGTTTGTTATTGCGCTAAAGTTGTCAGTTTTTCACTAAGAGCCAGTTGTGTGCGTGTAAGATTTGACAGGTAAACCACCATCAGTAGATCCTGAAAAACACAAGTGACATACATGAACAGATGTTAACTGCTAATTTAAAACCACACACATAGAGATAAATATCACACTTTTATATCGCAAAATTCAAAATGACCACCCAGTAATTTATCCATCACGCTTAAAATCTAATCACATATTAGCTTTAGTCTGCTTAAAGCATCTGAAAAAATTTAGAGTTGAACAACAGCAGGTAAAGTGCTTTCCTTGAATTTCAATGACAAGATACATGTGTTGCCACCCCCCCCCCTCACACATCCAGTAGCACAAGGCAACAATATAGCATTTCGAAAAATGTTATAATAATCATTTAAAGCTCATTTACAGGTAATATATTCGATCAATTTGCTTGAAGCTCATGTATTTAAACATGCAAGATAGCCTTTTGAATGTTTAGATTTAAATGAATATTACACAAGTTTAACAGGGACAGTTATAAATCTCATTAACAAATAAATAATAATAGGTACCTCATGACAAATGAAGCATATGGCAAATAAACATTACAAATAAATAATAAATATATGTCGTTGTATAAAAGGTACTATATCATATGCTCTGACATGGTATTCAGAGGTTAACATACTTAAAGCACTCATTTTAATGACCTACCTACTTTCAATTACCTGTAAAAGGTAATATATACTTACAGCACTCATTTTAATGACCTACCTACTTTCAATTACCTGTAAAAGGTAATATATAATAGCATATGCTTTGACATGGTATTCAGAGGTTACTGTACTTACAGCACTCATTTCAATGACCTATTAAATCGAAGGGATCTTAGGTAAATCACAGTGTAAATGTTTTTTTCATAAGAGAATTGATAGCAATGGCATCTATGTATTCATCTCATAGCTTATTGAAACATTGCCAGTTGATTAAAATTTTGGAAGCAAACAAATATCAATCAACACCATGGGATGTATATAACACAACATAAAATTGAGTAAAAGCCTACCTTCATATTTGAGTTCAGCATTTCTTCGAATTCTTCAGGGTCAATTTTAGGTACGCTGTTAACAAGGTCAAGTAATGTTCTTCCTATCTGGTTATCTGCGGTTATTTTTCCTGCCTATAAGTTATAATAATAAAAATACATCAATTTCAAAATAGCTTCCTCAACTTATGATTTCTACAACCTGGCAGGAGGACGTTTAAATCAGTATTTCTAAAGGAGATTCATTATGCCAATTATACCAAGTACTGTGTCTTGCACGTTATCTCAGTTTGATTATCAAATAAAAGAAACAGTGCTTATTTCATTAGAATGATGAAACGAAGACATGAGATAACAAGTTGATTATGGAAATGTACAAAAACTTATTAAAATATGTATATGATTTAAATTAGTCGAGATGTGTAAAGATATACAGAGTGATCCAAAAAAGTGGAACATCTGATAATCATTCAGTGAATGTAACAGGTCTAACACAACATGGAAGGCACACATACCAGTACATCATCTACGTATTGTAAAACATTTGCTAGTTTCTCCTCAAGCCGCTCACATGCTGTCTCAACTTGCAAGAGGTCAGACACCATGCTTATAGTACGCTTAGGGTTGTATTTGCTCTTCTGTAGAAAGTCCACTGTAACAAACCAGAAACACATATATACATCAGATATGCAGTATTCAACATGAAATGATGATACATAATGAACAGATCAGACACCATGCTTATGGTACACTTAGGGTTGTATTTGCTCTTCTGTAGAAAGTCCACTGTAACAAACCAGAAACACATATATACATCAGATATGCAGTATTCAACATGAAATGATGATACATAATGAACAGATCAGACACCATGCTTATGGTACGCTTAGGGTTGTATTTGCTCTTCTGTAGGAAGTCCACTGTAACAAACCAGAAACACAATAGTACATAAGATATGCAGTATTCAACATGAAATGATGATACATAATGAACAGATCAGACACCATGCTTATGGTACGCTTAGGGTTGTATTTGCTCTTCTGTAGGAAGTCCACTGTAACAAACCAGAAACACAATAGTACATAAGATATGCAGTATTCAACATGAAATGATGATACATAATGAACAGATCAGACACCATGCTTATGGTACGCTTAGGGTTGTATTTGCTCTTCTGTAGGAAGTCCACTGTAACAAACAAGAAACACAATTGTACATCAGATATGCAGTATTCATCATAAAATGATGAATAAATCAATTTTTCATTTGTTTATTATCAGATTAGCATTTACATACACATACATATTATATTTCTTGTTAAATATGATTCAGTCATTTTGAAACTTACTTTAAAGTAATGAATGAAGAATCTGAGAGTTAGAAAGTTGGTTACAATAAGATAGAGACTGCTATTGAGGTCTGAAGGGACTAGGGACTGGGGAGTGAAGAGACCGAGAGTGATGTTGACACTATACACCATGGACTTTCTCTATCATGGTGTATACTCTGTGGTATATACAGTTTAAAAAGGAGCTGTTGATGGAGACGAGTCCAACTATACTTGTATATGACAGGGAATATACAATCACTTTTTAATCATCTGATCAATTTTTTTCCAATTCGAAAGTGGCAAACATTCCAATGATATAATAAATCTGCAGGAAATAGGGCAGATTTCACCTAATTTCAGTCAACATTTCAGTCATCAAGTGAATGAATCTATATATAATAACATCTTACCTCCTATCCTCTCTGGCTCATAGCTTGTAATGTCTAGTGGTACTGGGGTGAACATGGTACCTACAGTTTTGCCCGGGACACCTAGTGGTGTGCTGTAATAGTATATTAATAAAATATATATATATATGTAAATGGCACTAAAATCTTTCACCAGAGTCAGTTAATGCTTTATGGGAAGTGCTAAAACAAAACAATGTTGATATGAACACCTATTTTATGCAAACACCTTGAACAATGCAAACACCTTGAAATACTAGTATGCAAACACCTTGAATATGCAAACACCTTGAAATAGTAACACTTTTAAATAGTAACTCTTACTCTGAATATCCTGATAGATGATTCCTACAGTCAAGGAACATTAGTTATCCCAGCATGACAGCAGATTTTATTTTAAACAGCCTTTACTGTAAAAAACTGTCATGGTTGATTGAAAACTTATGCACAAATATGTCCAAGCTTATGTACAAAACTTTTATGACAACTCTTATAATACATACCAAGAAACTGTGTTTTCTGTTAAGTACATGTGTACCTACCTAACATATGCCTTGGTGCCCATTTTGGAGCCTTTCAGTGAGGTATCTACAGTGAGATGTACAGGGTTCTTGGCCTCTCTGGCATAGTACTCATGTATCAGCACTGAGTGTTCCGTCACATCTGGTCCAGGCCCTGTGGAATACCTACAATATACATGTACAGGTGTTATGCTTGATAGAGCAGTGAACAACTTTAACAATGGCGTTGCATCAGTTATCCAGAACCATGGAGCATGGATTGAGCACTTCATCTATTAATCAGGCATGTCTGTTGATGCCATGTAACTTCTGCAAGATTTATGACTCAGTGACATTACTTTAGACCTCCCTCCCGCAGTTTTACCAAGGGAGGAGTTTTTGCCAAAGGGGCTTTTTGACAATCATGCAAAAAAGTGCTCAGAATGGTGAAAAACTGCATGATTTTGAAAGAATTTCTGCCCAAGTAGGGGGGGGGGGGAGAGCGGCCGCTCCCTCCCCTGGCTACGGGCCTGTGTATAGTGTATAATTCTCATCAATTATAATCCAGGATTTTTTTAAGCTTTCTGGATAAAAACATGAGATGTATAGCAAACATCACCTTTTCACCTTTCAATATTGAACAGGATTCTGTAATCAATAATGAATGTTTAAACAGTATAAATAATTTTATGATGCAAATAATGCTAACAAGTATTAAGTATCATGTTAACATAGCGTGAAAAAAGCAATATATAATTTTACTTACTAAATATACACATATTGTGATTAATACTTGTAATTTTGTAAACAACAGCAATTTGTTTTTGCAACAGAGTTTAACAATCACAGGCTTCAAATTAAATGCAAGGATGGATATTACCATAGAATACACAATATTACATGTAACATAATGGAATTTATTTTGTGTGTATAATTAGTAGACCAAAATTCTGTGAGAAAATGAAGCAGATTCATTAATATTTACAAAAGTTAGAGCACTTTTGATCTTACTTAATGATCACCTTGTATATTTGTTTCCCTGTGTTCCACCATCCCCCTCTACCCTACTATGTTTCCAGTACTTACCATCCTACAATGACCTCCGCAGGATTGACTTTCTTGTGTAACTCATACATGTTTCTGGCAAACTCAATATCAACTGCCACCTAGAAAATAAATGATCATTTCATCAAGTTCTGTTTTGTTTGCCTTCAATGCAATGTTTGCCACAAGTGAATCATACGAAGATTTTACGTAAGAGTTATGATTAAATACTAATTACAAAATTAATCTACTTTCTAAAAAGTAATATGTTAAAATGGTATTTGGATTTTTCTGAAAAAGTCATGTACTTAAATCATCTTTATTCAAATTGTGTCATATATAGCATTAGCAATTCTATGATTTTTATCAGTAAGTATACTTATAGCAAGTGTTCCCATAAATGAGTCTCTTTATATGAAGCAAATTAAAAGATTATGTATTGTATATACATATTATATAAATATTATTAAAAAGAAACTCTATGTGTATTTTCAGCATTCTTTGGCAAACTAACTTCCTACTTTTGATCTTCATAGTATTTTTAAATGGATTGATAAAAATAAAAGTATATCCTACCTCATCTTCTGATTCATTATGTGGTACTGTGAAACAATTTGTTACTTCAACTTGGCCCCGATCAGCTGTACCTGAAAAACATTTTTCATGGCTTGAAAATCAATTGTGATCAGATTTGTTCATTGAATCTAATAACAAACTTCCAAGGTCAAAAGTGAATGCCCCCAAACAAAATATCAAGTGTTGCCAAGCAACATGTCACATGTGTAACATCATAGAATTTCTTGGAACACCCACAGTAATGTCATATCCTAAAATGTTGCAAAATCTAAGGCGAAGAAAATATTACTTCTGCCAAACAATGAGCTCTTGACATTGTGAGTGCTGCATTAATAATTAATGCAGAACTTGTCTTCAAGCCACCTGTAATTTTAAGAGTTTCAGCCTTACTCACTTCGAGAGCCAATGTTAGATTTTGAAACTTATGGCTCTCGAACGGAGAAATTGACAGCAGAATAATAGTGACCTTTGAAACACGAATTAAGTCAATCAACGGCTTACTTTTGGTGTCTAACATCAGTATCATCAATCCGTGCAAGTATTGGAGCGCTGAAATACTTCTTTTTGATAAACACTTGTAAATTGTTCATCTAGTGAATGTTTTTTCGACCCATTTCCAATATGGTGGTTTGCTAGGAGCGAGATACCCAACGAACGAAATGAATTTTGAGAATGAGTTAGGTTCAGACAACCTCCAGAGATTTACGAAAATCTCCAAGCAGAAAACGCCATATTGGATATGGCAGAAAAAACATTCACTCGACTAACAATTACAAGTCTTGATCAAAAAAGAAGTATTTCAGCGCTCCAATACTTGCACGGATTGATGATACTGATGTAAGACACAGTTAGAGAACAAAAGTAAGCCGCTGATCGACTTAATTCGTGTTCCAAAGGTCACTATTATTCAGCTGTCCAAGTGCGCCGTGGGAAAGCTATTATATCAAAATCCACATAGCTTTCGCAGGAAGTAATTTCAGCCATGTTTTTTTTCAAATGACAGAGAACTAGTGTTGTCGCGATGTGCCATAATCGTACATCGATGCATCGGCAATTTTCAGTAGTAAACATCGATGCACATCGCGATGTACATCGAGAAAAAGTTCGAGAAAAGTGCACTGAAATACCGAACGCTAATGCACTAAAATATCGAACAGAACAAATTAATAAGAGTACGCTGGTACATCCGGGAACTTAGTAATGGTGAAATGAAAGTAAAGTAATTTTTTTTAGATTAATGGTTCATTTCGACTAGCTAAAACAGTTTTAAAGTGAAAGAATATCAGAAAACATTTGAAAATGAAATAAGACATGAAAAAAGGTAAGCAATTTGCGTCAAAATAAGATAAGAAAGGGCGATTTTTAGCAAATTAAAATTTTTTAAAAACATCAATGTTTTGTTTCAGACATCGATGCATCGCCAGAACCAGCTTTGGCGATGTATATCGCGATGTATCGATTAATCGCGACAACACTACAGAGAACCACCATCAAAATATAAGAGGCCATATATTTTATTACCCAAACCACAAGCACATTTTCACAGAACAGATGAATATCATTATGGCATACGGACATTATCTTTACATTCAGAAAATCTGACATAATTGTCCCTGTAAAACTCTTTTTACAGCATCAATTACTAATATCATGTAACTATTGAAACTGAAATATGAAGAAGAAATCCAAGAGTGAATATTGAACACTCGATACTAAGAGATGGTAAAGGTAAAGATCAATATACAAGGGTCACATTTTTTGGTCAGTTTTGGATGTACTATTTTTGATTTCGAGTCAGATCTTCTCATTATTTCATTGAGCTAGCTTGGGGTCTGTGAATGTTACATAGTATCATTTGATGGTGCTTTCGCAGTATTGTCAAGTATTTGTCGTACAATAGTTATTGAGGTAAATTGGTATCAATCGATCCAGAAAATGTGATTCATTGCTTCATACCTTGGAAGTTGAACTCAATACACAGCTCTAAAAAAAATCTGACAAAGAAATTCTCCATCTAAAATGTCACTCGACTTTTTTGTGATTATGAGTCAAAGAAAGCATTCTTGAGTTTCAAATTGACTTCTGTGGTAACTTGAAACCATCTTCTAATTTATTCCACTTACCTTTTATTGTTTCTCCAAATATATTCTTTGAAAATCGGATTTAAAGGGTGTTAATCAGGGTAATTCTGTGCCATTTTATCAAAAATCTTGTTGCTATCTAGAAACGAGCAATTGTGATCTTGTTGTTACCTAGGAACGGAGCAACTGTGATGTCACGTCACACTCGTGTTAATTCTGGAATCACATGGCAGCCATTTTGGAAATTTCAAAAAAGTTCCCAATTAAAAAGTCTTTAATGCTGTTTACAAATTGGAAACTATGGCAGAATCAACAAAGGGTTTGTGAAATAATTAGGATATGGTTTCAAAATTATGCACATGACAATATATGACTACTAAATGCAGGCAGGGACTTTTAATTGCCAAAAAGTCGAGTGACATTTTAGATGGAGAAATTTTTAATAACGTAAAGGCTAGAGTACCGACAATTGTCGGTACTCTAGACTCTGATGTGGTGGCACGCTAGAGGACCGACAAATAAATTGTCGGTACGGGAGATATGCTGTGTTTACACGCTAGAGGACCGACAAATATTGATTGTCGAATTTTCTGGCGCATGCGCAATGCGCGGGGGGATATTTCAGATATCATACGGATATTTTGGGAACAAGTGCAAAACCCGAGGAGGGCATAAGCCCCGGTTACCCGGGGATTACCAAACCCAGTCAAAAAATGGTAGCCCGGGAACAGGGAATGGTAGTAAACGTTGAAAACCCAATAAAAAGGAAGGGGCGTTTGCTACCCATTAGATAGAAGAAAATAGCTAGAATGTTTTTTAGAGCTTATTGTATGGTATGAGGTTCCATATCCATCCGCCAAAAGGTATATAGTCCATTTAAAAACCTGTGGTATCGTTCTAAATAACCCATAGTTGGCTTCTAGGGTACCTAGTATGCCACTATTTGGTATCAAAATAAAGAGGAGTTCAACTTTCATTTGAATTACGAAATATAGCGATGTAGGTCAAAATAGTTCCGAACGTGAGGATGTTTACTACGCGTTTGCCTGTCATATCAGAATTGAGGAAGTGGTAGCAAACGCGAGTTACAATAAACGGACGCTGATATCTCAAAATGTAACCTGACTCCCTATAATTTGATGTAGGTCAATCGAACCCCTATATGGACAGGTGCATTTTGATATATAACACTATGGGGGGTAAGCGTTTCATAGTTGGTCACGAAAGCCATACATGTATGTTCAAAGTATTGTTATGAATTTTCGAATTTGGTGTTGGATTACGGTACTCATAACTTATAGCACAATTTTTGATGGAAGTTGCATTTGGCTCCCTTAGTTATGGCCACGATTCCATCTCGCATGAGAGAGCTACCAAACGCAAAGTAAACAGTGATATATTCCAAATGAGATATTTCTCCTGTGCCATGGCGTAGTAAGGGTAGAGGTCGACGGGGGCGAAAGCATCCCCTCCTAATTGTATATATCGACCCATTAGATAGAACAAGAAAAGAGCTTTAAAATGTTTTTTAATTGAAGCTTGTAGGACAATTTTGATGGAAGTTGAATCAATTTTTGTCGAAATAAATTATGGCTCACTACAAGTTCATGCCTGTACGATCCATACTGCAAAAGAAGCACTATCCCCCCCCCTCAAAAGAAAAAAGGTCTTGCCGGGATTCGAACTCGGGACCGAGTGTGTTCGAATCGTGCTCGCTAACCACTAGACTACCAGTGATGAAGTTATTTATGAAATTAAAAGTAGTGAATTTATTTATGAAATTGTCGGCTCTCTAGCAAAAACACGTAGCAGCCACTTGCGTACCAACAATTGTCGGTTCTCTATCTGACACTATTAGGTGACGATAGAGTGCCGACAATTGTCGGTACCCTAGCAAATACCCCTGGACAGTCTCCAGTACCGACAATTGTCGGTCCTGGAGCCACTCCGTTTTAATAAAGAATGCCATATATTGAGTTTAAGTTGAACTATAAACCTCAGCCTGAGGCTCACTTACAAGTAACAGTGCTTATAACACAGTACAGTTGAATCATGAATGAATGATCGGTGCCCGGATCGGTGATTGATGATTTCTAAATTTTTCATCAATATTTCATTCAAATGAGGAGTAAATACAGAAACTAAATTGGGTAGAGCTGTATCAAATATGTCTTTACCTAGTAGAGTCCCAATTACACGTCTCGCATCTTCGTTACGCCTCTCGTATGAGTCTACAATACTAAATAAAACAACTGGATGAACTTTTACAGAAACGTGACCCGCCATTTTGAAGAGTGCAAATAATCTCGACACCAAATTTAAATAAACCATCTGAAGTTATAAATGATCATCTAAGTTGTCAATGGAAACAAATTTACAAACCTAAAAACTATTATTCTGTCTAGATATTATATCATAGTTTATAAGTAATTCAAATTTGTACGAATATTCGGTATATACTTTATAACCGGAAGTTGATAACCGGAAGCTACACGCCGGTTTCAAAAATTTCCAAACTTTTAATTTCTTTTACCAATGAGACAATAACTCAAATTATATCAACTCACATAGTGCAGAATCCTACAGAATTTAAGATGGGAATCCCGAGGTACCTATTGCCATTCAGTATTGTTGGCAGTGCTGTAGGAGGTGTAGTTATATTGAGGTACTGTCACCAGTTACTGTCATTTATGATTTAGACTTTTTATAGCCTAGACTAGAGGACTAAGAAATTCTCCATCTAAAATGTCACTCGTCTTTTTTGTGATTATGAGTCAAAGAAAGCATTCTTGAGTATCAAATTGACTTCTGTGGTAACTTGAAACCATCTTCTAATTTATTCCACTTACCTTTTATTGTTTCTCCAAATATATTCTTTGAAAATCAGATTTTAAGGGTGTTAATCAGGGTAATTCTGTGCCATTTTATCAAAAATCTTGTTGCTATCTAGAAACGAGCAATTGTGATCTTGTTGTTACCTAGGAACAAGCAACTGTGATGTCACCTCACACTCATGTTAATTCTGGAATCACATGGCAGCCATTTTGGAAATTTCAAAAAAGTTCCCAATTAAAAAGGCTAAATGCTGTTTACAAATTGGAAACTATGGCAGAATCAACAAAGGGTTTGTGAAATAATTAGGATATGGTTTCAAAATTATGCACATGACAATATATGACTTAAATGCAGGCAGGGACTTTTAATTGCCAAAAAGTCGAGTGACATTTTAGATGGAGAATTTTTTAATATATATATAACTTAGGGAATAGGGGTGAAAGACATTGCAAGGAGAATAGTCAATTGGACCAAGTGACCAAGTATAACTCGCCAAAGTTCCTACATGAATCAATTGTTTTCATATTGTTATAGCTACTGTGAATTTATTTAGAGAATTGATGGGCGGGCCACGCTACAAGGCAACCGAACGTGTTCCTGGGAAGACATTTATTGTCACGGGTGCAAACACTGGTATTGGAAAGTATACTGCTATGGAACTAGCTAGACTTGGTAAGTCATCTTGAAAATGTCACATATGCGATGTTGATCTGAGAGAGTCAGTTGACTCTGAAAAAATGCAATGCCACATATGCAATGTTGATCTGAGAGAGTAAGTTGACTCTGAAAAAATGCAATGCCACATATGCAATGTTGATCTGAGTGAGTCAGTTGACTCTGAAAAATGCAATGCCATATATCTGCATATGCATTGTTGATCTCAAAGAGTCAGTTGGCTCTGAAAAAATGCAATGTCACATATGCAATGTTGATCTGAGAGAGTCAGTTGACTTTGAAAAAAACAATGCCACATATGCAATGTTGATCTGAGAGAGTCAGTTGACTCTGAAAAAATGTGATGTCACATATGCATGTTTATCTGAGAGAGTCAGTTGACTGTGAAAAATACAATGCCACATATGCAATGTTGATCTGAGAGAGTCAGTTGACTCTGAAAAAATGTGATGTCACATATGCATGTTTATCTGAGAGAGTCAGTTGACTGTGAAAAATACAATGCCACATATGCAATGTTGATCTGAGAGAGTCAGTTGACTCTGAAAAAATGCAATGCCACATATGCAAGGTTAATCTGAGAGAGTCAGTTGACTCTGAAAAATGCAATGCCACATATGCAATGTTGATATGAGAGAGTCAGTTGACTGAAAAAATGTGATGTCACATATGCATGTTTATCTGAGAGAGTCAGTTGACTGTGAAAAATACAATGCCACATATGCAATGTTGATCTGAGAGAGTCAGTTGACTCTGAAAAAATGCAATGCCACATATGCAATGTTAATCTGAGAGAGTCAGTTGACTCTGAAAAATGCAATGCCACATATGCAATGTTGATCTGAGAGAGTCAGTTGACTCTGAAAAAATGCAATGCCACATATGCAATGTCGATCTGTGAGAGTCAGTTGACTCTCTAGCTCAAGTGGTAGAGCATCCAACATGTCATCGCGAGGTTGTGGATTCGATTCTTATTTTCTAGTTGTATTTAATTACTGACTGACCATTTCAATGAATTTCTTTATTATTTGATATTTACATTTTAGGTGGTAAAGTTATCATGGCATGTAGAAATCCAGAATCTGAACAAGCAAAGAGGACAAGATTTGATATCATAGACACAACACATAACAGAAATGTACATTTGAAGAAACTTGACCTTGCTTCATTGAAATCTATTCAGGAATTTGCTGAGGAAATAAACAAAGGTATACAAAAAACCATGCACAAATTTGAAGATTTCCAATTACATTATCATGAACAGATGTAGAAGAGTATTTTGTTTCGTAGCCCCTCCCCCTTACCCTTAGACAGAAAACGAACTTCCAGAGGGATAAAATATATTTTTTATGAAAATTGTCATTTATTCTGCTATGGATTTCCCTAGGTGAAAGTATTGGGATCCATTCTCTTACACATGTAGGAATATTCAATGTTGTTTGAATATATCTGTGTATGTACATATTATATAGCGGGTATTATGTACTGGGAGGTCTTGGATACACTACAGGGTATTTCCATTGGGAAATGTGTATATTCAAAATTGACCATAATTACAGATGTGTCTCATACATACTGTTGTTCTAGGCACATTCTACCTTCTAAGGTTCCAAAATTAATATTTTTAATAATTATTTTAAAACTAAGCCTAATGAGAAATTTTAGTGAAAGAACAGTTTTTAAGATTAAATAGAATGGAACTAGATGGATACAGTATTAAAATTTATAGCAGTTTCTCCTGGATTTCGGTAAGGTATGGATACAGAAACAGGCAATTTTCAAAAAAATTCTAGGAGGGGGTTCACTTTGGCAAATTTGGCCAAAAATCACTCAAAAAATAGTCAGAATGATGAAAAACTGCATGATTTTGAAAGAAATTTTGGCCAGGGGGGGGGGGGGCTACGGGCCTGAGAAATATCCATTCCGTTCCTTAGAAGGCTTAGATACACAATATATCCCAGCACAGTACAGTATGTACCTAGAGCATTTAGTTAATGATTCTAAATATAAATATTTATTTATTTATTGTTGACTTTCAGAAGAAGACAAGTTAGATGTACTGATAAACAATGCAGGAGTCATGCGCTGTCCAAAGTTACTAACAGAGGATGGATTTGAAATGCAGTTAGGTGTCAACCACTTAGGTGAGAAAGATTTGGTAGTCATAAGTCTTGTGATGGTTCTCTGGTCCCCCTTGCATTGTAATTTTTATGAAGGGTGGATTCAGGGGGGGGGGTGTAATACAGGGGATTGTTGTTTTTACCAAAGTTTAACTCAGGGTTGATGTAACAATACAGGGAGTGTAATTGGGGGGAGGGGGGGTTGATTCCTTGGCTGGGGTGTAATGTATGGGGTGTAATAAAAAATAGTTTAATACAGGTGATAATGTTTGTAAGGTAAGTTGAAGTTTTTAGGGTGACTTGGAGAAATATGTATTATAGAGTCTTTATTTCATTAAAATGAATTAATTTTTTGCTTACATATGCAGTATCACCAAAGTATACACTTGTGTATATAGGACTACATACATGAATCTTTTATCAACCCCATGATGGGGGGGGGTGTATAGAGATATTGTATATCGTATAAGAGGCTGAAATTTTATTGTATATTGTATAAGAGGGGGCAAAATTTATCGTATATGGTATAAGAGGTGTAAAAAATATGGTATATGGTATTTTAGAAAATATGGTATATGGTATCTAGAATTAAAGAAGGCTAATTATGAAGAAATTGTACCCTAAAGTTCCCCCATTGTGCCAACTCTCTTACTGTAACCGTGTTGGAAAAACATGGAAAAGTAGTCTCTATAATTGTTTTCAAATTCCAGGTCAATCGATACTGTTAGTTTAGAGAAAATCCCTCTCAAACTAAGAGTTTTGTGCCCTTTTCATTCAAATTTTCACAGGAGGTGTTAAATACAGTTCAAATAAGAATCATGCCCGGTGATCAGAAGAAATGAACGGAGGGGGGAGTAGATCTAGCTGATTTTCGGTAGAAAATTCAACAAATCTTGAAGATTTATTTTTTCAAGAGAAAGTTTACAATTGAATGGCTAAATGAATAGACGCAGTGGACGGGGGAATATGTTAGGTCTTTTTGGATTTTTTTAACTGTGGAGTTCTAAAATAAAAGATCTTTAAAAAAGTGCAGCGTCGCCAACATGCAAATGCCAATGTTTTTGCTATAAATCAACCAACAGGGGTCTCCACGACCTGTAATAAATACTTGTAAGTGAAGTAATTATCACAAAACTATTGGGTTTTGTAAAACATGTTACCATACGTTATATAAAAAGTAATCGAAAATTATTAAAATTGAATGGAGGGGGGGAGTAATTTGTCTATAAGACATATGAAAACTTCCAATAAATCCATATGTCCCCATTTTTCACTTTTCAGAGTTGTAACATCAAGTTACTGAGTAAGTGAGTTCATTTTTCAAGTACACGAATTTGTGGAAATTTCTTCCACCTTAAAGACATTTTACTCCCCCCCTCCGTTCACTCCCCCCTCCGTTCAATTTTAATTATTTTCGATTATTTTTTATCTATCATTTGGAAAATTATTTTAAAAAACCGGCAATGAATTTTGTGATATAAAAATGTCGCTTATATATTTATTACATGTCTTGCAGACCATTGTTGCTTGATTTATAGCAAAAACATTGGCATTTGCACGTTGGCGACGCTGCGCCTTTTTTAATAGACCTTTTATCTTAGAACTCCATCAGTTCAAAAAAAATCCAAGAAGACCTAACATATTTCCCTGTGCACTGCACCTATTCATGTAGCCATTCAATTGTAAACTTTTGCTTGAAAAAATAAATCTTCAACATTTGTTGAATTTACCGGAAATCAGCTACTCCCCCCTCCATTCATTTCATCAGATCACCGGGCGTGAGACTGCCAAATGTCACTGACTCATCTTAACTTTGATGAAAAATATGGTCACTATGGCTACTCGTGTTTTGGGGTATGTGGGATAAATCATGAAAATATTTGAGTATAAAGTGTTCATACAGCGCATGTTTTAATACAAGCATCACAATGCTAATATAGCATAATATAGCAAAAGGTGTTTATATGGTCTTCAAACCGTCATGTGTTGGATTTCGGCTATTTATTGGGGATTTGAACAGGTGCATATGTTAGGCCAATGCATTAACTCCAGATCAAGCACTCATAGAGGTAATAAAATAATTTGAACTTTGAGACAGGGAAGGTTTTTCTGAAATGTTGTCCTTATTTTCAGCCCTTTCCACATATGTTTTTTCAATGTTTGATGCACCAATATGTTGCACTTTGAGACACAGTTAACCTCTAAAATATGATTTATTTGGGATAAAGTGGAAAACAGTACATGTATTTCCCATGTTATTTTCCCATAGTGAAAACTCATGTGATCCATTGTTTTCAGCTTAATTTTGGTCATCCAAAATTGATATCTTTAAAACCCCTGCATGAATCATATTTTCATTTAAAGATCTTAACCATGTCTCAAAACGCAACAGAGTGATCGATGCAACAAACCTTGAAAAACAGGTGTGGAAAGGGCTGGAAATCAGGACAACATTACAGAATTATTTTATAATCTCTATGACTGCTTGTCCTGGAGTTAATGCATTGGCCTAACATATGCACCTGTTCAAATCCTCAGAAAATAGCCAAAATCCAATATATGACTGAAATCTGTTGCGATACCGTCCGTGGTCCTTTAAAAGAAAGTTATTTCTAGTTACATAGAGTAGTTTTCATTCTCATCAATACATCTTTGCCTTGAAATCATTTGTGAAACATGTGGTTTGTCCTTCATGGAAATTTGCTTAATTTTGACACACCTTTGTTTAACTTATACTGTCTTTGAGGCTGCCTTATCTGAAACCCCGAAGTGTCTCTTGTTTCAAATGTTTAAACAATCAAGTCTCATCTTGCCTTTATTTCAAACTAGTTTCCAGACTGAGTCCAATCAAAAATGAATTATCTACATGGAAGTTTGTGAAGTCCTTTATTTCTGAAACTGTTTTAAATACTTAATATTTTCCAGGTAACTGCTTTACAAAATTATTGTGCATTGTGAATCTTCATTATCTATCTGATAAATATTTTCCTCAGCAAACTTTATTTTCATAGAACACATGATGAATCTTTTATTCAACATTCTCAATTTTGCATCAATTATGTTTCAAGAATTTTTTTCCCTGGCTCACTATGAAGGACATTTAAATAAGTCATGGGAAAGTAGGTCATAAGAAAGAGGAGCACTGGGTTCCACCCATTCCAATGATGCAGGTTTTGTGCTAATTTTGAATATCTTTATGGTACTTTTACAGGTAATGGGCTAATGGCTTTAGCAAATTGCAGCAATGTCATAGTTAGTTTTTTTGGTCAAAGTAGGTTGCTAAATCACTAAAGAGAAGTCATGAATCTTATATCATAAATGTGTTTTAAATCAACTTGTTTACCTGAAAATAAAATGTGGTCACAGCTTTTCTGATGCTGATGTACCCGAATGGTGTCTAATTCATAATGAAATAAATGAAATCATTGTGGTATGTATGTGGACTCTAGTTGCCTTATAATAATACATTTACTTTAGTACATGGATTCTCTCCTAATATTATTTCCTTATAAATATCCAAACTTTAACCAAAAGCAGTTTCAAAATTATCGTATATTGTATTTCACCTAAAATATCTTATATGGTATAAGAGCTGTGAAAAATATTGTATATGGTGAAAAAATATTGTATATGGTATAAGAGAGCTGAAAAATATTGTATATGCATTTCCAAGACCCTCTATACACCCCCACCCCCCCATGATATCCATAATACATGTATGTCAGTAACTAAGAATTGATGTATGTCATGTATGTCAGTCATTAAGAATTAAATTCTTTATTTTTTATAGGCCATTTTTTACTTACAAATCTTCTCCTTGAGAAACTGAAGACATCAGCCCCTAGCAGAGTGGTTACATTATCCAGTGTGGCGCATGAAAGAGGCGAGATCAACTTTGATGACCTCAATAGTTCAAAAACCTACCATCCTGCTAGAGCGTATGAGCAGAGTAAACTAGCAAATGCCATGTTTGCAATAGAACTTGCTAAAAGATTAGAAGGTATGCATTTGAGATTATGGGCTTCTACTGTTTCTAGTTTGTTTCTGGTGTTTTTTTAAGTATGTTTAAGAGTGTATTTGTGTTAACAAAAAGCAGTAAGAAATCTCTTTTCAAGTTGAACATTTTCTTTTTATTAATTTTCCTACATTTATAAAAACACAACTTTTTGATGTATATTCAATGAAAATAACCTACTAACAATAGGTTACAAGTGGTATTAACCCTAAAAAGGAAATATGTATAATATTGTAATGAGAAAATATAGATGATATATAAAAAATGGCATCAAACCTAAAGGTAGCATACAGTGTACAAAACCTCATCCTCCGAACACAGGCCTCCAGAACTCGTACCCTCTTCTTCCAATGTAGTGGATGATCTCTGGAGCCCTACATTCGGAGGATGACAAAACCTCAGTCGTGTGATATTATACCTGTATATTTTATTGCAAAACTATAATAAACAGCGAAGGTTTGTTCTAGGCACTGGGGTGACATCTAATGCAGTACATCCAGGTATCGTCAACACAGAGATAGGACGTCACATGAAAGTGAACAAGTCATATATAGCTTGGCCTATCATTGGACCCATCAAGTTCCTGTTTTTAAAGAGTCCAGAACAAGGGGCCCAGACATCATTATTCTGCGCCCTAGATTCATCCTTAGAAAATGTCACTGGCAAATATTTTAAGTAAGTTGATTTCTCGTTTGGTATTACACATAACAGGTCAACACAAAAATGTAACCCTCTAATTTTGGCATAACCTTCTCAATTGTGATTGAATCTTGATTTTCTTGTGTACTACATACCATAGGCTAAGGTCGATGGAAATAATTTTAAAATAAAGATGGCATGGTAATCGATCTATGTTTATTTATAAATATTCTATATAAAAGATAATACTGGATTCTGTTGGTGCTGCCATCTTTATATCGGCCCATATCGAGTTAGTAGCACACTAGTAAATAAGATGCACTGGTTAACATTAGCTAGCTCCTTTTGGCACATGCTGGGATTGAACCCAGGACCTTGGCATTAGAGTATTGATATATTTCCTGTTGTTACACTCCTTCAATTGATATCGATTCTATCCTGCAAGACATCACTTGGATCTTATCCATCCCATGAACTCATATTTGCTCCATTACAAAGAGTACATGTTATACAAATAAATGTTTTTTTTTATTTTCAGAAATTGTGCAGAGAGTCATTTTGTGGAAAGTGCCAAAAACGCAGCAGACTCTAAAAGACTTTGGGCAATAAGTGAAAGATGGACACGATTAGTTGATCCAACAACAGAAAAATCTAAAACTGAAGCTACTGACACCAAAAAAGACAGTGATAGTAAAAAGTCATAATATATATATTTTTACACTATCAAAAAATGTAGCCAATAGTGTTGAGTTCATAGAATATGTAGTTAAATTATTTGAAATAAATAAAGGTTCACATGTAGTGTAATGGTAAATTTTTCTTGAAAGATAGTAATGGGACAGTGGTGCCAAAATCAGCTGCTCAATTAAAAGGGGGGGGAATGGTGGGGGGGGGGGCAGACAGAGTGGAACATCTTGAAATGTCTGAGTTTTGCCAAGTTACTCATGATGCTATAGTCTCAAACATTTTTGTGGTGTTCGGCAGTTGTTGGGCGCTAGGCATATGGCCATTATTGTCTGTAACAAATGGCATGTGGTGACAATTTGCATGCTAATGCCTTGTTTTACTCTGTCTTGCAGTTGAAACTACTTTCTGACATTGACTGCCAATGACTGTTTAGTAATTGCTTTTCTTAAATATGCAAAATCATGGCTAAAATATAATAGGAGTCTTTTCTGCTTCCGTGCATATTATACACTGCATGTATCAGTAAAGACAGCTATTGTCAAGTTACATTGATTACAATGTTTGAAATGTGCTTTATCAAACACATTGTAACTGACACACCTTGGTCCTTTTGAAACCCAATGTGATCAAAAAAGAAAAATGCATATTAAAAAATAAATATTTCAAAAATTACTAACAAAGAATATTGTGCATTTTATTTTTTATTATCTTATTGCTATCAAAAGTATACAAAAACATAATTACAATTTAATTCTCATTTTATCCGACATTGAATGTACTATAAAGTGTGTTCCCAGGTGGGCAAGTAGAGATTCAAAACATGTCAGATGCATGTTGTGCCACAAAATAACTTTTTCTTGATAACATCTACATGACTACAACTATCTACTAAACATCTATACAATTAGAGTCAACATAATGCCTTCATTAGTTCATACTATGAACCTTTGTTTATACACTGGAGAAAATTGGTATACAACTTTGCAAAACTTTGGTGGGTTTTCTTGTCCACATCGTAATATAGACCTCAGTTCAGGTGTTATATAGAGTAATAAATACCTTAGGGCTAGGCACAAAATCTTTCAAACCCCTCACTCCATTCGGTCATTCAGGGTACAGAAAATGTTTGTGCCTAGCACTGCAGTATTTATTCATCAATAGAATACCTGCTCTTCAGTCTATATTTCTTATCTATATCTAACTTATCGCAAACCGGGTCAATATTTCAATGTTTTCCAAAAAACATAATTAGTTTCAGTTCAGTTTAACCACCCTCGCTCCCAATATTGAACAACTATTGATTAAAAATAGTTTCCTTTAGAATAGCCATGTAGGCTAAGAAAATTACTTTTACCCCCTCCCCAAATGAAATTAATTATGTTAGTGTACATGAGGACTACCGATTATATCCCTTATTTCATCTAAAAGTTGATTCATCCCACATGCACTTCTATACAAATAAAAGATTAACATAGAGCAGAACACTGACCTATTTATATTTTAAATTTGACACTGTACAATACTAAACTACATTTGCCTACACAATTTAATATCTGATATCATTACATGTACATCTGGATTATGTGGGGGGGGGTGAGATATTCGACTCTCTACAGTATAATATGGGTAATGCTAAAGATATCTTATACATAAAGTATATAAAATGGAATGTCTATACATTCAACAAAGAACATGTACAGTATGCATCTTATGCCTTTATGTACACACAAACATAAACACACCAGGCATTCACTTTTAAAGAGAACTTTCTCTGTTATTATTTGATGAAAAGACATAGTAACATGTAGGCTAATTGACAGATGTTTATAACAGTCCAGAAAAATCAAATTCAAAAAGTACAGCAACATATGCTTTAATACTGATCAAATTGTCTTACATTATCAAAACACTGAATATTTTGTATTAAAGACATACAGCTCATGTACATATTTCATATATACAGTATACTTCAGAAATATACAGTTCAACATCACAAAACCTTAATGCCATACTGTAAACGTATTTTTATTTTTTTGGATGAAATTTTATAAATGAATGTCTATATATTTTCATTGGAAGACTTGAACACATATTTTCAGCTCAGATCTGGGATGGTACTTTATTATGTATACTGTCAATACTGTACTCCCGGTTAATTTTGCGAGTTTTAATTTCGCGATTTTGCAGCTATTAAATTTCAAAAATTTCACTATGCACACCTACTACTATGTCATCCCATTGATCACCTAAAAACACTTGACAAACATTTTACAAAACATGAAATGCAATGGAGTCTTAGGTAATAAAAAATTTCACAAATCCCGGGGATTTAATTAACAATTTCGCGAAGATTAATTTTTGCGATTTTACCACAATCGCGAAAAGCGCGAAACTAAAATGCAAGCAAAAAATACCGGGAGTACAGTACATGGTAAATATTCCTGATTAGATTTTACAGACACCTACATAAGCAATGTTCATATCCTTTATAACATAACATGAGAAACACAACAGCAAAACCTAGTGTACAAAATTTACAATGGGAATCAGTTATGCAAAGATTTTTTTCAATTCAATTCAATTCTATAATCTAATGATCCTGTTCCATTTCCATTCCATTTTTTTCCATCCATCACATCATCCCATACAAGATCTGACAAAATCAGGCTTATGTTCCCTTCTTGCATTTACATGTACTGTATTATCGTATAACACATTTTAATTTGGGATTATGTTTGTCCTTCATTTCATTTTCAGCTGCGATGATGAATCTTCAACATACCAAGACAAATAGAGTGTCCAATTGGCCAGAAGAAGAGGGGTGCTATTTTTTAAAAACTAAGTCATTGCATAAAAAGGGGATACAAGTGTATAAGAATATGCTGTGAATAAGATACAAATATCTTACTTGAAAAGCAAAAATGGCTGCCTTGTCAATTACCCAGCATGCTCAATACATAAACAGATCTTGTTATTTAATGAAATGATTTCTTCATCCAACCTGACATCTATCAGCCAAATTAGGCAACAACAATGTAGCACTCTTCAAATGCAATATGAACATTGTCTTGCTTTAAAACCCTGGACTATCTACTCTGATAACTTGTATCACAAGGTCGTGTTGCTAGACTATATGAATAAAACTCCCTTTATAAGGGGCTGGATTGTAGGAGGTAATTTTTGCCTGGTTTTAATTCATTTCTTCTTGTTGCCTGGACTTTTGATCCTCTCTCTGTTTCATAGGACTGAGTCATGTCTGGTTTCAAACTCCCTTTATAAGGGACTGGATTGTAGGAGGTAATTTTTGCCTGGTTTTAATTCATTCTTCTTGTTGCCTGGACTTTTGATCCTCTCTCTGTTTCATAGGACTGAGTCATGTCTGGTTTCATATGATTGTGTTTATTTTGTCTTCTTATTCAGTCCTGTCCATTCCAGGGATTTACCATAGAGCTTCTTGGCCAAGTCATCGTTGCAAGCATTCTCAGTTACTTCTTTCTCAGCACATTCACTGCAAAACATTAAATATATCAATTAGTACAGTAATCTCCCCAGCATTATAGCAAGTTGGCCCAGCACCCACATGAGATTTTAAAAGAGGCTTGCACCCACCTGAAAATCCATTTGCACCCACTTGAAAATGAGAAAAATCATGAAAAGTTGGCATGTTTTGACCAATTTTAGCGTGAATTGTGAGTTTTGCATCCACTTCCATGGAGAACACTGCAGTATGTAATGATTCTCACATTTGTCAGCCTACTTTTCCAAAACAGCTTTTTGAGATCAATAAATTGATAAGAATCAGGGTCAATCCAAAATTAAGTTGTTGTATAGGACATAATAGGACCTCTATTCAAGAGAGAATTTATAATATTGCATCATTCTAAATGTAGATTTTTCCAAAAGGACAACATGAGTACTTCCTAACTACTCCCTGGTTATCTCTATCATGTAACCATGACAACTGACAAGTGGTTTGGAAAAATAAAGTGTTTTGTTCACTGGCATTTGCTAATCTTGGGAGTTGTTGTTTTTGTTCTTATGTTCAAGATTATTATTTAATCAAAAATAAATATAGTCACATTTCACATGCCAGACATCAGTTAGATATGATTAACTTCCCTAGGATACGCCTGAGGAATGAGGATATGCCTAATTTTCAAAACTCTCAAACTCTCAATTAAGCACTGTACTCCCGGTTAATTTTGCTAGTTTTAATTTCGCGAATTTTGTGAAAATACGATTTGGCGGCTATTAAATTTCGCGAATTTCACTAATTACACCTACTACTATGCTGCGATCTCCGCACAATATGATTCATCGGGCATACGCCTAGTTGAACATTTCTGGCGCCTAGTTGGCGCCTGGTTGAAACATTTTTTCACCCTTAATGATTGATTATCACTTTGAAATGGAGAAAATATCAAATAAAAAATGAAAATCTAAATTTACCAGAATTTGTTTATTCCGCCATCTTGATGTGAAGTTTACGCGAGAAATAAAATTAAACAACTTGCGGTCTTGCGCAAAATAGAAGTGGTTGAAGAATAACACACACTAACCCGGATGTTACCTTGCGCAGATTTATTTTCGTTACAATAATAAGATAAGCGAGAATCGAGTTTTTCAATTCGGTTGCGCATACACAATTCCCATTTGATATTTTTGCGCAAAATTTACGAGACTATTTGTAGTCTCGATCCAGGAATCATTTCAAACTCGTGATCGTCTGAAAAACTTAAACTGTTTATCTCTTTTTCTCATTCTTAGTCTATATATCATATATCTAATTTATTATTGTTTGTACATTCCTGTCATGCAGAGAGGAGTGAGACGATTTGACAAGAAATACTGCAAGTCGTAAGCTTAGATTAGATCTATAAACACAAAATATATTCTTTTTTCCCGGGTCTGTTTACCCGTCAATTATACTAAATTATACCCGCCTACTTTCGCCATATATGGCAGAACTGATCACATGATCAAGATTTATGAATGAATCGTAGTAAATTATAGTATTTATTTCCCAAAACAATAACATTTTACATTGTTGTCCAGCTAGCATACATCAGTATTTAGACTGAGAATGGAGCATTTAGATGGCATAGATTATCATAAAATCATTTGATTATCCTCTTGTTAGTTAGAAATGTCGCGAGTGAACCGTGCGCCGAAATTTTTTGAGGTTTTTTAGGTTAACAAAATTTTGCACCCAGTTGGGAAAAAATCCTGGGGAGAACACTGCTATGTCATCTTGGTTAAGGACACACTGCACCTTAACCTCTATTACATCATAATTTTTTAAGTCACTGTAACAATATGTAACAGACATTGTTACTTAGTATCCCAATTATCGCCTAAAAACACTTGACAACGATTTTACAAAACATGAAATGCAATGGAGTCCCAGGTAATAATAAAAAAATTCACAAATCTCCAGGTATCTAATTGACAATTTTGCAAAGATTTACTTCGCGATTTTACCACAATTGTGAAAAGTGTGGAACTAAATTGCACTGGAAAATGGGAGTAGAATATTTTACAAGACTTTTCGATCAATTGATATTTCTTCAAATGTTTTCAAAGAAAGTTTTACATAAAAACACTTACACAAAGAACTTTCCAGAAACAGTCTCCACATCTGACGCCACAGCTAAATAGATTGTGGTCTGAGCGCCATCTTTAGAGCTCTTAGTGAAGTACCATATGGGTAAAGTGAATGACAGGCTCAGGAATGGTGAGGATTTGAAGGGCATATGACGCAATCCAGGAGAGTTGACCACACCTGGGTGGACAGCATTCACAGTCACCTTCGTACCTGGAATTATATAAAATCAAGTTTTACTTCCATATGGGACCAAACAGCACTAGAGAAATGGCATACTATATTTACAAAGTAATGTATAACTGGTAGTTTTGATGGAAGTTTGCACTTGGGACCAATGTTTAACATACATGTAATTTAAATGTGCTTCTTTCTGCTCTCTGACTGGTCGAGAGTCAGGGCAGTTGATTTGAATTGATTCATGACCCAGGAGGAACTTTAAAATCTTTCATAACTGTTCAGAGGTTTAACAGAATTGACCACTCGGCTAAAAGTACAAATTCAGAATTTTCAATTCAGATTTATTTTCAATTCTACGGCAAAACTACCTTCTAAGATTCGACTCATTTCCCTCGTGAACAACAAGACAGCGAGTTTACTCTGGGCATAGGCGTTACTTCTGTTGTACTCCTTGTTTTCATAGTTCATATCCTCCAAGTCAATATCATCAGCCAATTGGTACGCTACAGCGGACATATTGATTATGCGACTTGGTGCTGATGATTCCAGTCTGTCCAATAGTAAGTGTGTCAGCAGAAAATGACCTGAAAATAGGTTTTTGTAAATACAATTTTTATGTTTCCAGTGAGAAGTACACATGTACAGTAAAACCTGTGTATAGTGAACAGTGAGAAGTACACATGTACAGTAAAACCTGTGTATAGTGAACACCCATAGAGCCACACAAATGTAGCTGTAGCTAGGTGTTTACTACAGAGACAATTTAAAATACAGAAGTCAGTGGAGCATGTCCTGAGATGAGGTATTCACTAGACACAGGTGTTCACTAGAGAGGGTTGCTCACTACTAGTCCTTGGAGCTATGACATCATCTGGAGGTCGATGCCTCGTGTATTTGAATCTAAGCAAATAAAGTCTTATACACTTCTTAATACACATATTCTCTTGAGATCTATCTGCATGGTAACAGTATAACTATGACAGGTTTTACAGCTATACTTTTTTATAACTGGCATTCATATTGGCAGTTGATGTCAGCAGTTGGCCTCAGCATGTCAGCATCTGTAACATCTGTGTTACACTTTTGAGATCATTTATTGGACAACTCACTTTTAGATCACACAGCTTATGTTTTTTGTGTCGTTTATCAAATGCTCATCTTCCATACTCCTTTTAAATCTAATACCCTTTACTCTTATCTAATACCCTTTACCCTTATTCTGAGACAAGAATAATTTCTCCCAGGCCAAGTATATTGTATACTTGTTCTCTGGGCTCTCTGTATTATTCCAATGAACTACAGTGAAACCTGTATATCCGAACACCTTTCTAATCTGAACACCTCTCAATATGAACACTTCTCAGTCCAAAATTGACTAACAAGTTAATAAAACATTCAAACGTCAACACCTGCTAATATGAACACTTTTGGCTGGTCCCAGAGGCGTTCATATTAGATAGGTCTTACTGTATCCCATTTTCTTATATTTCCTGATGTTTCCTTCATATTTTCACTCACCAAGATAGTTAGACGCCAGTTGCATCTCAAAGCCATCTTTGCTTAAGATCCTTTCCGGTAGAAGGATCACACCAGCGTTGTTAATTAGAACATCTAACTTGGACTCATCTGAAAGTAAAATCAAAATTACTAATTGTACTCTACCATACTTCATCTAATAACACATACAACTAAATACAAAAGCTCTACCTACAGCCATGCATGAGAGTACGTTTTTCGTATGTTTCAGGACAAACTCCTCCAGATTTCATCTAGACTTCATTTGATTATAAAAAGCCATTAAAAATAACCAAAAGATGTTTCACTTACTTTTTAGGAACTCCTTTGCAAATTCTCTAACTGATATAAATGAAGAGAGATCAAGCTTCATAACAACAGCATTTAGTTCTTTTTTACGTAGTTGCTCCTTGATATCATTCACTGCTTCTTCCCCCTTTTCTACATCTCTACAAGCTAAGATCACCCGTGCACCTAGAACATGTAAAACACCTTTTAAACATGTGTACGAAGTTTACATGGATCATTATCATTTTTCAAATTATTCAAAATTAAAGTTGCTAAAATTGATTTCATTATCTCTTAAATTGGTTGGACAATGGTACTATGTTTTCCAAAAGGGGATATAATGAGAAATTGTCTGTATTTTTAGCTATTAACAGTGACAAAAATGATCTCCTGTATAATGTTTGCTTTTAATCAAATGATCCTTGGCAAGATTCATGTCAGGTGTGTGGTAGCTGATGCTCCGTATGAGGCAGCTGATGTCAGCTCCCAGATGTCAGGTGTGAGGTAGCTGGTGTCTTTGTGAAGATCTCATCTGGTGGGGCTGTTTTCTTGTGAGATGTTCTTCAATTATATCCAAACATTTCTCTTACCCCGTTTGAGCAATTCTTTAGCTGTTTCCTTTCCCATTCCAGAATTAGCTCCTGTGATGATTATTGTTTTCCCTTTGACTCTCTCTGTGCTCTGACATGGGGCACCTTTCATATATTGCCTGAAATGCATAAAGTCACATATAATTTTGTTGATGTCAAATGGTGACCATTCTGAATTGAGCAGCCATATTGAAAATCATTGGCCATGAATATAAAAAATTGAGTCGAGTTCCCCAAGAAAAGAGATCTCTTGGAGAACTCGACTTGATTTTTTGTACATGTTCCTCGGCCTATGTTGAAAATTCATTCTCAAGTTTTAGGTTATATGCTCATAAGGCATTAGCCTATAAATATTGAGCTTTATTCCATAGTTAGCATGATATTCATAGGATAACACGTGGAAATAAAAACGGTATTTTTGTAATCAGTGGTAAAATATGATATTTTTGACAAATTTTCACTTAACCATAGCATACGGTTTTTTAGCCATGACATACGACGTCGTATGCTATGGTTTATGGATTTTTGCTACTTCAGACTCAAAACGAGGCTTAGTGTAAACATCGCCGGATCGTTTGGAAAATTCGAAATAAATCACTTAATTTCCGACGATTCTGATGATGACTTTAACTATGGATATGATTTTAATCCACTCATGGATATTGATATCTGCACTCTCTCGCTACGCTCGGTTGTGCAGATATCATATCCTTTCGTGGATAAAAATCATATCACTCATAAATCATAGGATATCCTCTATATATCTTACAACAATAGTATCTGGGTTATCGTGGGACAAATATATGGAAATCAGCCTTGGAACGACAACTTCCTGTTGGAAGGAATTGAAACCAGATGTTGACGATTCAAATTCACGTGGGACCAATCTGGCAGTGTTGAATAACCAGCAATAATCTGTTCTTCTGTCTAGTTTCGTTAGCTATACGAATGAATATAATCCAAATTACTAAGCTTCTAGAAAGTGGGCGTGGCTGATTTTAGGATTTTAAATCAAATGCACTTCCAGAAGTAAATAAGCTATATAAATTCCCATGAAACAGGTAAAACGTTTCCCTACTTACTTGAACGCTATAACACCCCCACAAAACATCGCAAAGAAGATCACATACCAGGAGAAGATCCAATCTTCCCCCGGCAATTGCATATCTTGTGGAAACATTTTAAATTTGGGCGATAATAGACAATCGGTGAGTCAACTTTTAAGAGGGGGTATAGTCGAATGAGAAATAATTACTTCTTTCTCAATTAATCATGATAAATCGATAAGCTCATGGTCACAAATGAAAATCTTTACATTGAAATTTGTACAAAATACTCGATTTGAAACACTCAACACGATTACATTATTATCAATTAAAATTGTCATCCTTTCACCCCTATTAAATCTAATAAACTCGTCTATAAACACAACAGTTTCATAATGGCCTTCAATAAGTTGGTACTGATTCCCTTCCTGGCAATTGGGCTTTATTTCCTCAAGTAAGTACACTCGATTTGTTAATATAATGTTGCTAAATGTGAAATAACATTCAAAGAGTATTTTGATAAGATTTACTATGAGAACTTATGTACATTTGAAGTGAAATGCATGTTTTAAAACTTGGGTTCAATTTTCAATTCAGCAAAGTCATTCAAATAATTTCAAGTTACAAAGTTCAAAAAGCCGTAGTACTATGGGATGGCATGCGGACTGAATGAAGTAAATTAAAAGTAAAGGGTGAAGTTCAATTGATACCTCATTAGGGACCCTAATTCCTTTGGATAATCCTTATCCCATGCATAATCTATGTGGATGACTGAAAAGTGCAAAAAGTGGGTATACAATCAATGCATACTCAATATTGACATTATTAGTCCTACTTCTTCACCTAATGATTTAAGTGTTCCAGTTATTTACCCTACATTAAACAATCTTATTGATATCTCTTGAGACTCAACAATTTATGGAACCTCAGGGCAGGCCATGCTTACTAAAATCTATCATCCAGATCATGATCTTTTGTGCCCTTTAAGCAATGACGAACATGAGACCCTGTCCCCAACCCCCCTCCCCCTCCCCCCTATTGGCTCTATTCGGGCCCAAAAAATATTGGGGACCAAAACTCCTCCCCAACCTTAAACAAACTGACATCACTGCACTGGGCATTTAAAAAAATATTAACTTTCAAATTCCCCCTACCCATTGGTTTCCAAGACTGGTATCTGCTTTGTCATAGAAGCTAGGATAGGAACAGTATACCAAGAATCAAGTGCTAAATGATGAATCCTTTCTTTTCTGTCTGAAGCAATTATACTTTCTGAAAAGGTTATAGTACAATAATACATGACACTAACAAGTACAACCCTCTCTGTAACGTTCATGGCATTGTCATCCTCTGAAAGCAGGGTTTCGACATCATCAATTACATTCATTTCTTCCAGAAAAAGGCATCCTCAGATCACAGGGCTTCAAAATCCACAATATATTCTTTCTTTTTACCCCGCTTCCAAATCGGTTATAGCAGGGGGAAGAAGGAGGTATAGATTCTGGATACCTGCTTAGGAGGATGAGAAAAAGGAAGAAACTTGTAAATGAGTTTTGGATACCTCATTCGGAGGATGTGGCATTGCACCATTTTACTACATTCCTTTGAAATCATTAATCCATTGACTTCAGCATTTTTTCCTATGAATTACACCACTCACCCTCCTCCTATTACTTGTAGGAAGTACATGAATGGTGGAATATGCACCAGTGATGCTAGGCTTGATGGTAAAACTATAATTGTAACAGGAGCTAATGCAGGAATTGGAAAAGAAACTGTTCGTGACTTGGCAAGAAGAGGTTTGTTGAATTTACTTCTTACAGATTTTCATTTAACTAATAGTGTAACAACCTTGGATAGCAAGTTGCTACTACAGCTCAGCTGTGGGGGCTAAACCCCTTTAGGGTATCAGACTATGAACCTGGTTCAATTCCCACATGGGGTTGAATTTAGCACACTTTCTTTGATGTTGTATCTGGCTTAGTTTATTTGGATATTCTATTTTCAGTTGTTTTATTTTTTTAGTACCATATTTGATGAGCAATACCCTCTATGACATGATTCATAATTTTTATATTTAACACTGGATCATGGAATCCAAAAATACAAAATAAAGTTCTGCTTGAACTGGGAATTGAACCGGGGCAAAGCCACCACCATCTAAACCAGAGGTAGATGCTGCTTGAGCTGTCATAGCAGGCTAAACAATTGACATACTCGTATGGGACTCAGATTAATGATTACTAATGATTACTTGTTGAATTTTCATTGTATGATATTAAATGTTATAATATACGAACACGAAATAGAAATGATTAATAATAAAAAATAAATTACTATTTAAGTGTCTAAATTTTAATGTTAATTATGTAAAATTGCATTTTTATATAGAGAATAAATATTTTTAGATAAAAAACAAAAGAATATTCCAGATTATCTAGGGTGAATTATTGAGATCAATTTAATCAAGTATCACAATTTTTATATGTTATTTCAGGTGGCCATGTTATTATGGGATGTAGAAGTCAGTATCGCTGTAATGCAGCAGCCAATGAAATCAGGCAGGAGAATAGTAAAGCTGACCTTGTCCTCATGACCCTTGACCTGTCGTCATTCAAATCAATTAGGGAATTTGTGACAGAATTTAAACAGAGTAAGTATTGGTCTTCTAAATCATTATCATGATAAATGTATTTTAAAATATATTGTTGTATGTAAAGATAAACATGGCTTCCACAATGTTCATGGCCTTATTACAGTAGCTTGGAAGAGGCTGGTTGGGTTAAGAGTACTTCGTAACTTTACGGAAATATTAATTGGTGATTGGAGTAATTTGCCTCATTGCATACCTGATTTTAACACAGCTCATTATTTCAAGTCTCCAACAAAAACAACATATCTGTCTTGATAGAAATTCTCAAAGATATACTGGTACATTTATGAAAATAATTTTCAGAGGAAAAGAACCTCCATATTTTGATCAATAATGCGGGTGTAATGTGGACCCCTTATCAGAAGACTGAGGATGGATTCGAAATGCAGTTTGGTGTAAATCATTTGGGTAAAGTATACATTATATAGTTGAGGTTAAACAATAAATACTGTGCAAGATTTGAAATGTCTATTTATTATTCAAAAGTGTAGGGTTATACATTGGATTTTATGTTACAATAAAATATTACATAGTACATGTTTTAATGTATCATTGCAAAAGATTAGTAAAATGTTTTATTAATTTTGTCCATCCATTCATGCATATTATAAGTTTCCCTTTAGTAAATGATATTGTGCTTTAGGATGTAAGGATTAGACCTATCTTGAATGAATTCTCCTGCTTTCATAATTAATTAAGGTCCTCAAACAACTAAATTGTACATTATAAGTGCTGTCAATGTCTGGAAAAATCTCCAAGCATAATTGCCTAAAACATGAATCAAACCAGGGAAATTTTAATATACAGTAACACTTGTATATGTGATCACTTCACTGAGGAGAACCCGCCAAAACATGAATACTTTTTATATTATTATTGCTCAATCCTTTGGACTGGGGATTCTTACTCCAAAACAATTTTGCATTGTAAAGACCAATCAATATGAACACTCAGTTTTTTACGAGTGTTCCCCTTTAAAAGGTTTACTGTAATTTTTATTACTTTTTATGAACCACAGGACATTTTTTACTGACAAACTTGCTTCTCAATACTCTGAAGTCATCTCAACCGAGTCGCATTGTAACTGTCTCTTCCAATGCGGCATTTTACCACGAAAAATTCAATTTTGAGGAATACGATGTTATGAACGAGAAGTATGGCAATTTCCCGGCATATGCTCAGAGTAAAGTGGCGAATATTCTGTTTAGCAGAGTTCTGGCAGGGATATTAAAAGGTAAAGCTGTTGTAAATTTGTGCCACTTTGACTAATAACGTATACCTGTATATCAGCTTAGTTGATTTTTGTCATCATTTAAGTACATTTTTCGCAAATATTGTTATCCAGGAAATAGAATTCACACTTTTTGAGAATTATTCATTTTTGTTAATATTCACTGTTAATTTAATTTTTGATTCTATTAAACTGCTAAATGAGAAGATCAGTTAAACATTTTATAGACATTATAAGATTGATCTCAGAGTACTTGTTTAAATGCAGATTCAAACATGTACATGTATAATGAAAGCTATACATTAGCCAATAACATAAATTTAATTTGGACTAGGCAGTGGAGTAACGACCTATTCTCTACACCCTGGGACAATTATGACAGAAATTGGGAAAGATATACCATATTTGAATAATCCCATATTTGCGACAACCACATACCCATTATGGTGGTTCTTCCTAAAAACTCTGGAAGGTGGGGCTCAGACTACAATCTGCTGCGCAGTTGATGAGGCATTGAAAGGGGAATCTGGATTGTATTATAGGTACTTATTTTTGACAAAATATTATATATCTTTACATATCTTTCATTGACTCGTAATATGTTAATAAGTGTTAAAAACAAAACAATATCTAAGTTGATGAAGATGTATGAATACATCAAAAATTCATTGACTCAATAATCATATAAATGAAATATCAATCAGGTGCCTGCTTGATATATTCTGCTAGTACTGAGTGGTTGAGGTACATGCCTTTGTGACTCCCCCCCCTACTACACACCCCTTAAAGAGTGATGTGTTAGGGTAGTAGGCTTTGACATAAATATTCCTTTGGGTTATTATAAAAAAAATTGTAGAAAAGGAATTAATTGCCTATAGAGCTGAAAAATTGAGACTTGGGAAATCCATTGATATTTAAAAATCAGGTTTTCACTCACCAAAATTTTGAGGTTATTTAAGTTCATTTGCAACAGACTTTTTAAAAGGCTTCAGTTTAGGACCCATGTTTAATATGTTGCAGTGATTGTGAAGCGATGACGGAGGGACTTCCTCCTGCAACGCAAAATGATGAAGATGCCAAAAAACTCTGGGAACTCAGTTTAAAATTAACAGGCCTAGATCGAGAAATCAAGACCTAGAACTGAGCCTGAATCATATGCACCAATGAGACAAGGACATTGTGGAAGACTAGATAAGTCTTTTAATCGTTATTCCATCAATGTTATTTAATACATGTTATACCTTATATAAATCACATATGATATACAATACATGTTATACCATAATATATACACCCCCTATCCACACTCTAAATTCAAGGTACCGTACGGTATATAAAGAGTATGGTACCATATGCTACTGTTTGAGTATGGCGCAGTACACTGTTCATGGTACCATAAGGTACTGTTTTAGTCTACGGTACCGTATGGTTCCATATTTCATGGTAGCTACAGTACCGTAACCAAAACGATACCGCACCGTACTGATGCAGATTGGCTGTGTATTTTATTTGATACATGTTATACATATACATGTATTCAGATTTTGTTGGATCATTACTTTTAATGAGATTCCGTTGGAAATGTCCAACTTCATTTGATAATCATAATCATGACTTAAAAGTATTAATACTTAAAAGTAATAATCCCATTTAGATTTTAAGCATTCATTTGATGTATAATTATAACACATGTCCTAGAGCTAATTTTCACAGATTTAGCTTGAATATAATGATTGTAAATACAGGGTTAGCATAAAGCATTGTAAATACAGGGTGTCCTAGTCTCTTTACACTCTACACAGGCTTTGTATTGACATTTTAAAGGGACTTTATGGTTAACCTATATGATATAATTATCAGACAGACAGTTCAATAATATAAAGCTAAAAGCAATGTTATATAATATTTATCCGATAAATATTTAATGACCTCATGTTATTGAGGTATTACATCTGTTTTATGCATTTATATCAAATCCATTGGTTGTCAAATGGATGTTTTTTTGCAGAACTAGTTACCATGTTTTATCATGTTTGTATGATATCACATGCACAAGGGTAAATTATTGTAGTAACTATATAATGGTGATTTCGAAACTACTTTGTGATTTTGTTTTGTATACATTTTATATTTTTTTTAAATCAAGTGCACAATTACTTAATACCGGTAATGTTTAGATTAATTTGTAATTTTTATGAAATAATACTTATATACATTTTATATTATTAATTAGATAAACTAATATTTTTTGATGTATATGATAAAATGGAAACAATATATTTTTTTAAATTGCACTTATCTATTTTGTTTTGTTCTTTGTATGTTTGAAATTTGAAATCTTGTATCACATTGACGTTATTATGATTGCGATATTGGCGAAACACGATCTTATGAATGTAAATTCTCATTCAGGAAATACTGAACTTTTCTTCATATTCATTGTTAAATATTTTTCAGCCTTTGTCTTCAAATTGGCCTGATATGTTCAAAAATGTCATATATTGAGAAAATTGGCCTTTTCGAAAAATGGGTATCATGTATCATTTTGAAAATAAATGGGCCCATATTTAGATATTTATTTCAAAAGGACGATTCTCAGTTTGGAGAACGAAGTTCATCAATCTAAATGAGCATTATCCCTGCTTCGGACAAATTTGATTTTTTTTACATAATATAGATTTGAATGTCTTCTTTTGAATAGTCATAATTTAATTTGGGTAATATTTCTAGATTTTTCGCAAAAAAATATTAGCGCAGTACACTGATGAACTTCTTTCCCCAAATCGAGACTTGTATTTTATTGAATCGGTCTATTTGAGCATTATCCCTGCTTCAGACCAATTTGTTATTTTTACATCTTGTAGATTTAATTGTCCTCTTTTGAATATTCATAGTTTAATTTGGGTGATATTTCTATATTTTTCATGAAAAAAGTTTTAGCCCAGGAGGCTGTTCTCCAAACCGAGAATCGTCCTTTAGATGCCTAATATTTTTCATGTATTTTCAAAATTGTTTTTTTCATCTCACTTTAGGCAACTTCAAGGTCCATGGTCTCCCCCTGGTTATATTACCCCATTGGTACTGTTTTTAGTCTATCACCTTTTAACATTACCCTATTCCTTCTCTTGTATCCTTTTAAGGTCATTTCCTACTTACCAACCTTCTCCTGGACAACCTAAAGACCTCCCAGCCAAGCCGCATAATCAGTTTCAGCAAGGGCTGGACTTCATCGAGATCACTATAATTTTGATGAGATTTTAGTTATGGAAGAAAAACATGGATGGTGGGCAGCATATTCTCAAAGCAAGCTTGCAAATATTCTTTTTAGTAGAGAATTGGGAAAATGTCTGCAAGGTATCACATCATTTTATCGTTCAAAGCTTTTCCAAAAAGTTATGGAACTAATTTGGAAAAGCTTTGGGGATTTGTACATGTATATGGTGTTGTTTGGAACGAGGCATACAGTCAAACGACTTTGCAAAAATCAAAAAAGTTCACTTTAAACGTCTTTTTACAATGCCTCGTTCCAACAACACGATTCATAATTTGTAACTTCTATGTCTAATGAATAATTAATGTATGATTGACAGGTCATTTCATGTTGACAACGTTACTACTTGATGTCATCAAAGCTTCCAAACCCAGTCGAATCATAAACGTCTCCTCTTTGGCTCATAATGGTGGCACAATGGACTTTGACACCATTAGTGATCCAGGGGAGGAGAATTACAGTAAAAACTCAGCTTATGGCTCAAGTAAACTGGCTAATATTTTATACACAAGAGAATTAGCTAAACGATTAAAAGGTATGTTAATATTATGTATTTACTCACCACTGGGGTTTCATTATTTGTAAGGATCTTTATCATACAGGGCAAGCGCATTATATTTACTCAAGTTCATATGTATTACACAATTAATCTTCAATAGATTTTGACACTGGTAGTGGTAGATATCCTTACAATAATGCATACCCCATGGACATCATAGTACCCATATTAATACTGTACAATTTTTATGTTTTAGGTACTGGTGTGACAACATATTCCCTACATCCTGGGGTATTTATGTCAGAAATTGGCAGACATATTCCCTTGCACAATAACTCTGTGTTTCGATTCTTTGCGGATCCATTATTGAGTGTTTTCATGAAACCAGTGGAGTTGCGGGCCCATACAACCATATGCTGTGTAGTGGATGAATCACACGCAAATGAGACGGGATTGTTTTTCAGGTGCCTCCAAACATAAAATGCTCATCCAGGCTTTGCAATGCTGATGTGCTTTAGTTCAGTTGCACCTCCTGCCTTTGCTTGTTGTCGTATCAATGTATTTAATCTTAATATCATTGCAACACTATATATGTACAGGGTGACACAAAAAATGCCACCCACATAATGTTGCACTACTTGTCTAGTTGAGCTAGTCATCTGAAACTTCTTGTGGAGTTATTCCCATGGAGTCTAGTTTCAATGAGTTAAAGAACAAGTAAAAAATTATGAAGACAAAAAAGTTATGAATGTTATGTGAGTGCCATTTTTTGTGTCACCCTGTATTTATAGGCATGATTTATTGCATTTCAGTCAATCAGAATGCAGTATATGCTATAATATGCATTCAGTATTTTAAAATTCTCAACTTGGCAGTTGAAAATTAGAGCGGTATTGTACAACTTTTGCTATGTGTGAAAAAAAATTAAGCACATGACTTTATGAATTCTGGATGCTTTAATGCACCTGTGTTTTGTATGTTAACCTTTGAATTTGGGCTTTCACCCTCATTCAAAGTCTCATTCAAGACCTGCATGCATGAAATTATCTTCAATACATCGAGTCCTGGGTTTAAATAATTTAATATACAGAATTCTGTTTCATGTTATATGTGCCTAAATATTTCTTACTAATATATTATCATTTAACAAATAAAACAAATAACAAATAAGTACACTTAGATCACTTAAACTAGATATAGAATCCATAACATTATTATTATCCATTACATGAGCTAATAAAATTCATTTGGCAGGCACAGGGGTATCCATCTATGCACTCCACCCAGGGGCTATTGAAACAGAATTGCTTCGACATGTTTGGCTCATCCAGCAGTATGGATTCATAACCAAGCCGTTTTTCTACTTTTTTGGGAAAAATGTTATCCAGGGTGCTCAAACTCAGATATGTTGTGCTGTTGATCCTCAGATTCAGAAAGAGACTGGGTTGTATTACAGGTGCGGCCATTTTGGAAAATGGCTGACAGATACATGCAAACTAATTTCACTTGCACTTTTAGTTTTTGTCTAAGTAACAATTAAGTTGGTGCCTGTGTGACAAGACCCTGCCAATATTGTGTGTGTCCCATCTTAGTTATTTAGCCCCCATGATGTAGCTCATCCTTTAGCATATAGCAATTTGCATATTAGATATTGACCCAATATTTATCAAATTATTATTATGGTTTATAGGGATTTGCATCGTTTTATTGTTTTCCCCAGTGCTTTGTTGTTTTTATTAAACATTATGTAATTGGACTTTGATTCTTTATTTACTCATCAAGCTTGAATCAGAAAATCTCATGCAAATCAGAAATCATTAACAAAATGGTAGTGAAATTGATGTAGTTTTGAGGTAAATCTTTGATGCAGGCTAATTGAAAACAAAGAATTGAAGTCCATTAGACTTATTGTTCATTTGATAGAAATATGCCAGGCAGATATTCTTATTTTCCTCTAATAAAATTAATATATATGTACATGTTCTCCATAAATCCCCCAAACCTAATTCTATAAAATAACTTAGACTGGGTTCTAAATTTTACAGGGACAGGAGTGTCTGTTGCAACTTTGCACCCAGGGGTAGTAGACTCTGAACTCATGCGTTATGTTTCCTATGCTGACCATCCAATCATCAGAGCCATCTTTTGGCCAGTTCGTAGTATCTTCATGAAGACTACAGTACAAGGGAGTCAGACCACATTGTGTTGTGCCCTAAATGATGATATACCGAAATTATCTGGCAAATATTTTAGGTTTGAGTAATGATTGAGCTTCTGCTTGTAACACAGGGCTCCATAATGGGGAGAATAAAGAATAGTTGGTGGTCCTAAATTCATTCTTTCTTTTCAATGAGGACCGAGTTATGTAGCCTTGTGTTTGTAGTGGCTTGACCTTCCTCTCCCCTCCCATTATCAGTATTCTTATTAGGGGTCTAGCTTAAACGGAATAAATCTGAAATGACTGTTCACATTATGTAAGAGATGTGTAATATACATAAGTGTTATGTACTGGGAGGTTTTGGATATGGGGTTTATCCAGAGGGAGATATGCATATCTACCTGAGGGACCGAAGGTAGATGTGCATATCTCACGAAGGATGAACCCAATATCCAAACCGACCGTACATAACTGCTTTATCCTATACCAAGTAGAGTTTTCTAATTTTCTTTCAATTTTCTTTCAATTATTTTTTCATTTTTTCATTTTTTTCACATTTTACTAATTTTTTTCAATTTTTTTTCTTTTCAATTTTTATTTTTTCACATTTTTTCTTTTTTTCAATTTTTCTTATTTTTCAATTTTTTTTTCGAAGCGGGAAGATATGCCCTGGAGCGGGAGATATGGAGGTTCGGGATATGGAAACCTCAAAATCAGGATACGGGATATATCTTAGCAACTTATCTCCCTAAAACTCTACTTGGCATAGGATAAATTATTTTATCCACTGTATACTGCTCGCTTGATCTTCTTACAAAGGGCTTCTCTGTATGTAGATTATAGACTAAGTTGATTGTAATATGGACTAGGATTCATTACTTTCTATATTCTTAACATTTCTCTCTTTGACACCAATTCTGATATTTTAAGTGAGAAAGAACTCTTCAAAGAAGGGTTGCCTAAGTCAGTAAAAATTGTTTATTAATGAGACTCTAATACCCTAAATTTGGTGAAGAGGAATAAATAAATCTAAACCTTATTCGGAATGGAACATTTATTATTAAAGGGACTAGGAGGGATAGAGAAAAGTTTAGAATAAGTTTTAAAATATTGTCACAATTTTACAATATTTTTTGAATTTTGTGGCATTGAACTCAATGAGAACTATGTATTAGCAGTTTCAACACTATTCTAACATTTACCTGTATGGTGTTTATCAGTACAATGTAGAACTAATGTGAATAGCATGTCAACGTTTTTCACCAAACTCTCAGATGCTATTCACCTAAAAATATGATACAAGGATACTTTAAAAAAAATCAAGGGAGGCCTAATGCCTTCATGCTTCATTTTTTAACTTAAAACTAATGTGGTTAGGAATTTTGATATTCACAGTAATTGTTAATAATTTAATGAACAGTTCATTCAACAGAAAGCAAAATAAAGATCAAATTTTTATCAATCATTCAATCCATTTATGGAGGAGTTTTGATTCTTTTTTGTGCTAATAACAGAATTTCAGTTCAATATTTTACAAATATGATTAGTAGGTCACACTGACCTGTATAAAATGAATTTTGGGCATTGTTATCAAATTTCAATTCTGGGATTTATAAAATCTGAAGATCAGCACATCTAATGAACAATCAAGTTATTAAAATAAAACTTTCTCTTGCACACAGTTCAATATTTGATTGACAGTTCTATTTTTGCACCTTCCATATTTGGGAGTGAAATTGATGGCCTTTGTTAAAACTCCAAGGTCAAGCTGATCTGGTCACTCTCTAAGAACATTTAAAAACAGAATTTTGACTGAAAATGATAGATTCTACATATAATTTTCTCATTTAAAACATATTTGTATAAAAAATGACCTTTCAAATTATTCTTGGCTATCTAAGATCAGTTTATTTGAGAAGTTTTATAACAATTCTCTTTATTTGAAAGGAGTTTTTGTAGCATTTTATTGGACTATTTTGTCAAAGAATTCATGGGAGGGCAATTTCTTAGTCTTCACAAGTTCGGGGTCTCATTGAATTTCACTGTCACACGCCTAACCATCGCATAAGCAGGCGTCACCGTACAGCGTCAAAAAATACAGTAGTACAGTTTTCTGTACGGTGACGAAAATTAACTGAGTTGATGCAAAAACTATAATGGGGGTTTTAAAAAATTAATTAGATGAAAATAAATACGATTTCGAGTGTAATAATTATGATAAACATTTTTCGAGCACTGCTCGGATTTTTTCTGACTGGATCGGCCCACACAATCGACTCGAGAGAAAAATGTTGTTTTTTCACTTTTCGTTTGGTTATTATTTTCCCTGTCGTCTGTACTCCGCTATTTTTTGACGCTGTACGGTGACGCCAACCTACGCGATGGTTAGGCGTGTGTCATTCCAAACAAATGAGAATGACTTTGAAAATTTGTTGGATTTAAACTAGGACTGGGTAAACACTTTTCTGTCACTATGAGGAGCATTATTTTAAACTCAAACCCCTTATTTTCACAATCTGAAAACAATATTTATCATTAAGTTCACAAGAGCCTATCAAAACTTGAAAAATGTAAATTACAAATTTTTGTTGATGATGAGTGCAAGAATTAATTAATCCCGGGATTTTGAGATATTAGTTGAGGAATTTTTGTTTGGAACTTTGGCAACCCTGTTGGTAAGGGTGATTTTTCTTAACTCTTTATCTTCATTGACGTCTTTGGATGCATGCTGATTCTTATCCTCAACTTTTTCTCTGTTTCTTGCTTCATTGATTTATTTCAATTGATATGGTTTTTAGGTCTTTGTGCTTTTAGCACTTCTGGTTTGCATATACTTATTAGTTAATTTGATGCTATTTTTATTGGATGAATATTTTTAGTAATCGTTTCTCACTCTTAAGCTGCTTCATACTTGATTATGACTTTACAACCTGCACTCCTAGGCTAGGCAAATGGAAGTTTAACATCCCAAAAATTGCAACAGTTTTTAAATTAGGCTCATATTGTATATTGATACTAGTTGAAAAACATATCAAAAATATAGAAAAATATATGCAGTGGACAAATATGAAATGTCACATTCCAGGTACCCCCCTCCAAATTTGAGTATGGGATTGTAAATATTTTTTTTATTTCAAAATGGAATACTCTTGTCAACTAAACGAGTAATATTATGATAGTTTACTGACATAAGAGCAATTAAAAATTGTTAACCAACTATTTGAGTGCAATAATTGGCATTTCTAGCGCCAAATATCTGAAAATAGGCCATCAAATAGCCCGAATTTAATATAACAATGTATTTATTTCTGTATTAATTCATCAGAATTGCATGAAAAATATCAAGGAGGGTATTGTACACCTGTACATTGTATTTAATAAGTATCAGGGTCATTAAGTGAATATTGAGCGTGAAAATAATATTTGAAATTTAAATATTTTACCACACCCACTTTTGGGGTGACCTTACTTTTGTTTAATTACTTCCAAGATATGTCATATTTGAACTCAATAGCACAACTAAATTATTTGTAAAGGCTTATTTTGTCATGAAAACAGTTTTTTTGAGGTTTTCAGGAAAGGATTATGTAAAAAAGTAGAAAAACAGCAAATGCCAGGTGAAATATAGGGGAAGCCCTACTTTTAGTTGATAACTGTTAAATTATCAAATGTTTTGTCCTTTTAAATTCAATTTGATATATAATATACCTTTTCTGGTAAAACAGAGAACGATTTGTTACAATCAGTTGTCAAAAAATGTCCTTGAAAAGGCAACAAAATGTTAAATATCCCTGTCCCTGACATCAGTTTATTAATACGAGGGGTGATCAGGAATTTCTGGACCGTTGGCTCTATTTTTGCCATTTTTTATCCTTTCTTACTGATTTTTTCACACAATATAACTCCAATATATAGGATCACACCATGAAGATTTCACTGTTCTGTTAAATCATTATCCTTTTATTTTTGTTACCATGGTAATCGGTGACGTGACAAGGTGGAGCTCAGAAAAATACCAAATTTGAAAATCAACAGTAGTTTTATATGACATTTTTTGACACTTTATTCATTGCTGAATATGTTACAAACATACTGAAATAGGTTGTATTATATCATTAAGTATATTCATTATGGTAACTGTCATTATTCTTCCATCAATTCTAATCCTCCAAAGTAGTTACCAGCATTTTGTAAGCATTTGTTATCCCTTTTCACCTATTTCTGAAAGATGTGATACAGACAGTCTTTGCCTACAAAATGTGATTGTTTTCATCGGCTGTGGCCCTGTACCACACGCACCCTATTCCCAATGCCGTGTACCACACGAACCGTATTCTCCAGACCTAGCTGACTGTGATTTCTATATTTTCCCAACAGTGAAGACCAAATTATGAGGTATCTACTTTGGGGACAGTAATGAGATCATTCAGGAATTCACACACCGATGTTACAAAGTAGGCAAAGACGGTCTGTATCACATCTTTTAGGACTGGGTGAAAAGGCGTAACAAATGCTTACAAAGTACTGGTAACTACTTAGAATTGATGGAAGAATAATGACAGTTACTTATAGATGAACATTAATGAATATACTTAATGAAATAATACAACCTAGACAGTATGTCATGAAATGGATGCAATGAATATAGTGTCCAAACATCATATAAAATTACTGTTGTTTTTCAAATTTTGTATTTTTTCCGAGCTCCACCTTGTCGCGTCACCAGTTACCATGGTAACAAAAATAATAGGATAATGATGTCATAGAACAATGAAATCTTCATGATGTGATCCTATATATTTGGGTTATATTATGTGAAAAAATCAGTAAGAAAGGATAACAAATGGCAAAAATAGAGCCGACGGTCCAGAAATTCCTGATCACCCCTCGTATGAGCTAAAAAAGGTAACCCAACCAAATGTTTGTTAATAACCCAGTCATTCAGCATGGGTTTGACATCATATTTGGCACAATTACCTTGTTCAATGTTCTTTCATTCTACTAAGTGTCATTGATCTATCTTTAATAGTCACGATTTTATGGCCATTTACAAAATGTGCTCAAAATATCGAAATGTGCCTAACTGACTGGACATCAATACCACCAGTTTTTTTTTATCTGTGGACGTTTTTTCGATACTAACAACACTTGAAACATTAAAACAAGAGATAAGAATGAAGATGAGAGTCATAACACATGATTTTTTATGCTCCTGATTTGAACAACAACGCACGATACGTTCAAGTTGGCTTCCAGGCATGACACCCATATTTCATGGCATGGTATAAAATGGCCATAAAATCGTGACCACTAGAGACCACTGAGACTGGGTAGATTGTTAATACATTGACCAAGACTCAATTCTGCCAAATATGACACTAAATCCATGCAGGATGATTGGACTGGATTATTAAGATTTGTTTGGGTTACGTTTTTGGCTCGCCCTGTATTAAGGAAAAATTGTTACTTTTGACCAAGGTGTTCTTAACCACACAGTGATATTGAGAAATGAAATGAAGAAGTTCAACTGAAGAATGTTCGATTTCAAGATGAAATTCAATAAAAAATGAGGAAAAGGTTTCTACATTAATAAATCCTCCTGAGTTAACTAGTGTAACGCAAAGTAAATCCCTGGTCTTTATACAGGGCCTGGTTCGATTATGTTATGTTCATTATCAAAAATGCTGCCTTAATTTTGTAATCTTAACCTTCATGTATGTGTCTTACTTATAGAGAGCAAAAAGAATGCTGATTAAATAAGCTTAATACTATTATGTTGTAACAACAATCAGTTACAACCTTGTCTATCACCAGCCTTCATCAGGGGCGGATATGGGAACCAACAAGGGGGGGGGGGGCAAATGCCAGGTCTGAGAAAAATACTTCCGCGGAAAAGATTTTTGGCCCCTGAAACCCTGAAGTGGGCCCAAATTTTGAAATATTGAGACCCATTTTCTTCAATTAAAAAATAAGGCTTTAAAGGCCCATATTTATGACCAAAAAGGCCCACTTTTCGGCCTTTTTTGGGCCCAATTTTTTTTCTGGGCCCGCCCAAGGGGGTGGGAGGGGCCCAGATCTGCCAGTGTTCATTATTTAGTCATCATTATTCTCATGATCAGTAATGGAGGTATTTGCACAAATGCCTTTGCATACCTTACATGTCAAAGAACAGTTATTTCATTTTTCTACAAGAACATCTCATAGAAATACAATCTGCCTTACACACACAATGGATGATCTCTGAGAAAGGGGAGCTGCATTTAGGCAATTGGTACATAGTTTCGTTGCTTATTTCCCAGCCCAATTATAATGGAGGCAGTTTATTTCCCTCCCACTCCTGGATCTGATGGTACACTCTGTAACTGTGTTATTCCGCAGCATCAGAAAATGGAGGAAGAACACGGGGCTGCAATAATTCAGATCTTGCTGCTCTCTTTTAATAGAATTTTAGAAGCCTAAGATAATTTAGGGTTTCACCATTTTTCCACCATAAATTGACAAAAGAGCATGTTCCTCTGCAATGACAGAGTTGCTTGCATTTCACGTTGTTTACGTTGTAACAAAATGTCGGAACATCGAAGGTTTGATTTTTCTTTTTTCTTTATTTCACACATTGTAGGCAGAATTCCCACAACATTGTTATCACAAACATGTATCAGTATTATATGTTTAAAAAATGTACATATTTGCGAACAAATAGTTCAGAAGACAACAGAATCTTCGATTTAATTCCTCACTTAAAGTGTGCGCCAGAGTTTAAAACTGCGCAGGCGCAGCGCTCCCGCTAACCTATATAAAGAGATTACAGGGTACAGGCTTCAGAGGTAAGCCAGGAAGGTGTACAACTATCGTCCCGTGTTGATTTCCCGTATAATCGTAACCAGGCAAGTTTCACCATTGGAATTGAAAATGACTATTAGATATACTTTGTAGATGTTTATATATGAAGGTATTAAGTGTATGCATCAAACAAATGGCTCATTTTGAACATATAAAAAGTATTTGTGTTTTGTTTCACAGGAAATTGTATACCCATGTAGTACGTATACACACATAAATACTATAGTGTAATACTAAACAAACAAACAAACATTATGTTGTACTTGAATAGCCTGGCTTATATAATATTGAAGGGCATGCTGATTGTACATACGAGTACATGCATGAAGGCCTAATATTGATATTGCTTGCATACCTAAGTAAATATAAACTCTTCTAATCCCCTAATGTAAACACGGCGGTATACGTAGCCCGATTTATCGGGGGCTTTAAGTTACATAAACGGTATTTCGATAAACAATTAAGATCTGCAGTTTTAACCCAAACCGTTTATTTAACTTAAGTAAGGAATTAAATCAAAAATTCTGTGAGAAAAAAACATCGTGGGGATTCTGCCTACAACGCGTGAAAAAAAAGAAAAAAGAAATATCGTACTTTCGACGTTTAGACATTTTGTTACCGAAACGACAAGCATAATCGAGCGGATCACCAGTGCTTTTGGTAATTTAAAAACAACCGCTTGTTTTCTCAAGAACTCACTCTTTTTTATCTGCCTCAATGATAGCCTCTTGTCTATGCCATATATAACCCGAATGCGATGTCACACCCCAGAAAAGAAACAAAATATTGTCACAGACCACTTTTCCCAAAGACAATCTTATTTCATTTATGTTCCAACATTTTGTTTCTTGGGTTGCTGCTTTTGGTTCAGGTTTGAAGAAAATGTTGAAGTTTGTGTTTTGTGCATGATAAATGAGAAGCACAAGGAGATCTGTATGAGTACTGTATTTGAGGTTTGGACACTTTGGATTGCAGTTTTCACAATCACAATATCTGCATCCGATTCTGAATGCAGCACATTTACACTCAATGTTTTCCAACCTGACAGACAGAATTACCATCATTCCTATGCACTGAAATTATATTAATGAAAGACTCCCCAGATATCTGAGATTTTAATGTTCTCTGTCAGTTTAAATTCCGTTTAATAACCATAAATTCGTTTCTACAGCATTATACATCCAATTGATAGTTCAATAGTAATGTACTCTTATGTAATGATTTATTTATCTGATGAATTTAAATATATGCAAATTTTGTAATTGCGGATTGTAATTAATAATTTAAACAATATTAAATTCCACAAAAACTACAACTTACATTATTTAGATAAGCCTAGTATAGAGCAGTTATCAAATACCCTAATATCAGAGTGGTGATATGTAATTATTCATCAAATAAAAGTGAGGTCACCTTAACATTTCACCTAGTGCAACTAATAATTCCTATTTTTCATACTTATAAGGTATAAACCTTCACAAAACTTGTATTTTAGATGATGACAAGCCTATACAAATGATTTAGATGTCAACTCTAATACAAATGTGATGCATTGTGGGAGTTAATCATCAAAACTATAGTCTCCCCTATAGTGGGCGGGGCAAAACTATGAAAATGAAATAATATTTTTCTTCCTAAGTATACACCTTAGAATTCTGACACTCACCAAATATGAAGTTCATATGAATATGTAACACCATGATTTTTTTCATGCTTTTCTGACAAATTGATCCTAAAATATCTAAATAGATATATGATAACATGCCTGTTTTGTGGCCTATTTTGTTATACTTTGGGGTCAAATGACCAATTACTGGTCTCAAAATTGATTAAAATAATATTTTAATTATTTGTGAATATGTGATCTATCATAATAAAGCTTGAATACTTGACTAAAGTATTCCATTTGGGAAGAAAAAATTGTTTCCTACCAATACTCAATTTTGGGGTAGGGTTGTAGGGGGTACCTAGGAAGTGAAATTTCATATTTGTCCACTGCATACATTTTTCTATATTTTTGATATGTTATTCAACTGATATTAATACATAATATAAGACTAATTTAAAAACTGTTGCAATTTTTGGGATGTTTGGGCCTTTTATGAGCCCATTTGCTTGGCCTATCCACAGCATGTACATGTCAGCCATTGTGCAACTTGGTATTTTATTTATTATTTTCATGTTATTTCTTTTTTATAATATTTTTAATAATTATCATTAAATGAATCGGCAATAATTAATCATTTTGATTTACCATGCCATAAGCAAAAAAGTTTAATAGGCAATCCTAAGTAATTTTTTCTATTTTATTTTTCTCACATTTCTCATAATTTTTTGTACAAAATGTACACATTCCTAACTAAAAAAGTTCAGTCTTATACCTAACAGTAATTATATTACATATCAGTCAATAAATTCTTACATTCCAGTGACTGTGCCGTGAAGGAACCTTCAGCTGCAGCGCAAAATGATGAAGATGCCAAGAAACTTTGGGACCTCAGTATGAAATGGACAGGTCTGGAAAAGGAGGCGAAGATATAAGAGGCAAAGACAATTGAGGCAGAGACAATTGAGGCAAAGATAGAGATGGATTGTGTGTGTCTTTACATCAATAAGGACTGAGGAAAAAGGGAATAAGGAACTTAGAAGCCATCAAAAATATTGATCTCGAGAAAGCCCATGTTTATGAGATTCATGACTCTCTATGCTCAAAATATCCCTCTGAACATTTTAGTACCCTAAAGAATAATATGATTTGACATTTACACAGTTGTGTTCAATTTCATTATTTCTTACATTTATCATATAGTAAGTGAAATTACCGAGGTCAAAATACATGTATTATAGTGAAAATCAGAAAAAATAATTATGTGACTCAAGTGCCACCCAGCCAGAAGAGGCCTGGATCTAAGCATTGTTGATCAGGGCCATTATTGACCCATAGGCCTTCAACACTTTTGATGCAAGTCTGGGAAGTAGTCTACCAACCAATCAAGATGATTTGTGACTCATTTTTTATTGGAATATTTGTATTTGTCATGTAATCATGTTGCTATGTTTCAAAGTAGCTATAAATGTTTGTATTCAGATACAGCTGATTGTTAATATTTATTGAACATAATTATGTGATTACTCTAATGATTCCTATAGTGTCTTGTCAGTGTGTTAGCTTTTTTATTTTCTGATGGGGTAAGACCATTTTTATACATTTACCTATATACTGTATACTTTATATCCATTAAAGTGTAAGGTGACGTTCTTCGCAATTGATGTTATTCAACTAGCTGATTTTGTGCCAAAGGGGATTAAAAAGTCTGACCTTTTTCAGAAATCATTATGAATTGAATACAAGAAGATGACTGTGTAAATCAAAGTTCCTCATGAAATTATACACAGAATTCAGATACGTCGTCAAATATAAAATAAAATTAGTCCATAATAGACTAGATGCAAGTAGAAATAATCTTGATTTAAGTCATTAATATTCAAAATTCAGTCGAAGTGATGTCCATGATGTAAAAGTAAATCTAGAAATATGGTTTTGGAAATTGTATATCAACTTTGAAAAAAAAATTTTTTTCAAATGTGACTAGTTCGGGGAGATTCCCCATAGACCCCATGTTATAAAATCACAAAAAGTGAAATATCTTTTCTTTTATTAGACAGATAACATTTTCTTTTACTGGACATATTTTGATTTGCATAACTATTAGATACATAAGTGTGATATGAAAATTGAACCACTAAACAGATGAATATTTAAGTTAAAGGGAACTTTCTACTATACCTGCCATGCTATCTGACCTGAACGAGCCACCTGGTGGTGAAACTGTTAACTACTAACTCGCATCTGAGTTATTGATAGATATGCAAATCAACGAGATTAAAGCTAATTATTATATACCCAATATGTAACACTAATCCTGATTGGTCAATACCTAGTCACGTGTTCCGAAATAGATTTACTATTTCCCTCGGAAAGTTATATTCCCTCAAATGTGACGTCAGCGGGAATATACATTTGAACTATTGCCCGCTGACGTCACAATTGCAAGTTCTATTACCCTTGGAAACGTCTGCGCATCATCACTGCGCAGACGAAAAACAGAAAAATGGAGGATGAGCACAAACACAAATCAACTCCGTTCACCATGACAGACGTGCGTGAACGATACAATATAAGCAACGTGTATAAAGTTCCCTAAGCTCAATACGTCTGTGTAATTTCAAGTGTTATGATAATCTATTCCGCGTGTTAAACGCGATTGAATTTGTCAAGTGAGAGTCTCAGAGGCAAACATTTCTGTTGGGCATCTGATGACGTCACAGCTTATAATGCTAACAATGGACCCGGGGAGGGGGCTTTCTAAGCCTTTTTGGCCTTCGCAGAGGAAACGGGACACGAGTCAGTATAGGGTATATAATAAAACAAATAGTGACTGCCTAATTTCGAGCAATAGTGTAAATGATTTCCCCTTGGGAATATCCTCTACAATGTACTATTCCCTCAGCCTGCGGCTTCGGGAATAGTACATTGTAGAGGATATTCCCTCGGGGAAATAATTTACACTATTGCCCTCAATGGCAGTCACTATTTGTATAATAGCAAAGCCTGTATTCATATTTTTGTTTTTACTGCTTTTGTACACGACAGTTTTAATTGCAATATATTTCATGTTAAATCTTTGTTTTATTTTTACCCTTTTAATGACAAATGTATGTACATTTACGAGGGGTGATTCAAAAGTAATGGACAAAATTTTATAGGCATACTAAATTTCACCCAAACAGTCTAATTTTTTCACAGTGAATAGATCAATCAATTCTCTACTTTGTGTCGAATTCTCATTTAAATGCATTTGAGATTGTTTCAGCTATGCGTAACCCTGGTAACAAGGGTAAGCATGGGTGGAATTGGTTTTTTAATGATAATCGAATGTTTTTGTCATTTTTGCTTGATTTCGTTTTAATGACTCAATTACCACACATGATATGTCTAACAAGCATGGTAATGCAATTGTCAAGCAAGACTCACATGCCCATGTGTTTGCTGTTGAGTTCTAAATTCAGCAACCAATTGTGCTATGACATCACAATGATATTTCTAAGAATGATGAGTCACAGTGAGTCAGAAAGTAGATCAGACTCTTAGACTCACACACATCCAAGAAATGTCTACTTTACAACAAATCAAAGTTAAGCAAAGGATTGTTATTGAATATTTGGTAGCTACTGTAGAGACAAGGCAGGCAGTTGTCAAGAAAATAAAAGAGACACATGGAGACAAGGCCTTGTCAAGGCAAGCCATTGAGCGATGGAACAAACACTTTAGTGAAGGGGATACGAGAGTCTTAGATCTAAAGCGATCTGGAAGGCCTAAGACTGGCCGCACTGATAACACTATTCACCATGTAGAGTCCATCCTAAATGCAGACAGGAGATTGACACTGAGAGAAATAAGTTCCATTACAGATGTGTCCTACTCTACAGTACAAAGGATTGTAAAATGCGACCTAAATATGAAAAGGGTGTTTGCCAAGTGGATTCCTAAGCTTCTTACCGAAGAACAAAAGCAACAACGTGTCGAAGTTGCGCAGGATTTTCTGAAGCAATACAACATTGAAGGAGAAGGATTCCTAAAGCGTATAATCACTACTGACGAATCATGGCTATACTTTAGAGATCCAGAAACCAAACTACATTCTACACAGTATATCAAAAAGAGTGAGTGGTGCCCAACAAAGGCTAGGCAAAGCAGATCCTCTGACAAAGTGATGATTGTTCCCTTCTTCAATTATTATGGCGTGTTCCTGACCCACTATGTTCCTCCTCATCTAACCAAACCCGTCTGGCCCAGTTATCTACTCTCGATATCGTAGATCTACGACAATTCAGAATCGGGAGTAGATTACTGGGCCAGACGGGTTTGGTTACTCCTCATCAGACTATCACAGGGAAATACTTCACCAAGGTAAACATGATATTTTCATCCGTTTTAATCATTGTCAATTTAAAAGGAGAGAATGAAGTCATAATAGCTTTAAGCAAGATTAATAATTTGAAAATAGATAAATAAATAAATGAATGAATAAATAAATAATGATATTTCACTTTCAGGTTCTAAAATGCAATCTTGGACAGGCACTTCAAAAGAAAAGGAAAGACACAAGAGACAATCGTTTGTTACACATGGACAATGCCCCAGCACACAGGTCCAAGCTAGTTCAGGATACTCTTGCAGCATTCATGGACATGCCTCAACTTCCACATGCTCCATATAGCCCTGATACTGCTCCTTGTGATTTCTATCTTTTTCCCACCCTTAAGATGGCATTAAAGGGACAATCCTTTCAGACATTAGCTGAGCTGCAAATGGCTATACAAAAACAGCTGAACACCATGGCTGCTGATGGATTTGGGCATGTGTTCTCTGCATGGGTGCGCCGACAGAAGAAAGTAATTGAACTTGGAGGAGAATACATTGAGGATTGAATATAATTCAAATGGATGATCATCAGGAATAATAAGGAATGATATGGATTATTATTGAACTTACTGCGATATGCTTTTCATATACATCTTGCATTGCAAAATATATTGCACCAGTAAACTTTTCATTGAAAATCCATTTGTTATTATGATGAAAATAGCCTTAAAAATGGATTCCGGGTGTATGCACCATGATCCAAGAGAAGTGCTCTATCTCAAAATGTATTTGTATTTAGTTAATAAAATTTTAAAATCTAATAGATAATTGATGAATCTTTATTTGTACAAAGTTTCATTCAAATCTGGTAAAGGTAAGCGTGCCTATAAAATTTTGTCCATTACTTTTGAATCACCCCTCGTATAATGAATGTATTTTCAAATCGAATGTTATATGGAAATATTGTATGGAATTGTTCAGTTATTTAATAAACTGTAATTCATAAATTGGCTAGACACTGTTTCATTTCATGAGTTAGTTTCCAGACATTGACAGACATGATCGTAATATCGAAGCATCAGAAACTAGAATATCTTCAAATGATATGAATCATTACTTCTGATTCTTGATTTCTTCCAGTTGATCAAGAATTTGGCCAATGTTAAAGTAGAATTTGATAAACATAAAATGTATAGATATATATTAAATTCTGGTAGATTCTGGTATCTGACAAAATGATGCATCGGGATGTTATATTAACCAGTCAGTATGATCTACATCACTTCCAGAAAAGATGATATATTCTCAAATTCAATTATTCAGTTTATTATGTCATCACCACAAGTGGTGACATATTGTTATGGTCTCTCACTTTTTTTTGTGGATGGCAGTTGGTAGTTAGTGTTAGGCATCTGTAACAAATGGCAGATGGTGACATTTTGCATGTTAATGCTTTGTTCCATAATGATTTTAAATGTGGAATTTAAAGATGTTGAAATAAGTTAACATTTAAAGTAACTTCTTGGATTTTTAGAAAAGTTCACATGATCAAGGATAAGATAAAAAACGCAAAGGACCAAAAAATCTGACAGTTTTTCAAAATACTCTAATGCTATTTGATCTCTCTTACTTAATTCATTAGTAATACTTATACATTGATTTATGGGATATTTCATTTTGATGATTTTGCCGATATTCCTTTTTACCCTCATATTCAAGTACAGTCAGACTCAGAAGCCAACCCAATGCAATGACCTCCCTGAGTAGAATCATTATGAAGCCCCCACCCTGCTGTTTGCTTAAAAATCTTCAAAAATAGGCAACTGATTTTAAACAACGGACTGTTTTCCTACTGTAGAAACTATTTCTTGATGACAATCATAAATCTGTCAACATTTCATGTTATAATTACGTCACCACCATAAGTGGTGACATATTGTTATAGTCTCCAACTTTTTGGTGACTGTGTCTGGCAGTTGGTGTTTGGAATTCAGCATCTGTTACAAATGGCAGTTGGTGACATTTTGCATGTTGATACATTGTATTGTATCTGTATTTCAATGTATGAATTTTATGTTTGACAGGTCATTTCTTGTTGACAACCTTACTGTTAGACGTCATTAAAGCGTCAAGTCCAAGTCGTATCATAAATGTCTCCTCATTGGCCCATGAGAGAGGTACCATGAACTTAGAGACCATCAGTGACCCAGGGGAGGAGAATTATAGCCGAGTATATGCATATCAAAATAGTAAACTTGCCAATGTGCTTTACACCAAAGAACTAGCAAAACGATTAAAAGGTATGTTTTCTGATATTATTTTATGTATCTACTGTATCAAAGTTGAAAGGTCACCATTAATTTAAATAATATGATTCTTGAAAAATACAGGGTGTGCAAAAAGCCTCTTCAATTACAACATAAAGAATTTGTAAAGTGTAAAGAGACTATGGACACTCTGTACTTATAATGGAGAGCAAGTATGAAGGGTATTAAATCCCTTCACATGTATCCATGGCTCATTCTCCAAAATTAAATACTTTCCCTTCTTTCAGGAACTGGTGTCACAGCAGTTTCTTTACATCCTGGAGTAGTCGCCACTGAGCTGTTGCGCTATGCTCCTTACGTCAACAATCCTATTGTTCAGACCATCCTCTGGCCAATTGGTTATATTATGGTGAAAACATCAGCACAAGGTGCACAAACCACAATCTGTTGTGCCCTGCAAGATGATATACCCAATCTCTCAGGAAGTTATTTTAGGTAAAGGAACTGGTTTTGGAAGTAGTGCCCAAATTAGTTATTAGACCCCTACTTCCTCTTACCCTTTGGAGTTATTTGGCGTTGTTTCTTAAAAGATAACTTCATCTAAAGTTTGTTACTAGACTCTGCCCTTATTACTCTGAATCAGGCCATAAAAAGTAGATTCTTTTTTTTGCGTCCCCTTGCTTGCATGATTTTGAGAAAATCAGAAAAAACAAACACATCCAAATAGCAATCACAAGAGTCCGAAAGTACCATCGCATTTCGTTAAATCAGAATCAGACGAAATGGCGGATAATTTGATGTGCGTTATAATTGACAGTGTTAGTGATTAGTTTGGCATTCATTGTGTATTTTCTTATTTTTTACCCTTGAATAATAGCCATGTTTAAATATATTGCATAAAATGTATAGATATGTGTTTGTAATCACTGCAAATTTGTATGTCATCCCTTTTTATGCCCATAAAATGTATACATTTCTCAGCAAACAAGTTTTTGTTTTTTCTTAAGTTTGTGTTTGTTTTCCTTGTACCCTTGCATGATTTGGATTTTGCCAGGACGCAAAACAAAGAATCTACTTCTTATGGACAAAGTCACATAAATTTCCAAACTATAAAAATTCAACAACTTAGTTTCATACTGCATGATTCACTAAATAGATTGATTGATAAAGAGCACACTAAAATACTAAATGTAAAAATTGAAATGAAAGTATATCAACGTCTACATTCCAGTGATTGTGCCGTAAAGGAAACTTCAGTCGCAGCGCAGAATGATGGTGATGCCAAGAAACTTTGGGACCTCAGTTTGAAATGGACAGGTTTGGAAAAAGAGGTGAAGATGTAGAGGTGACAATGAGGTGGAGATGCTCAACATGTTGTACTGCATTGCATACTGAACACATCGAATTAAACTGAGAATTAAATGGAAGAACAATCTCAATCTTAAGTGAGAGGAGAATTGAAACATCAGTGACATTGTAACTAACAGGATATTTTGGTCCATTTTGTAGGTTGTATTAAGACAACAAATATGGGTTGCTTAGTAACAGTGTCACACACTAACCAATCATCTATGAGGAGAATAAATGATATATACTCATCAAAAAAAGTTAAGGACCAGTGGTTTTCCTCATAGGTTTACATGTTAACCCCCATATTTGTTTGAACGACTATTTTCTAAGCGTGGAACAAAAGAAATCCCAATAAAGAAAATAAATCTGTATCTTGATTCTGTTCCTTATAAAGTCCGCAACATTTCAATGTTATATCACCATTACATTGGGTCAAAATTTGATGTCAAAATTGATGAATTTCGTGAAATTTAAAAAAAATGGCAGATCCCATGTTAAACAAATGGGGAATGGTTGGGTTGCCATAAGTCATGAGGAACGATCCATCCATCCGATTGCTTTCAAAATTAGAATTTCAAGAGACAATTAAATTTGCTATATTGTCCAACGGACAAAAATATGATTTAATCTTCCGGGCTTTACAAAAGTTAATGGTTTCAAATTTAGTAATTTTTTAAGGATCCTCTCATTGAAATAACACAGGTGGTCAGTGAGGTGGTCAAGATTACTCTATATCGCTAATTTTACCATTATAAGCTAGACATTTAGCATGTAACATGTAAAACCATTCGATTTTCTACTCAGAAAGTTTTTTCAACAAATGTTCCACTGAATAGATATCCCAAAATTTGAGTTGCCCCTAAGCCACCATTCCCCATTTGTTTAACATGGGATCTGCCATTTCTGTTAGATTTCATGAAATTCATCAATTTTGACATCAAATTTTGACCAATGTAATGGAGATATAACATTGAAATGTTGCGTACTTTATAGAGAATAGAATCAAGATACAGATTTATTTACTTTATTAGGATTTCTTTTGTTCCACGCTTAGAAAATAGTCGTTCAAACAAATATGGGGGTTAACATGTAAACCTATGAGGAAAACCACTGGTCCTTAACTTTTTTTGAGGAGTATATTTTGGCTTCCCAATGGTCATACTTTTATATAAGAATGAAATTTTTGAAATATATAGAATTCGATTGTGTCACTCTCTAGTGGTGTCCTGCCCCTTTTTACAAATAGTGCCTCTTAAATTCAAAAGCAACATTGGTTGAAAACAGGGTGATTGATGAAATTTTCTATGTCTTTTTTTATTCAATTTTTCATTGTCTTCCATATTTATAGACGTAATGTGTTTTATATGTATTTTTTTGTCATCTTTATGTTATTGTTTTAGTTTATCGTTGTGAGTTATGATAACCATTGTATTGCATATGTATATTCAAAATTCAAAGCAATACCCCAAGCTTTACAAATTAAAAGAAACATGTTAATGGCACTATAACTTTGTTATTGCACCATTTTGTTACTTAAATTCTGTAATTGTATTATAAATCCTGAGCTTTTTCTATTATGTGTGTTATGATATTACTAACTTTTATTGTATTTATTTAAAATGATTTTTACAAGGAGTATTATAGTAATTATTAGAACTAATAATAACAAACGTACATGTTGTGGAAAATCTAATTTTTGTAATTTTTGCTGTATTCTAATATGATATGTGATGTCACAATAACTAGAACAATTGATTTACTGGTCTATTATTTCGAGTATGTATGATGGCTATGCGATTTTGGTCTTTTAACAATTAACAGAATTTTTTTAGTCATTTATAGGCCATAAATTATAAAATCTTGGCCTTTATTCCTTAATTGTAGCTGTGCAGGGAAAGAATACCACATTTATTCCGATTTCAGTCAGGGTAATAATGACAAGGGTGTATCATGACAAATTCACACCTGCTTCTCACAGTTGAATGATAAATACCAGTTACCAAGTTACATTCTTGTACATGCTGCCAAAGTCAACCTGCCAGGATCAATAATATACAGGGTGGTCCAGAAAAAAGTGAACCCACGCAACAGGCTATATTTTCCTTAATACTTGCATGAATAGACTCATATTATCGCATGTTGTAGAGAAAGGTCTAAAATTTTGGTTGATGCTCTAATTTAATCTCAGTCTTAAATTTTGAAGAAATGACAAGAGTTAAGCAAACATGCCTGAAAATAAGATAATATGCAAAATTTTACCAATGTGATTCACAGAAATTGTTGAAACACATTGGATGATCTTAAACAGCTTTCAGTTAGAGATACAAGTTTAAAACCCTACCATATGACAAAAGGGACATTATTTAAGCAGAAAACACATTTCACACTTTTATTGATCATTTTGAAGCAGTTTTAACCAATCAACAGTTCAGGGATATGTTTCCTACACCAACAGTTAGAGGAGGGCCTCTTGTCGAAGGAAGTTGCCCCCTGTGACCAGGAATCTGAGAAGCCCTTCATCAAATATCCTGAAAAAATCAAAAAAAAATCCAATATTCAATGTTTTGAGCCATATTTCATTAAAATCAGTCCATGATTTATGAAGATATTGACATTTCAAGATCATATAGGGGTATGTTTGCGATTTCACTGGAAAATGTTATCGTCTATGGAAGCTTAGAACATTTCTTTTGATCACAAGAACTTTGCAACTAACAAAGGTAGGATGCTAGTTTTAAGCCATAATGTGCGGGATTCAAGATTGAACAGTGAGAAAATATGAGTTCTTTAAGACTGCAGCTTAAAAATTGTCAGGGGAAGGGTGTTGATGGGTTGAAGAATCGCGGATATTGAAAATCACATTTTATCCATTTTCAGTAATATTTGGTAAGGGCTAATTTCTGCAAATTTCAAGACTAAGAAGAATGTATGGTGCCAACATAAATTTTAGACCTTTCTCTACAACATGTGAAAATATGAAAGAATTCCTGGAAAATATGGCCCGTTGCAGGGATCACTTTTTTGGACCACCCTGTACAATCTTTGGGCTCTGGGCTGGAATTTATGATACACTCTGGTGTCAAGGTCAAAATAAATGCATAATTTTTAGGGTTACTTTTGTAACTTTGTACTGTAGTGCAGAAATATTCCAATAAAATGTTACATATATAAAAAATATATCTGTAAATTGATATTAAATGTTGTTTATTAATATCTCCTTACAGGACCATAATGAGATTGAATGCATATTAAACCTGTGTAAAGTGAACACATTTTTGTCTTGATGGAGCCAAAGGTTGCATAAGTTTCTGTACAGTTCAACTCATAGAATTACAGAGCTTAAAAATTTCAGAGTTTAGGTTGTTCAGTTACCCCCCCCCCCACATTCACCGTATAAATTGACATACTTAATAAGTACTCTTTAAGAAACGAAACAAAATATAAATAAAAAGTTATTTCGAGTTTTATCTTAGATGATGTTTTTTACAATATTATAGATAATAATAATAACATATCATATATTTAATATAATATCACATTCTACAATTTATTCTTCATATATTACAACTTCTCGCAAAATTAACAACTAGCTCAGTAAAACAAAGTCTAATTAGTAAGTCATACATATTACATGTACCCTATTCTACACACTTACTCAGACTGCAGTGGAATTCTACACAATACTCCAGGCTGCAGTGAAGTCATATACAAAATAAACTAATTGTAAAATTCAATTTTCAAAACTCACTTCTGAAACAATACTATATCCTCATACTTGAGCATTTACTTAACGCATAAAGGGATATCTTATTGAAGATTTTGGATATTACAAATATAGAGATAGTTTTGAGGGGCTTTAGGGTCTGAGGTAAGATATCACATTTTATGAGGGACATAACCCATACCCAAAACCGATTAACACGTTCCTAATCTATCCTAGAACTAGTGACTTAAAGGGCACTATTTTTCAACATGCTCCTGTATATGAATTTTATCATATTTGTTAACAATAATTTATCATGTCCTTTTATAATTTATATATATAATTCATAAATATATAGAGATCTATACTTTTGAGTCAATATTATATCTGACAATAAGAAAGTTTTTTAAAAACAAAACAAGAAAACTATGGGCGTTGAAGCATTGTCAACCGGACGGAAAAGTTCTGTAAAATATATAATCTGAAAAAGTATTTTTGTCACATAAACTGATATGTTTTATAATTTATGAACCTTTAGGTTTTGGTTTCAGTATAGTATTTTCCTGTTTTATATCATTTATAGAGTTGAAATGAAACGAGATCATATCTAAAGAAAGAAATTAATTTTATGACAGTAAAAACCTCATAGCCTATAATTATATAAGTTCACTTTGAGTAAAATGTACAAATGATTGATCACATTTCAACATTGAAAGATAATTTAAAATAGCCTAAAAACAATCAAGTGCTAAAGAGAATGTAATAAACTACTTTACTTCTAGTTAATTTGACTGCCGTTTTAATTTGGCAGATCTGCCAAATTGTGAAAGTCCACCAAATTAAGCAGCTGCCAAATTCAATATTTCATATTTCAATTGTAAATATGTATAGTATATACATTTCAATATTGTAAGTCTGCCAAATTTCTTATCCGCCACTTGTAAAAAACAGCAAATCCGCCAAAATAAGTAGCGCCAAATTAAGTAGAAGTACAGTATCCATTTTGTAAATATCATACAGCATTCAACAGAAGCATCGTATGAGATTAATCTATCAAAGGTCATGGGCATAGCTAGTAAGCATGCATGCTATGTGCAAACTGCAAACATATACAGAAAAAATTCAAGAATATTACATAGTTTATGTAAATAAAATGTTCTCTTTGACTTAAGTTTTGCTGCATCTATTTATGTTTGACTGCACATTTTATTTTTTGGATTCTGGCTGCATCCTGGAAATCCTTAAATTATATTCTTCTTTAAACCATCTACTGACAACTCTGCTTGAATGCGCTAAATGAGACCGGTAAACCAGCATCCAGATCCCCGCAGGCAAGCCATGAATGTTAAATCAACCAAATGTTTTTTCCACATAACATAAATTCTACACTACAAATCAAAAAAAAATTCTATCACATAAAATACGATGATACCACATAGTATTCAATGGGAGTTAAATTCAAGACTCTTGGACACAACATTTTCTGTATTTCACTCATATTCAAGAGTACAATAAACTGTCTGAGTGAAACACATTTGGTACTTCTAAAACACATTTGGTACCTCTAAAACACATTTGGTACTTCTAAAACTGTCCCATTTATGAAGTGTTCAACTAATAGAGGTTCATTTGACATTAAGTCAGTTGATGTTGGGACTCTGAAAAGTGTTCCACTTACAGAGGTGTTCCACTTTACAGGCTTCACTATGTATCTAAAATCTCATATGAGGGACTAGTGTTCGGCTTATAATATATTATAACAGCTATATTACATGGTTGTGTACTCTGAATACAGAGACCGAATGAAAGGTTAATTTACATATGAAATAATATTAAAAAGCATGGAATGTCAAGAAACTTCAACTATATTTAGAGGTTATGTCACTATGACGTGAAATATGCCTGAGTTCTCCCAATATAGGCCGACCTTGGGAGGCTCTATATTTGGGCAAGAACGAAGGCATATTTCACGTCATAGTGACATAACTGATGTATTACATGCCTTTGTTCCCATGGTTACTTTGTATCAATGACGTGACGTCATGATATTATCATGGTTATTAAAGAAATCTAATATCAAAACGAGGTAAGCGGGCTATATCGGGGTAATCTGGCAATATCGGTGGATATAGCTCGCTAACTTTCTTATTGACTTCCATACAAATGCTTCGCTAGGTATGTAATACTATAAGTTATTGAATGATTTGAAGTGCAATACAGGATATATTCTGCTCGAGAAATTCCGTATTGGAACGAGACTTAGTTGAGTGCCAATACAGAATATCGAGAGCAGAATATATCCTGTATTGCACTTCAAATCATTCTATGATGTTTTTATTGTGTGATCCTCTGTATTGCTACTGAGAATGTCCCCTCTGTACCAATATTTTCTATATTGCAACGGAGATGATCAATGAGAACAATCTCAGTAACAGTACATATTGGTACAGCACAAGAACTGACCAATCAGAAGGCTTCATTTTACAGATCATACGATGATCACTAAGTCCTCTCTTATAACTCCTAAATAAGAAACCAAAATTTTAACATCTACTAAATGTAGCATTTGTGAAATTTCAGCTTGGCCCCTTGCCCTCCCTTCAAGTTTCAAACCCTATTTAACAAGCCACCAAATGAGGGCATATTGTCCTATCTATAGGGCCTCATTTGGGGGCATATTGGCCAACCTATTAGAATCTATCCACTAGAACTTTATTATTAGGTTGTCCAATATGCCCTAGACAAGGGCATATTGAAACACATGGCATAATCAACAAGGGCAAATTGTGCTGTCAACTATGATATGCTGTTGACTTATACTGAACTGGTATATCTATGTGTACAATGTTTTGCTAGTCTTAATTTTTCATATATTCCATGAGCCATGTATAATAATCATCTTTCCAAGTCGCATAGATATAATAACATGTACATAATGCAATTTTCCACCTGTGCACTGTATGAATTTGTTATTATTTCTTTCCAATAACTTCCTGCTTTAGTCTATCTGCAATTGCTTGCCGCATTGCCATTGATTTATTGTCTTCCTGTTTCGATGGCATAGATGGAGCTGCGGTAGATGATATTGCAGATCGTGCAACTCGGGCTGATCGTGGTCGTTGAGGGGTTGTTTTTTCTAAAGATTTAAGTTGTTTTTCTCGCTCTGTTTTCTTCATCTCTAAAAGTTTATCTCTTTGTTGTTTCAAAAATTCTTGTCGTCGCACGAGTTCCTCTTTCGACAATCCACTGAAGTTGGCCTGTAAGAGAAACATTGAATTCATTCATGAAATTTTGAATAAAATAGAGAAATAAGTACACAATACTACATGTGCACTATTATAAAGTGGTGTGTTACTCATGGACATATGAAGTAAAATAATATCATATACAGCAACACTACTAAAAGTAGTACATTAAACATTAGCTTGTTACTTCTTATGATACATAGATGTCTACAGGCAATGACACATTGCAATAATTCACATGATACATTGCAATAATCTAATTCATACATCCACATGATACATTGCAATAATCTGATACATACATACACATGATACATCGCAATAATCTGAGACATACATCCACATAATACATTGCAATAATCTGATACATATATAGCATGATACATTGCAATAATCCACATGATACATTGCAATAATCTGAAACATAGATCCACATGATACATTGCAATAAGCTGATACATATATATGCATGATACATTGCGATAATCTGATACATACATCTACTTGATACATTGCAATAATCTGATACATATATAGCATGATACATTGCAATAATCCACATGATACATTGCAATAATCTGACACATACATACACATGATACATTGCAATAATCTGATTCATACATACACATGATACATAGCAATAATCTGATTCATACATCCACATGATACATTGCAATAATCTGATACATACATACACTTGATACATTGCAATAATCTGGTGAGAATACATACCCCCATGCTGTTGACTATACTCGACTGTCCCGTCGAGGCCTCAGCTTGGGCACTAGCCAGCCAATTAGCTGCTGCGTCTGCATTACTAACAGATTTCTGAAATAAAAAAGTTCAAAATTTCAATATTGCAAACAAAATTTCAAACTGCCATTATAGGGTTATGAAGATTTATTCAAATCTTTTCATCTGCTGTTTCATATGTGAAAAGATAAACGAAAGTCAAAGATCAGTGGAACATTTACGCTAAATCAAAGCATTACATGTATATAAGTTTGAAGCTTTAACCTTGCAGAAATTTGATTGTAGATATTCAAAAAAATATGATAAATTTGATGATTTTTGTTTGAAACTATAAATTACAATCTTTGAACCTAGATTCAAACCTAAACCTAGATTCCGTTCAGTGTTTGGATCATATTGCTCATTACTAGTATGTTGGATAAGATTGGTTTGGGTATTATCTATTCCTATAAAGTGTATAGGAATATACTGTTGTTCAACGTTATGTTTTTATTCAAATAAACTTTGATTATGTATCACTAACACTGGTCAGTATCAAACAAAGGTAATGGCAGCAACCTTCGCATCTAAAATGGTGTACGGATTTCAATATTTTTAGTTTGTATTGAATTAAACTACTTTATAGTTCCCGTTATGCTTTGACATTTGAACCAAAAACAGCTTATATCACATGGGAATTCTGGAGTATAATAATTTGTTCATATATCATGTGTGGCCGCCACAGTTCAACGATATCTTCCACTGCTAAATCCTTCTCCCAACTGAGAAACCTCCATCTCTTTCCCCAAAGTACCTCTTCATCTCAGGACAGTAGTAGAGGGGATAATACTCCAAATAAGTCTCACTCATTTATAATAGTTCAACTAATTTTCATTTACAGGATTTTGTGGTCCAATGTCACTGTCAATACCACCAGGACACTTGATTATGCGTAAAATGGCATTACGGAATGAATCATGCCGAAGAGCGTAGACCCATGGATTCATTGCACTGTTACACATTGTTAACATGGAAATAAACAGTCCAAAGCTTTGTAGCCATACAGAGTCTATATCCAGTCTTAGAGAGCTGAATATAGTAAAGGGAAGGTATGTTATGAAGAAGAGTCCAACAATCAATAGTAATGTCTTTGTATACTTCTTTTCGGTTTTCACCTTTTCCTTGTTAGCATCAGAGAGCACAATAACTTGAGCGATTTTCTTGCTCTGTTTCCATGCTATGTATCCTATCACGATGGAACTGATGAGACATATCGACATAAACAAAATGATATGCCACTGGATGATATTGAAATAGCCAGGAACGACGATATTATATATGAGACAGTTACCAGTATCAGACGTCCAGGTGTTAAACTTGTCAAAAAACATGAAGCAACAGATGAAGATGGCATATATCCATATACCAACAGCGATCATCTTCAATCTATATGATGTCAGGAATCTAGCATGCTGCATTGGCCACTGAATCGTGACCAATCGAATGAAAGAAATCATGGCCAAATGAAAGATGGAGACGCCTGATAAATAAATAACCATGAATGTACGAGTCGTACACAGATAGCGTTCATCTATATAGACAAAATTCATTGGTATGTAATGATACACCAAGTCCATGGGTAGAGCTAATAAACCAACCAAAAAGTCACAGATGCTTAAGCTCATCAAAAGAATGTAGCGCTCGGCCTGCAGTGCCCTACTTTTTGTGTAACTAAGCAGCACTATACCATTTGGTACAACTGTCATTATAGCCACAGTCGCTTCAATTATCAAATGACACAGCTTTAATCCATCGGGAAAATTGTGTGGATGAAATTTTTTTGTTATTCCTGAACTGATCGTATTTGTAGCATTTGAAATCAGTGTTGTATTATTTATGTATATATCTGTAGAGGTTATGTTCGAAATTATGGCAGACATTGTGAGCATGTACTGAAAAGAATCTGAAGATCTTCAAAAATCTCGCAAATGTTCACTTATATTATTTATTATACTTATCTAAGCTTTAAATGAAACGCCACAGTTTATTTTGACTCTTTGTTTACTCTCTAAGTATCACTGTAACAGTTTGTATTAACTTTTTCTTGCAGTTAAATATGACAATTTTCAAAGTCCATCATAGCATTTCCTGGTTTTCATAGTTTGCAAATGTCACATCAAGATACAAATACTGAAATTATCTTATAAATATTACAACTGTTATCGTTATGTTAGCATCTCTCAACTGATTCTCTAATTCTTAGCCAATGTTCTTGTTAATACCACCTATCTGATACTGATAGGTTATAATAATTAACTACGTATTCAAATTTCCAATTATCTTATACTTCCCTTCATATACTGAGAATCCAACGTCATGTAAATGTATACAATGGATCGGAATGCATGATATCAAAACTGGAATTTTTAATTTCCAGTTATTTGTCAATAACAATCCTAATTGACAAAATGTGATACATTTTACATAGTTACGGTGTTCATCATTAATCTAGATGCTTCAGAAATAATAGCTCAGGTTTGGTTTAAATACAATATGGTATCAGTGATCTCCCCAGCATTAATTCAAATGGGCACAGTACCCACCTGAGATTTTGAAAATTGGATTGCACCCATTTGAAAATGGGAAAAAATCATGAAAACTGGGCATATTTTTACCGATTTTGTTCTGGATTGTGAAAACGAGAATTTTGCACTCACTTGAGAAAAAATCCTGTGGAGATCACTGAGAATTGTATAGTACATGGCCGGATCATTCCAAAAATGGAACAAAAATAGAACCCAAACATTCTAAATTGAACGAATGAATGAATCAATTATATAATATAATTAAGAGCTCCATTACTTTATGATCGCGATTTTGGTTGACAAAAAATCTTTGAATCCCTGTTTATGTTTATAAAATGTGCCATTCTGATAGCCATGACATAAAGGTATTCATAAGCATTGTGATTCAATTCGGAAGTTATGTCTTGATATTGGTGACTTATATTTATTCACAAATGTGAATATTTGAGTGTCCTGAGTCACGTTTACTGTAATCCAAATAAGTGAGATGCCACAGCCTGCCCAGCAAATCAAACTGACATTACAATGCCTTTCTAGGAACAACAAAAACTTACCCCTTGGTTTATACTAGGGAGACTGTTTGAAGGCGTAGACTTAACAGGTGCCACTTGTGGTGGTGGTGCTTTCATGGGTGCTGCTTTCACGGGTGCTGTTTTCACAGGTGCTGGTTCAGGTGACTTTGATTTCGTTGTTTTTGGTGGATCACTTATTGCTAGGTTATGTATTGCCTACAATGAGACAGGATCATACATGATGCACAAATACAAAGTTGTAAAGTAAATCTAATGACTACCTGCCATTTGTTACAGATGCCGACCACTGAACCCTAACCGCCAAATGCCACACAATCCACAAAAAAGTTGGAGACTATATAACAATGTCACCACTTTTGGAGGAGACATAAAAAATGTATGGACATTATGACTTCTATGCAATTTCATTTAATCTGAATACTTACATATTACATAAAAGACATGGTATGGGTCATTTATTTGTACACCTTAATTTTTTAAATTAAACATGATTGTCGTTATATTTCCCTCCCATACTCAATCATGAATTAACTATTAGTCCTCAAAAATGGTTATTTAATAAAAGGCACCATACCTTTTCCATTATTTCATAAAAGACACCATACCTTTTCCATTATTTCATAAAAGACACCATACCTTTTCCATTATTTCATAAAAGGCATCATACCTTTTCCATTTTGACTTGTTCAGTTTCCTTTTGCTCCTGAAGGCGACTTTGTTCTGCTTTAGACAGTTCAATCGCTCGTCTAATCTCTTCATCTTCCTGCTTCTGTTTATCAGCCTCTTTCTGAGCTTGAGCTTCACTCTCCCTAGAAGGAGGTGAGAAAGTGAGTGAGATTCACATATAAGACAACAACGGGTATCTAATATGTGACATGTGATATGTGGGTTGGTCGATAGGTAAGACTGTCACTGCTCTAAATAGACCCATTAATTCAATGTGACATATACAGCGGGTCTCCGCTATATAGGAACACCCCGAAAGGTTAAATATTCAAATGTGTCAGATTTAAATGTTATGTGCCATTACAAATATCGTCCAAAGTTTTAACATAATTATTTATGATTTTTTCAAATACTAAAAACATGCTTTGACATCTATGACTCAGAATCATACTCTGTAAAACCACAGACAGATTGACTTAGCATCACTAATATGGGGTTCATATATAACAGTCATTCACTGTGATTTATTCATGCGACATGAATTAAAACAATACGTGAACTTTATCTTGTTCAAACTGTACAAACTTAATACAAGACAGAGGAATTGATCCAAGTCACATATGAGACTGAATGTCAAATTTGTGGCACATTGAAATTTTTGTTCTCTTGGTTTCACTCATGACAGTCTACATTACCATTAAAGGTGATAATTGTGGCTAATGTGATACGATGATAAATTAATGAAGTGAATCAGTTGATAATCACGTTTAATGACTTAAACTTCATCCTGATTTACACATGTCTCATTAACAACCTGAAGTTTACCCAGGTGATAGCCAGCACTTTGGCCCAAACCCACTTGAAAAATGCTCAGAATGGTTAAAAACTGCATGCTTTAAAAGAACTTTTGGCCAAGGGGATTTCCTCAAACCCCCCTGTTGAGTGATATATTTTGAGGAAAATTATTTAGTGCTGCATCTAATATGCACAAAATATGTCTCTTTTACACATCTTTTAAGCAGTTTTAATAATCACACAAATATACACGAGGATTTTTCAATAATGTTCAATAAAATAATATCAAATAGTAGAGACAGTTTTCCTTGTGTCAATAAATGATATTAACCAAACAATTGATCCCAAGCTGTGAATGAATTTTAATATTATGTGAGATTTAATTGTAAATGTAATTAGAAATACATGTAATATACAGCATATATTTCGAAAAGAAAAACAAAACAAAAATATATGTACAGTAAAACCTGTGGAAATGGAACACCTTAAAATAAGTGTTCCTCGTGAGGTCTTAAACTTAGAGAGGTGCATTATGGGTAACGTGACCTTGAAGTGTTCTACTTCTGGAGGTTCAGTAAAACCTGTCTAAGTGGAACATGTTTGGTACCTCTAAAAGGTGTTCCACTTGGGAGGTGTTCCACTTATAGAGGCTCATTTAACATTAGTCAGTTGGTCTTGGGACTCTGAAATGTGCTCTACTGACAGAGGTGTTTCACTTTACAGGTTTCACTGTACTAGTACTCCATTTATAGATGTGATCCACTTTACAGAGTTTTATGTACAGTATATTGTAAAAGCACACAGAGTCAGCATGTATACTCTAAAAATTAAATCATATGAAAGCTATATGCAAAATAAGCAACATGTAAACTCAATTCTACAAAAGTACGGTCAAGTCAAAGCAAAAAAGGAAATTAAGCCTGGTTTTGCAGGGTTAGCAGGCCCGTAGCCACTTTTGCGAAATGTCTACTTTTCAAAGAATATCAGAGTGGGATTCACATTTGGCCCAAATTCATATGAAAGACTACATGGGAGGGGGGAGGATAGGGGTAGGGATTTGCTCGAAGCCCTTGAATCCCCTGACTATGTGCCTGACAAACTATATAAGGTGATAATTAACTTTCGTTCCGACAACTGGATCAATATAGTTAATATATATGGAGACTATACAAAGATTCCATCGCATGTTTTAATTGAATCAATATAGCATTATTGATGTTTTCTATATCCCATGATGCCCTCTTGTTGGAGAAGCCGCAGGTAAAAAACCAATAGACTAGACTGGTGAATCGTTCATTTCAAGAGTCAGAAATCCAATTAGTACTGTTAGTTTAATCCAGAATATTCTTGAATTCGCGACAAAACGTTTGATATTATATGTGATTCATGCATGTTTACTAACTGGTACTGGTTAATTGCTCATCGGCACACAAAAGTATGGCTTGCCAACAGGTATTTTGAAGAACAATGTGTATGTATACAAAGTCAAATATCATGATTCTCGATTACCAAGACGGGAATTGTGATAAGCTCAATATTGATAGAAAAATTGTGATAAAAATGTGATACCATTGCACTTGGGATGTCTAAAATTTCAGTAAAATATCATAGTCTCTCTGATTGCTAGGCTTCAATATCAGGGGATCAAACCAAAGATATTCCCCAGAGAAAGAGAGAGTATAGCCCTGCAAAATCATTCTTTATTTCTTCAATAAAAACTTCTAGGCTTCTTAAAACAAAACCAATGCGACATGTTGATGAATATTCACACAAGTCCCATTTAAACACAGAAAGATATACAAGAAAACAAATGGGACAGTATGTATTCATTAACAAACTCTACTTCCAAGTTGATTATTTTCTAACATGAAAACCAAAATTGGGATTTGCTCGTGCGATAAAACCTCCACAGTAACAGAATAGTAAGCTCATATTAAAATTGTACAGTGAAACCTGTGAAGTAGAACACCTCTATAAGTAGAGCACCTCTCTGAGTGGAACACTTTACAAGTTGAACACTTCAGACAGGTTTTACTGTACATGTAGTTCTAACAACAAACTTTTCAATTCACTATTAATATGTTGCCATAAAGGTCGATGCTATAATCTATTTATAAACCTGATATTCTTATAATCACAATTTCTCACATTTGATATAACAATCAAAATCAAATTCAGATATAAAAAAGTTTGACGATTTGAATGGTGTTGATCTTCCAATTTTCCATTCGATGAAAATGATTTTTTATCTTGCATATTGATTCACTAAGAAAAACAATCCCTGTTTACAAAATTTTATCTGAAAGAGTCGTTTTTTATTTAATTCACATTTTCATTTTTCATGTTAGAATATAAATACTGGAGATATACAGTTGGGGACATAAATAAATGACAGGTGGATTTGCTGAAGTGAGGATTTCCCATGTTAAAAATAAGAGAATTTACAAGAGGCCATAAATCAGTGGATGAGATTATACAAAATGTAAAATATACAAATTTTAAGGGATATGTATCTAGACAATATTGGAAATTATGGGCTTTCAGACCACCATAATTAGGAAATGGTGATCGAAAATCGACCTGTCATTTATTTTTGTCCCCAACTGTAAGAGTCTTACTTCTTTGGAAGAAAGGGTAATGTCAGTGCCCGCATTTCCCTATAAATTAGAAGCCAACTTAAATTAATATTGCGGATCTAATACTGTTAATGCACCATCACAATTCTAAAAGAAGTCTAACATTTAGAGGTATTTAGTATACAGCAAATCTGTACATCATGTTCATACATATACATGTGCATGAAGATAGTTATCTGTAGATATACATAACATGCACATACATATATCAAGATGTAGTTAATTACAGGCTGGTCCAAAAAATTTATAATTTTGTCACATCATTACTCCTTTAATATGAATGCTCCAATCTTTATTTTTTTCACAGATGTATTACAAAAGATGGGAGCTTTGTGTGGTTGCATCAATTTTGAAATCCATCAACCAGTTTTCTCGTAATGTCACTGTCAAAATGCCCAATATTGAATTATGTGAAATATCCACACATTTTCTGGTGAATAACTGAATCATTCCATCATAGTTATTTCTGCGGAGAAAACTGTAGGACAAAAGAAATCCAAAACTCCAAAACCATAGACAAGTTAAAAATAGAAACATCCATACAAAAAGCAGGTCACCTATGACATTGTTTCAAGGTGTGAATATGCTAAAATCGCTTATTGGATTATTCTACAAAATATGTGAATTTTGAAGATATTTCAAAGTTCAACATTTTGAGCTAAACTGTGATAAAAAGAAAAATCGTCAGTAGAAACAACACTACCATAGAAATCTTTATCTTTCATTGTACAAGTGTGAATTTTTTTTGGATCATCCATATTAAAGGAGAAATGATGTGACAAAATTGTAAATGATTTTTTAGACCACCCTGTATATGTGTCTGTAGATACATTTCTGTAGGTGTAATTACATTTATACACATGTAAATACATATATGTAGTTACATATCTGTACACAGAGAAACATATCTGTAGATGATGTAGTTACTAGATACATAGACTATATTTGCATGTCAATACACACATAGTTAAATGTAAATCAGTGTTACGTCACGGGGTAACTTATTAAATTTTGGTTCACGATTCAATAAATTCAATTTACTTTGTTAAAATGAAGCAGAACACTTTGTATGAATAACCCCTGAAAGAAAGAAAATTTTAGAGGATGGGGGAGGGTACAGCACAGAATAGTACAATAACGTCATTTCGGAGTATTGAAAGTGAGTGAAATATTGGACCAAGGGGCGAAGGCCCAAGGTCCAATATTTCACTATATTGCCAGCAGAAATGACCTTATTAGTATTATTACCACCGTTAATGACCAGGTCTGAAACAGCAACAAAATTTTGAATTGCATTCTCGACAGGGCAATATGGACCACCACTATAACGTCACATATTGCTCAGGTCGATATAGTAAAATAAAATGAATGCCTTCTAAACTAGCACTAAAACCCCTAGAACTGGCCCGGCAAGGTGGTAATACTGATGGTTTAAAATCAAAAACATATGCTGTTGCCATACTGTCCCTATCAACAGAAAATCTAACATAGAAAGCATATTAAGGGTGTATACTGTTGTAAGTATATGTCACACAAGGAGAAACTACATAGAATCAGATGATGTCTAAATATATTTATATGATATGTCCTTACTTGGATTTCTTATTAGCCTCTCTGGAAAGCCATATACATGTTTAATTAAATCACCAAATAACTAATGAAACATTTAAGCTCAGGTCTTAATGATTCCTGGGTGATTTAAAACACGAGGTTCTTGTAAGGTTGGCAGCCGAGTTTAAACGCCAGCATACAAGAAACAAGTTCATTAAATCAGCCACAATTCACACATAGGAAAGTATTGATACAACATTTTCATAATACAAGGTGTCCAAAAAACAGGATAGAAAAAAAGTTCATTTACTTGGTCAGATTATTCAACATGAATTTTGTTGTGATGACTGATTCAATTAAGGTCTTGTTTTAACAATTTTCCTTATTAACAATACTTAGTTATCTAACATAGCATTACTATATTCTGTTCTGATTGGCCAGAAACAAACAATGCATGCCCTGCTATATGAGAATCATTATCATTTAATACTATTCTTGCAAAATTCTCTTCATTCAAAATAAGAAACAAAAATAGTACATTATAATATATTCAAAATGAATTAAATTCTGCAGAAGGTTATACTGTTAAGAACTGTATATTACTACATCCTACAAACACCATGGTCACGTTAAAATATAAAAAAGAATCCATACTAATGCATGCACTTTAGTACTACCAAAGGGTATAACTATAAAATGAGAAATTACAAGACAACAGCCTAAGGTAGACTTACTTTAATACATTTTTCACTACATCTTCTTCGCTCTTGTTCTGTTCAGACGTAACTGGAGCATCGGGCTGGAAGGCCTCGGAAAGACCCCCTGTGCACTGAATAACAAGGATCAAGGCTTGCTGTTGGAGCTCGATATTACGCTGGACCATCAATCGTGAGAAGATGTCAAAACTCTCCGATGCAAGCACTTCTTCAAATATGTACTACAAAGAAAAGTACATTGTAGAAGCAAAATATTGATACATGTCCAAAAAGCACATATAGGTTCATTGTCAAATGGCATTCATGAACTTTATGCAGATTATACCATTTTTAGGAATAATTCAATTGATTGATATCATTATTCTATTTTGTAAGCGAAATGTGTTTCACTAGTTTATATCTCAAACTTGAAAAATAAATTGACATGCACTTTTCTGTTCAAATCATTTAGCATTAACATGTGATATATACGTAATGCATACATGGATACACATTTAGATGTTACCCTAAATTCTAATATGATACGTAACGTCACAATAGCTAGAACAATTGATTTATTGGTCTTTATTGGAGTATGAATGACCGCTAAATTCATAAATGAAAATTGTTGTGTTTCTTGTCTGTTTATCAGAGAATCGTAACAAAGACCTCGATTTTATGATTTATGTCAAATATATGACCTCAAATTTTATTCTGGCCATTGCCAAAGACCTCAATCGCTACGCGATTTCGGTGTTTTAACAATGAACAGAATAAAAATTTTGGTCATATATCATGCCATAAATCATAAAATCTCAGCCTTTATTCCTTCAATATACACCCAATGTTGAAATCCCATAATTAAGTCATTCTGATACTCATTAATCTTTCTGGTTCTCTTGAACATCTTATGGCTGAGAGAAAATGAGATGTTATGGTTTATCATGATGTAATGTATTAAGTTATCAGAAATGCCAAGATAAAATGTTGCCATGGTTACCTGAAACATAACTCTAAGGTCATCTTTCTTGTTCATCTCTGAGAGTGCTGATATGATCTGTTCATGTGTCAGCTTTGCGTCCTCTCTGAACCCTTCTAGCAGGCCAGTCACCTGCAATAAAGTAGGTGCAAGTAGATAGTTACCAGTTTCACCACCAGGTGGCTCGCTCGGGTCAGATAGCATGGCGCATATAGTAGAAAGTTCACTTTAACTTAAATTACATCTGTTTTAGTGGTTCAATTTTCATATAACCCTTATGTATCTAATAGTTATACGAATTAAAATATGTCCAGTAAAAGAAAATGTTATCTATCCAATACAAGAAAAGTTATTTCACTTTTTGTGATTTTGTAACATGGGGTCTATGGGGAATCAACCCGAACTAGAAGTCACATTTTCAAAAATAATAAAATTTTCAAAGTTGATAAATAATTTTCGAAACCATGTTTCCAGATGTACCTTTACATGTAGATTTCAAATATGACATCACTTTGACTGAATTTTGATTATTTAACGACATAAATCAAGGTTATTTCTTCTCGCATCTAGTCTATTACATATCATGTATCAGTGAGGCATGAGATATCTTTGTATCAATGAGGTGTAATATGTTTGTTTGTCAGTAAGGTTTAAACATAACTTATTTCTGTATTAATGAGGTATAATCAGAACATATTTATGCATCAAATAAATAAATATATATCTATATATAAGTACTATTATTATACACTGTATATTTATGAAAATTGCCTGATCTTCACTGACATGTGACCTGGTTATGACCAATTGCAAGTTTATGAGTGATATAATAATATTTTCAATTTAGAAAATGGCTGAAATACACATGCAATAAAAGGAAAAACCCCTTAAAAACAAAAGAATGTATTTGAAAATATGGTTACATACCAATCTCTTGTAGGCTTCGTGAGCTTCACGATGCGCAGCCTCCACTTTCATTGTTGGGTCAAAAACTGAAAAGACAAAATGTTATGAACTTTCATTATATTAGATCCAAATTGGAAAATAAAATAAAATGGCTTTTCATAGGATGTGGAGAGTTTATGACTCTACTGAAATACATGCGTACATGTATAAGGGTCAATGTAAACTGCAACCGTTGTTGCTTGCAATGAGAATCCCAAATACCCGGATGCACTTTGTACAAATTGTTCGCGAGCACGGATCTCTGTTTGCAAGTGGAGAAATATGTTCGGGAGCTTGGAAATGGTGATGCGCGACTAAAGATTTCATGTTCTAGGAGGCCTGTATTAGTAATAATATAACATTTCTTCTTGAAGCTAACTTAAAATACAAAGACACTCATATACACACACTGATGCCAAGCAGTACCTTACTAATGATCTATAGCAGAATATACCTGTATCGGTATACATAAATTTCAATTCTATTAATTTTTGATATAGATTTGTATAACACTCATTATGTATCACATTAACACTTGTTTGTTCAGAACTAGTAGATATTATTGATTTAGCTGCTAGGCTAGTGTTTTCCTGTTCACTTATAACATGATATTCATCCTGATAAATCATAGATCTAACACTAATTACAAGATATATCAGGACCATAAGCACTGGATTCAAATGTAAATGGCAATCTCTGGAAGAGCGATTCATAAAGATGGACTTTGATAAATGATATTGTGATAATTATGTTATCTCTTTCCCCTGATCTTGTATGTCTATGAGACATGAAAGTGAAATACATCATATGGTGCTAAACACAATTATTTTTAATGTACATAAGGAATATGGTAGATACCAATAATATGCGAGTGCCCCATTTTTCACTAAGTACCCCATGATATACACAACATACTGGGGTAAAACGTAACCCATAAAAAAATATGTACCCCATTTTGTGAAGTGACTTAACTGCTTCTGGCATACTCAAAAATACTTAGGCCTGGCAACATCATTGACAGACATATGTGTTCTTTATTCATGAAAGCTAGTCAAAAACATGATATACACATACATATACACAACATCAATATGATGCCAGTAGAGCATAAATAATTCAAAGGTTTTACTTGATTTAGAGCATGCAATATTTCTATTAGAGTTCTCTCCAGGATTTTGTTATGTGGAATACTTGGTATTTTCAGATCAATATTTTAGAATTTTATAGGATATTTTAGGATTCATGCAACATTGAAGATTTTTGTGCCTGTAAATGCAATTTATTTTAAGATTATGATTTTATAGTATGAAAATCAAAAGTCTTATTTCTTATTTTGAAATATTGATTATATTATTAGAAACTACGGGCCCTCGGTAAGATATCAATATTTCCCTCAGATATACCCAATATCCAACTATATAACATTATGTTTTAAGCTGTTTTATGTTATCTAATGTTTCCCTCAATTATTTTTTTCATTGGTGGCATAGTTTTATGTTCATATATCGGGCAGTATTCTCCCTACATTGAAATCTCTGAGGCATAAGACCTCCATGGATTTTAAAAAACTAAGATGCTTCTCTATTAATCAAAGTGCCTCCTTGAAATGTTACGATAAAAGATTAGAAAATCCAAAAATATTGCACAAAAATACAAAATTGAATCCTAAAATGTTGCATAAAAAGTTACATTATTCTTAAATGTTGCAATACAACAAAATCTCCCAAACAAACAAAAGTTCTTGGGGAGAGCACTTTGCTATAGACTGAATAATTTTTAAAATAAAAGTTGTATGTACATGTACATAAGTTACTATGTATTCTAAGTCTTGATGGACAAGGCACTTCAACATCTCCTAGTTACTTCTATGTTTTACAATAATGGTAAATTAAGTGAACAATTTAAATGTCAAATAATCAAATGTAACAGTGAATTGTGACATTCTAATTATCTATATGTTCATGGGCTTCTCTTGAAAGCCCATGATATATTTGATAAACTATATGAACATATTTTGTTTTATCTTGTAAGGGTATACAGAACATAATATGACGGCATGTATTATTCCATTAATATAAAACCCCTATGAATCACAGAAATATACAATTCGTGACAATTAATAAACATGGCATTGACATGCCAAATGTCACCACATCCCATTTGTTACAGACATTGGCTGTCGAACCATGAACACCAACAACCAAACACTGTCTACAAAAAAGTTGGAGGATATAACAGTATACCTGTATACATGAGACATAAAAATTATTCATGGGCAACTCTTACATACATGCATGATATCTACCCCAATAGGCTACTGGGTTGTGTCATCATGTAATTTTGGCTATATTGAGATATTTTGAAATAAGTATAAACGACAGGTATTTCCATGGGATGTCATCACCTAATTTGGTCAAAAGGTAGGTAGCAGGGAGTTTCTTTACGAAATTTCAAGATTTTCAAACAGTTGTGTTTTATCCCCCAAACTTGGGTATGGGCATGTAGTTGTTTTCCCCTCTTTTTTCCAGAATTCTTTTTAGAGATTGTGTAAGGAATTAACATGGCAGAATCATAGCAGCAGGTTTAGGGGAATCCTCGGAACATCCTGGTCTGGTGCTGCAGAGTCCGGATGTACTAATACATGGAGGAATTTTGAAAATAAGTTACATAACATTACATAATAAAATGATCCTAAAATACTCAGGAATTTATTGAGGAATTTAAACACAGACAGCATTTAGCGATGCTCGGAAGACTATATGTACAGCTTGTCACGGTTATACCAGGCTTACAAAATAACACTGCCACGGTCATGGCAGGATCCTTGCGCTACTTAAAAAACACTGACTAACATGGTGACGGTTACACCAGGCGTTAGTCTTGCAATAGATAGCATGTGTTGTGGGAGTCAATCCTCCTTGGATCACAAACATGGCGATCCATAAAAACATTCGTTCGATTTGGTAGGGATTTATCCATAATTTGCAGGTATGAAGCTTTGGATTCATTCATTGTGCTACTTAAGTGAACGGGAATTATTGTTCTACCACTTGGGAGAATTTGAGACACGAAACTTAGAATTTAGCTCATTGTGACAACTTTTGATACTTGCAGAGGTTTAGTTTTGTCCCCCACTTTATCTGATGAAGATTACCTGTATTTGATGAAGTGGAATGAAAATGACCGTCACTATTTTCCAGACGAGATGATGGCACTATCTAGACCGTGCTTCTTATTTCATAGTTATAATTGATTATATGGTTGCCAGGTAAAAAATTATTCCAAATTTTCAAGAAACTGCATTTGTAATTGCTCACCAAGGCACCTTAAATAAACATTAAAAATTAAATCAGCTAATGCATGAATACTTACTGATGCAGAACTTGTCCATAAACTCCCCAAGAGGGAGCTGGAACAGTGGGTGCTGTAAGAAACAGATGAGTTCATCATAGACCCATTCATTTTTCGTCGCCATTTTTACTGTCTAATTAGAGTTGTATGGCAACTTGGCTAAAACGAAATCTTGACGTGCAAAAATCAATGTTGGATAAGGCTCCAAATGCACTATACACTGTTGCTCATAAATATGGAATATTTTATAGATACGAACTGTTTGATGGAATTTCTACAAAATGATTGCATTTTGATGAAAATTTGTAATGTGTTCTCATTCCCTCATCAGTTTTACATATAAAACTGATTGGTATGAAAAGTTAAAACATTTATGGTTGATTAAACTTGTATTCATTCATGTGACCCCATGACCTCATGATATTGGTAACTTGGAAGAGGTGTCCAAATCTTAGTTGCAACCATTGTGCAAATTTTATAAAACTTTAATTTAGAGTTGGAAGAGTTTTTAGAAGGCATGCCCCATAAAATAAGCGAAAAAGAGCATGGCATGTCATAGGGATGGCGCTCTCTGGCATGAAACAAACTGCCATTGCCAGGACCCTAGGGGTGTGTCAGGAACAGTCTCTAAAATTCTGCAATGGTACCAAAGGCACTGGAATGTGACTCCAGGACACAGCAATAGTAGCCCTAGAGAGAATAATGTAAGAAAAGACCACCACCTGCTGCATTTATGTCATCAAAATCGCTTTAAGTCAACCAGTAGTCTACGAGATGAATGACTGTCTCACCTCAAAACCTGTGTTCCAGAGTTATAGACAACCACTGATTTCTTTAGAATGGATGCAAGGCCATGAGACCTGTAAAGAAACCACAGGAAAGCACTAAAACGTTGGACCTAATCTTTTTTGTCATATGACAGCATGTGAAGAAATAAGATACTGTATGTCCTCCACAAAGTTGATAATTGTGTTCGTTTATGTCATAGACCAGGGGAAAGACACAATAAGGATACTTACTGATGTGGCAGTCCACAAAGGCGACCCTATTTATGTTTGGAGCAGTATTACAGAGGTTGTTTGGAGCAGTACTACAGAAGTTGCAACCCCCTTGGTGATTCCCACACATAATTTCAGAGTAAATTGACTTTTTGGACCTCCATCAAGTACCACATGTAAACAGAGTGTTTTGGGGCAACATTCATCTGCAGAATGATCATGCTGTTGCATATGCTAGTGGCCGTGTTGGATTACATCAGGACAGGCAATGTGGACCAGCTACCATGGGCACAAAAGTCAGCCAATCAGGCTAATGCAGAGCAAATGTGGGACGACCTTAGTAATGAGATTTGTGACTTGGACCCCAACCTCAAAATTTAGACATGTTACGCACTGCTAAGATTGAGGAATGGGGCCTTATTTCACTAAGAAAGGTCAGATGTTTCATTCAATCCTGGTCCCCTAGGGTTGATGCTCTGATTGCAGCACAAAGAGGACATAACGCATATTAGTGCTATCATTGGATAGAGGACACTTCAATCTTCATGACCAAATGTTTATTTTGTTTAATCTGTTTTACATGACAATTTGAATCGGGGTGTTTTGAAAATGCAAAAAGTCTTAGCTTACCCCTGTTTAAATAACAGTAATTTTCTAAATTTAAATGTGCATATTTTTTCTCTGAAAAATGTTGATTTGTAGATGAAATATGTGGTTATGATTTGCCTAGAAAATGAAAGTCTGAACCAACTTCAAATAAATGTTCTCTTACTGCAAAATTTGAATTCTGAGCTGCCAAATCTAATATTCCATATTTATGAGCAACAGTGTATATTACCTCATACATTTCATAAACTATTTACCCTTGAGTTTGTGAGTGTGTTAAAAGCTTAGGCGGTTACATACATGTAAAGTGTTGATGGATGGGGGGGGGGGGGTATCAATAATACTCGAGGAGAATTAAAACTATGGGGTAAAAGTGTTCTTATTGCAATTTAAATAAACTATCAATTCATTGTTGCACTGTAAAATAATGTTTTCATTCATTTGACCATACAGGTGTAGCCAGCAATTGTAATTGATTCTTTTGGTTTTTGACCCCCCCCCCCCCCCGGATACACCAATATACCACATACCCTGAGTCAATGCACTGAAACACTCTAAGCTTATTGGTTGAGACACACTTGGTATTATTGAATATGCAATAAAAATTCAGACTTTTCTTTATATGGAGGAATGTTTTTTAATGCAAGGAAATTATATGTTGAAAGTTGGAATTGGGGGGGTCTACTAGTACAACCTGTTTTTCTTAATCAACTTCATGAAACAATATTTATTTCACAGTTATATTTTGTGAATATTTTGAATAATATGTATACTTGTAAAATGTATATTAATATTCAATGCATATGGAAGGAGGTGACAAAATTGAACTTCTTCAGCTTCTGAGGAGACAAATGCACATTTTCTTCATCCTAGGTATAATGTGTAAGTGCGTCGTAGAATGAAGACAACACGCCTTCATAAAAAGCTGCTCCAGTTTGTATTCAATATGTGTTTTCAAAATGTATATTTTTCATTGTTTTGTAAATCTTATTTATAAACCACACATTAAGCGTGCACATATAGTTGAAATATCTTTGCATTAGTCCATATTAGAGAGGGCTACTCTGATATGGTTTTTACAACTAATGTCGATCCCTGACATGCTATCTTTACGCACCTCAATTCAATTGCATTTAGCTGCATTCTCTATGGTTTGGTTGTCAAGTCCCATTAATGAATGTCCACCATCCTGTACTACACAGGCTCCATTCATCATTGATGCATCCTCAGATGCCAAAAAGACAATCAACTTAGCAGCCTCCTCTGCTGTTCCAACCTTCTTTGTAGGAACAGCCTTGGCTATCTCATCATATCTAGCATTAGCTTCAGCAAGATTATTCACCGAAGACTCTGATTTAAGTCCCATATTTGTGCGTATATATCCTGGGCAAACTGCATTGACTCTGACACCTTCAGCTCCATATTCAATCCCAGCACATTGGGTAAATTGGTTAAGGGCAGCTTTAGCAATGGCATAGGAAAAACTATCTCTACTAGATGCCCTGATGCCAGCAATACTGGATATGTTCACAATGTTGCCCTTGGATTTCTTTAGATGTGAGAAGCACATTTGTGAAAGAAATATTGGAACTTTCAGAAGTAAGTGCATCTGTCGGTCAAAACTGTCTTCTGTTGTAGTGAGGCTGCTTCCTATCTCAGCTTGACCGGCATTATTTACTAATACATCAATCCTGCCAAATTCACTAACAGCTGTGTCATGTATCTTTTTAATTAGATCCTTATTGTCAAAGCTTCCTTGCACCACTGCAAATTTAGCAGTACCCAAACCAACAGCCTTACATTCTTCTAAAGTTTGTTCAAGAGAATTTAAATCTCTGCCATGAATAAGTACATTTGCACCTTCTTTTGCAAAAAGTAATGCTGTGGCCTTTCCTATCCCACTGTTGGAGCCTGTAACAATTATTCCTTTTCCAATGAATCTCATGATTTTACAAGTTATGAGACATATGCATGCATGTATCCCGGGGCATGTATACACAGTGCAGGACTCAGTGGTCTATGTAGGTTGTCCCTGGTTGTGTTTGTGCTATTCTGATTCTTTAAAGCACTATATAACTACTCAGCTTAGCTAAATATAGAATACGTGGTATGTATATCTGAATTTAAGCTTGAACAACAAGGCCAACAAGTGAATGATAAATTGAGAACGAGGTCACTTATTAACTCAGATTTATTTAATTATTGTTTTCGTTTCACATCATCAACATAAAATATTCCCTCTTTTAGACTGACTTCGCCATCTTTATTGATAGGAAAAGTCGAACATTTCTGTCACTTGAAGAAAGTTCTTTTGGATACCCGTTGACCAGAATAGGTAAGTTAGTTTAAACTTATATCAATTAAAGGTATATGTTGGATCCTTTACACGTCAAAATATATTACGATTCCATACAACTGATGCTGTTTGAGACCAATAAATTTTGAATTTGTTTTTCTCATCTGATCGAGTCATTTTTTTGGAGGCAGGCTTGTCATTCTCAGAATAACAACAATAACTCATGGGGAGTAAGTCACCCCTCCCTCTTATATTCTGTACCCTATATTATTAGCCTATTGTTTTAATATAAAGAGTTTAGAGTGGGGGGGGGAGCTTACTCCCAAAAACTGACTAAAACTTCTCGATTTTTAGTCAATAGGCAATGCATTGGGATTTATGTTTCGTTGTACCAAATTGTTGCGGACCATGTGACAGGTCTGCTCAAGTTGTAATGTCATTCTTGTAGTTTGGAAAGTAGGCTAGATCTTGAGCAAAGGGGTACAATGTCAATGTTGTTTTTTCTTCAGTATTAACTTTGACATATGGAGTAACTTTGACACCTTGCTGTTTATTTGAGCGCTCTTATTTCCGATTTAGCGCACCACCTATCCTCTCAACAATTTGAAACTGTTAATGTACATAAATGTAGGGTTGATTTTTCAAATCGCCCCCATAACTACTTTTTTATTAAAATCTTGGGGTTGAAAACGCCAAGATGGCAATATTTCAATACACAGTTAGTTGTGGGGGTGATTTGAAAACAGGTATGATCATTAAAATTTGAGAGTCAGAAAATACATGTCTTTCATCTAATACTCTAAGACAATGAAAATAATATTACACAAGTCAATCAGGGGTACAACGGGGGCACAACTGTACCCATCCATCTTCCCCTTCTGACCTGTAAGTCTGGTCCCTGACTGATAATGTGTGAAAAGTTCAGACACCATACCAAGAAAAATCGCTACATACCCCTCCTCCGGGAATCTTTTCTGAAGTATGATCCTCATAATGACTTTTATTATCTATCAATCACCAGTTGGTCAATATTTATTTGTTTCAAGATAATTTTTCATATTTCATAAATTAATTTAAAATTTGATAAAAATTTCATATAAAATTATTTTTTTATTCTTGTTCTTGATTTGAAGATTCAGTTGATTCTTTTCAATATAACATATTCAGAGCTAAACTGAAATAGAATTGCAGGAATATTTTGTGAAATTTTAAGATTTCCAGGCAAACCAAAATAATTAATATTTGTATAAACGCTATCAAGTGAGACACTTCTATAAGTAGAACACCTCGGCAAGCTAGATTATATCAAAACGTCCTGTGATCCATTGACTAAATGGTAAATGTACCTAAATAGTTATTATAACATCTTCCAAATTAAACATATATTTTCTGCTTTTTCAGGTTTAAAGAAAAATACATAATATACATGATATAAATTATTTCTGGTAAATCATATATGGACTGAGTCCTGATTTGAGAATAACCTTGTTTCAGAATGTCCCAGTTGCAATATACAGGCTATCTAAAAAACAATTTTCATTAATGTTGATGTTTCCAAAGTATAGTTCTACACTCAAAATCAATGATATCTAAAAGAATATTGCTTATACTGTACTGTCTTTCTGATTTATAAATCTGAAAATCCAAAATAGCTTCAAAATGGTGACCTGAAGACTAGAATTTCTACTATATCAGCAGAATTTCGTTCATCTATAGATACAAGTATTACATACATGGATGTCATTGCCTGTCTCTACGGGAGAGCCTACATGTACTTTATAAGCATATTATTCTGTAGCTATATATCCAAGGTAATATTATGGCAGGCCCAGAGCCAGGGGGAGAGCCGAGGTAGAAATTCTTTCAAAATCATGCAGTTTTTCACCATTCTGAGCACTTTTTGCATATATTTTGCCCAAAAATGTCTATAAGCTTCTCTTTGGCAAAAGCTCCCCCTTGGTAAAACCTCTCCCCTTCAGGTAAATCCTGGCTACGGGCTGTATGATATGTATTAAATAGCAGATTATGATGACAAATAACATGTTCTTGCTTATGTGCAGCCTAGGCCATAGATATATATTTGATATCTGGTGATCTTAATTGATAAATGAAATATGGCATCATATAACAGAAACATCCGGCAATTCACATGTATCATTGTTTTTATTGTAATGTAAACAGTATATCATTGCATATTATGGCAATATGCAATTTTGTGATGAACAGTTGAAATAATTGTATTCATTTTACATCAATCATCAAAATCACAGGCCCATGTTTTATATAAGCGTCTTAATCTGGACATACAGTATACTCAGAATTATCTGAAATGTACAGACGCAGTTTTAAATTGTTTCTAGTAAGACCTTTCATTGACTAAAATGACTATTATTGGCAATAATCTTGTTTTTGCTCATATTTCTTTGCCAAACTAATACAAATTGAAAAGGAAATATCTAAATGTTCAGTAAGTACACTAAGTACAGTAATACATGCCTAGTAGACAATTTTGCTCTGAAAGTAAGATGATGACTGTAATTTCCCAATGAAAGACTACATCATGTTCAATAGCGAGTCTATAATAATTTCTTCATTCGATCATTGATTTATTATATAGCAATTTATGTTCAATAAGATTGATATATCTGCCCCCCCCTCAAGAAAAGAATTATATCTGTTAAAGAATAATTGCCACCAAACAACGTTGAGACAGAGTCCCATATGCTATAGGCTGATAATGCCCCTAATAAGCCCATCAAGTCCCATGGAGCAGTCTCTTTTGGCCACTGAGGACCATGATATGGGAGAAAGGATATTCAGGCTTTTGATAGTCTCCAACTTACTTGTAGACGGTGTTCGGTGTCTGTAACAAATTTTAGCATTTGTAACAAATGGTGGGTGGTGACATTTTGCATGTGAATGCCTTGTTATTTTTTTCTTATTACAGCATTATCATCCTTTTACTGGTACTTATACTATATTACAACAATCTGTAGATATTCAATAGATAAATTACAACAATCTGTAGATATTCAATCTATATACAACAAGCTGAATTACAATGAGAATTGTTCTCGATGCCAGAATATCAGTAACAGCCTCGTCTTGCTGTACTATAATAGAACTTGCATATAAGCTAGTGAAAAATCAATACTCCTCCTCAGCTTTTCTGGGACACTAAAGCTAGCGTTAAATCATGCACTATCAACGTCCCAAAGCCACGGTTTGTCGCATAGAGTTTCAATTTGTTATTCGTATTAGAACTCGTTTCTGGCCTCGATACAACCTTACTTATGAATTTAGGGTATGCAGGGGTTTCATTCACTAGAATTTCTCACAACAGGCTAAATTAATGAAGACAATAGCCAAAATTAATGGAAATCATAAAAAACATGGAAAAGTTGAAAAGTCCCTCAAAACAACAGGCGATTTTGTGAAAACAACCAGTGAAAATCACCAGCTGCTAATGAAATCCCTGCTATGGCAAAGTTCTGTATTTGTGCTAAAAATATAGGCTGTCCCTGTGTCCCATGACTTTTGTTCACAATATGCAAGATGGCTGCAAAATTAAAGGTTGGCAACTAGTCTTGTATTTCAGTGATCAATGAATGGGATGGGGAATTCCAAATATGGACAAAATTAAAAATTTTGATTACCATTTTCAGTTAAGGCTTTGATCTATAATTATAATTTTTGCAATTTTAATGTAAGGTAGGAGGCCAGAAATTCTTTCAAAATCATGCAGTTTTTCACCATTCTGAGCATTTTTCACATGATCTTTGCCAAAACTGTCAAACAGCTTGGCAAAAGCTCCCCTTTGGTGAAACTGCTCCCCCTAGGTAAATCCTGGCTATGTGCCTACTCAGATTTGAGATATTCATGTGTGATATTCACTTGTTTGTAATTTCAAAAATAGCATGAATCCAAAGATAAAACTAATGAAAAATATCCCTCAATTATATGGTCATTGTCTAATTGTACTGATTATATGATTTTAAAACTCTATAACTTTCTAAATGCAAGAAAAATAATTCTGAACCCGGAAACTTTCTGATTGATACAGTCTGCAAATATAATTGATCAATATACATAGTACATGTATATAGATTTACATTGTATGATTGTAACACTGGATCTCATATTATAATTTATTTTATTTACCTGGGAACCACATAAAGTGAAGGGGAATAAACAACAATGTCATGTTGATTACATCCGATCAATAAAGATTTATTTGGAATTCACAAGTATGCGAAAACGTACAGGTTTCTGGCGATTAATGTAACTTAAGCTAAATCAATGCTACAATACAGAAATATATCAGAGAAAAATTTTTCTGTATATTTCAAATTTTTAGAATAGAATTTTAAGTGTTAATCTTTCTTATTCTTCATGCACTAGTTTGAGGAAACTATCATTTATTTAAAATACCCCAAATATATCCTTGCCTTTGATTTTGGTAGACCATGCCATGTTGTATTACTGCTTTATTGGTAAAATAATTGCTTTTCTTAGGTATAAATCAATTTATTGGTACTTATTTGCTGACTATACGCTCATTTCTGTTTTCAGTTACATTTTACCAGTGATCTCCTCAGCATTAAAGCAAGTGGGCGCAGCACCCACCTGAAAATCCATTTGCATTCATTTGATAATGAGAAAAATCATGGAAAATAGGCATATTTTGACCAATTTTGGTCTTAATTTTGAAAATGAGAATTTTGCGCCCACTTGAGAGAAAAAATCCTGTGGAGATCATTGATAACTTTGATTCAAAGTTTATTATGCTGCAATGATAATTTGTGATGTAACATCTAGCAGAGATTAAACCATAATACCCAGAATTGATTAAATCTATTGATCGCGTTGAAATTCATATTATTGCATAATATATACTAGAAAGAGCATCTCTTAGGAAATTAGATTTTTTGAGTTTTGTGTAGCTTGTAACTACACCCTACTGGCTAGTCTCTTCACCCTCTGACTCTGTGTTCAGAGTCTAGTTATAAACTACCCTCTGCCTAGAATAGACTTTATTACAACAGCTTAGCAGCCCCGCCTCTAAGACTGGTACCCATGATAGCTTCGTCTTCACTCTTTCAGTTTGCAATAAATCTCTTATCTCACTGAGCCAATCAGAATTTGTCGTCAAAATACGGACGATTTTCTATATGGCCATTT